TAAATATGACTTGGCTCATATCAAGATAATTACTAATAAATCTTTATCATACAGGAGAGAATTAGATTAAGCAAAGGTTTGCACAAAATGATGCCAAAACCCAATATAATTTATGATATTTCAGCAACGATTAATAGATGAAACATTTCCGATGGGAATCCTAATTATGAATAAGGTATATTAGATGATTCTTAGGGCCAGTATTGTGGAAGGCGAATAATATTATAGTTGCCACAGGATATGATACCATTTATTCTGAAAATTCTAGTCTACCATTGCTGAACATAATAAGAAGCATATTCTATGCAATATACAGGGTGTTTGATAATAAAAAGCATATTCTATGCAATATACAGGGTGTTTCATAATAAGAAGCATATTCTATGCAATATACAGGGTGTTTCATAATAAGAAGCATATTCTATGCAATATACAGGGTGTTTGATAATAAGAAGCATATTCTATGCAATATACAGGGTGTTTCATAATAAGAAGCATATTCTATGCAATATACAGGGTGTTTCATAATAAGAAGCATGTTCTATGCAATATACAGGGTGTTTCATAATAAGAAGCATATTCTATGCAATATACAGGGTGTTTGATAATAAGAAGCATATTCTATGCAATATACAGGGTGTTTCATAATAAGAAGCACATTCTATGCAATATACAGGGTGTTTCATAATAAGAAGCATATTCTATGCAATATACAGGGTGTTTCATATTAAGAAGCATATTCTATGCAATATACAGGGTGTTTCATAATAAGAAGCATATTCTATGCAATATACAGGGTGTTTCATAATAAGAAGCATATTCTATGTAATATACAGGGTGTTTGATAACAAGAAGCATATTCTATGTAATATACAGGGTGTTTCATAATAAGAAGCATATTCTATGCAACTTACAGGGTGTTCCATAATAAGAAGCATATTCTATGCAATATACAGGGTGTTTCATAATAAGAAGCATATTCTATGCAATATGCAGGGTGTTTCATAATAAGAAGCATATGCAGTATACAGGGTGTTTCATAATAAGAAGCATATTCTATGCAATGTACAGGGTGTTTCATAAAGACCATCTACCCATCAAAGTCAATCCTAGATGATGTGATTCAATTCTGGATTTCTGTGCCAAATATGAGCATGACTGGGCATTGGTATTCTGGGCATTCTTGCCGCGAATTTAAAATGGAAGTAAATATTAAGTACGGACTGAATAAATGCATGTTCGTTCATTCGACAATGAATACATTGTATTTCATGAATAACCTAATATTTTTTTCTGAATAGGAAAAACTGTGGCGTGTCATGGTTTCAAATCTAAAAATAAACAGTCAAAAAAATTCGAGAGAATCATGATTATTTGTAAATATTCAACATGTTGAGCCTTATTTACGATTCAAATAAAGGTGAGAGATCATAATTATTTGTTTTTGTTAGGTATCGTTATAAACACATTGTAGTATTGACCTAAAAAAAAATTGCGTCCAAAAAACGGAATTTTTTCAATTTTTGCGTCCTCCAAATTATATTTGAGTCCTTAACATGTAAGGGACGCCGTTAATGCAAGCCCTGCAGTTAGAGACCAAAACTAAGCCACGGATCTCATTATTCATGTTTTAAGGTCACTATTATTCAGCTGTCCAAGTGCGCCGTGGGAAAGCTGTTATATCAAAATCCACATAGCTTCCGCAGGAAGAAACCTTGGGTCATTATAATATAGACCTTGGTATCTCGCTTATGTACTAATATAACTTAAACTGAAGCTAGATTAGCCTTCTCTGCATTTCATTTCACAACAAATCATTTTCAACCAACGTCATTGTGGTCCGTGTGACCATTAGACTATATTCTCTAGTCTGATATTTTTGAAATTTGGTTGAAAATATTCAAACCAAATTTACAAGATATTCGGTCTATTGGAAATAGACTAGTGTGACCATCACAGACGAGACCCTATCTGTTGCGAGACTTATGCCTGGCACAACCGTCACCATGGTGTTAAGTGTTTTTAAGTTTCACAAGGATCCTGCCATGACTTTGGTAGTGTTATCATGAAAGCCTGGTATAACCGTGGCAATGCTATATTACATGTATACTGCAAGGCCTGTCATGACCGTGGTGATGTTAAAGCCTGATATGACCGTGACATTGTTATATTATATTGCAAGGCCTGTCATGACCGTGGTAATGTTAAAGCCTGATATAACCGTGACAATGGTTCCAAGGCCTATCATGACCGTGGTTATGTTAAAGCACAATATGACCGTGACAATGGTTATATCAAATTACATTTAGTAGCAATAATTGAGAATACTGTAATGAAAAATTTCTACCTTAAATATGTAAATCTAGATGACTACTACTACTACTTTAACTCATAATTCATTTCCACAAACTGTAATTCTAATCTTATTCAAGAACATGAACATTGTCACTGTCATATAAGGCTTTAACATTACCACGTCATGACAGGCCTAACAGCCATTGCCACAGTCATATAAGACTTTAAAATTACCACAGTCATGATAGGCCTTACAGCAATTGCCACAGTCATATAAGACTTTAACATTACCACGGTCATGATAGGCCTTGCAATATAATATAGCACTGTCACGGTCATATCTAACCAAACCCGTCTGGCCCAGTTATCTACTCTAGATATCGTAGATCTGGGCCAGACTCGATCCAATGCAAAAAATGGGGTATTTACTCCGGAAAAAACACACTGGTTTTTCAATGTATAATACGTGCTGATAAATGAATAAACATCATAAAAATCACTTACGTGTTTGTTCCTTGTATCAAACTTTGTATTTATATTAGGTTTCCATTGCTGGATGACAGCTAATAAATAAGAACGAAACGTCTAAACGCAGCAAAAAGAATCTGCAATCTGTTCGTGATCTCGTAGAATATTGAGAAGTCTCGGCTGCTTATTTCGTTCCGTACTACATTCCGTCAGTTCAACAAATTGAAAAATCGTATTTAATGTCCACCATATTTCTTTCCAGTTTAAATACAACACAGACACGTCTGTTTTATAAAGTAATCTATGTTTTGATAACAAATCTGCTGAACAAATCGTAATATTTGGAATGTATTGATTCCCGGGAAATGTATTTTCGTTCCATGAAAGTTTAAAAATTATCGCGTCACACTTGTGTTACGTAACATCAAGTGACTTTATTCGGTGCGGAGAACTGACGAAATATTGACGAAATGTTGCGCCCATTTCAACATCAATATAACAAACAAAACACCACATTTACGCGTAAGTTATGTTCTCTTTATTTCAAATAAATACTTGGGTTTACATGGTACCCGATATTTTGGTTGGATGGTTAATAGGGAATGAATAATAAGTGATGATTCAGCGACATGTTTTTTCTGGAGTAAATCCCCCCTTTTTAGCATTGGACCTTGTCTGGCCGAGACCTACGACATCAGGAGTAGATAACTGGGCCAGACGGGTTTGGTTAGGTCATATCAGGCTTTAACATTAACAGGTCATGACAGGCCTTGAAATATAATATAGCATTGTCACGGTTATACCTAGTTCAACGTCGTTAAACTCAATAACGGCGTTCTTTACTATTAGGAATTTTCTTGGGGCCGTTATTGAGTTTAACCTCTTTAATATTCTTTCCTTTGATGCAAGTTCGAGATCCATCGAAACCATTTTGCCGCGATAACATGCAATTGATACTTGACAATAATATAAAAACACATAACATCAATCGATTTAACACAATATTATTGTGTTAAATGTTCATTTATACGAGTAAAATGAGGCTACACTTACCGATCTCTAAAATGACATTTCCGCATGTCCGTCATTGTGTCTGTTCGTCCGAGGGTCCCGGATCGTAAAATTGAACTACTAGCGAAACGAAATTGTTGTCAAATAGATTGATAATTATTATCGCGATTACTCGCATTAAAAGATAAATTTTGAGGATAACAGGTATCTTTGATTGATTTATATAGCGCGTGTATACACGCAAAATAGTTATTTATTGCAAACCTACTGTTTGTAAATGCAGTGCCGCGATGACGGTTAATTTCAGATATGATTTGCAATTTCGATGTTACTGAAACTGACCAACATTTTCGTTATATTCCAAACCTGTCTCCAATATTTTCGTAATTATGCATCAATAGGGTCTAAGGAGGATACAGGATGGTGTGTATGTATTCATAAGGTATGTATGCATGCTTGAATCACATTCTTTGTGTAATATTACCATGTTTTCAGAGTTTAATTAGTTCCGCTTGTCGGAACCAGCGGAATGATTAATTAACACATCAAGGGCAAAATGATCATGGAGGTTAGACCTAGCCGGGGCCATAAGACATGTCAGATAAGAAACGAGGCCCAGGCTAGGTCTAATGTTGTTGGACTAGGTTATACCAGGCTTTCACGATAACAATACCACGGTCATAGCAAGATCCTTGCGAAACTTAAAAACACTTTATAACATGGTGACGGTTGTGTCAGACATAAGTCTTGCAATAGATAGCATGTGTCACAGACTGAAATATCTCTGTAAAAAAAATTAATTCGAGCTTCACATTGCACAAGCTGCACAAGCTTATATCATCCCGAAAAATCTGCATTTCTGAATCATTATCGTATAAAAATATGAGATACGATCAGTATCAAATCTGTTTAATGCTAATAAGAGAAACCTTACTTACGTTTACAGCAGCCAAGACGATGTTTATCGACCGCAATATTATTTCGCAAAAGTTTACATTGGATTCAAACTGTCATGACAAACCCCATATGAACAAAATAAACATAAACAATAAATTATGTTAGATCTCATCCACATTTGAAAATAAGATATTAAATAAATGCAATGATTCTAATTTTGTATGATTAAAATTATTTCACAAAATAAAAATTATTTACAGTGGACTAATTTATATAAATAAATGTAAATATGAAGTAAGTATATGCTTGTCAGAGCACCTTGACATACTCTCAAAACCCTGTACATTTAGTTTGATTTTCATTGATTATATTGAACGTATATTAAAATGTTACTTATATATAAAGATTGATTTATAAACCCAATTAATTCAATTGAATATAAATGAATGATGAAGTGCTACAAATACCATACGTAACCCATTTTATGTTGTGTGGCAAAATGGCTTACGAAAACAATTTTGTCAACATCTTTGGAACTTTTACCGCTGTTCTAGCTCTGAATTTCATATTTTTTGCTAAAATACAAAGTATGGAGTAATCAAGGGTATGTAGATAAATGTATTATTATACGTTAGGTTATAATGAACGACCAATCGTTACTTTATTCTTACTTCCGGTTAAAATGTAAAACCAGAAGTTCTGACCAAAAGTTGAAAAACTATTGCCTGGAAATATTTCTTTTTTTAGTAGTCTAGATCTAGCCTAATTCCATACTGACAGCTCACAGGAACTTGTAGCACTATGATATGAGATGCTTATGTCAGATCTGAGTCATTTATATGTATAAATGACTCAGATCTGACAAAAGCATCTCATATCATATTGAAAGCCCATGGTGACATCTGTCAAAAATGACATCTCTTTACATATATTTGTAGCCTCATTTAAGTGTAATGGCTTCTGTTTAGGGCCATCTTATTGGCCTCGTCTTAGACATCTGATCTGAATAAGTCTCTACCTGCAAAAACACACACAAATGAGTAATCCACTGCCCCTGCCATTTGCTGATTGCACAAGGAGATGCCACTCCAAAAAACATGGTGACAACATAACAAGTGTGCTGTCAAAATGTAACTTAAAGCAGTTTCAAGCGTACTTTGGTTTTTGCCACAACACTGCTACACAAGTGGATTGTTATGGCAGGAATGCGCTGCATGTGGCTTCATCATGTGGGAAATGGGAGATTGTTGCATGGCTCTTAATTGAGAAGGGGGTTGATACTAGCACAAAGGATGCAGAGTCTCACTGGTCAGCTTTGCATCGATCCTTATTCTATGGTCAACTATCCTGTGCCAGAATTCTCATATCGGTAAGCCAATATTTCAAATAAAATAGTAAAGCTTGATGGAAAATTGAAAGTATAAATTATAGAACATTTTATACAGCACATCAGTTCAGAGCAATTGTTCCATTTAATATCAGAAAGAAAAAGTAAATAACACATTATAAATCAGGTCCTCTCATGAACTGCTTAGAGTACAGTAACTTTGTATATATCTGTGTAACATTGTCTAGAAAGTATTAAAATCATTAATTCACATTGTTTTTTCAGCATGGTGCCAGTATTCACAGTCAAGATAGAGAGAAACATACACCTATTGACCAACTAGTCCTAGATAGACCACCTTATGTAGACATATCCATCAATGGTAAATATTATCCCACCAAATTACTTCTTTAGATGAATGATAAACTGGATAATGTGTCTCATAAAATACCAGAAGTTACATGTATATTTCAAATATTGGTTAGTTTGTGAGTAGATGTAACATAACTCCTAAAAGGGAAAGACAAAAGAGCACTACAAAACAACAAAAAAAGATGTACATTAATGTATCTAAGTGCACAATCAATTATGAAAAAATATTTAGGCTAGATATTTATCCCACGGATTGAAGTTCGAGGGGGATATAGGAAAGCCGTTCGTCCATCCATCTGTTAGTGTGTTTGGGCAATAACTCAAATACCAGTAGATGAATTTGGTGCCTAGAAAGGAGGGTTGCTCAAGAAGAGATTTTCAAGATGGCTGCTATTAGTAGTATAAAGTTATTATAAGAATAAGTTTCCTTCGGTGGGATTTGCTACTCCGTGGAGTTGCTATTTTTCTAGTTTAAGAATGTATTTTTATTCAGCTATGTGTTATTATTTCTCAGGCAAAACTGATGTGTATACTTGGGGAGACAACACAAATTTCACACTAGGGCATGGTAATGAGATGAGACATCATACACCAAACCTGGTTGACACTTTCACCAAGGCAAAGCTATCTGTTGTCCAAGTAAGTCCATACTAATTATAAAAATTTTAATTGAGGAGTTTAAGAACACATATGAGCTGTATAAAATAAGAAGTGAATTTGTAAAAAGTGTCAGGCTTGTATTGAATTGTTGGTTTTTGATATAAATATCTTTTAGGTTGAGTTACTGAAATTTCACTCAGTGTTCCGTACGAGTTGCGGTAGAGTGTTCACATGTGGTCATGGGAGAGGAGGCCGCCTGGGCCACATGGATGAGCAGACAAAGCTTGTGCCAAAGGAAGTGCCATTGGAAGAGAAGATCTCCTTTGTTGCAGCAGGAAGGGATAACACTGCATTTTTAACAGAGTCAGGGCTTGTGTTTACATGTGGATTGAACACATACCATCAACTGGGACTGAATCCTCCTCCAAGTCATAGTTTACTCCCTAAACAGGTGAGCATTCAGATATATGGATATCTACAAGGCTACATTGTATGATGCTCAAAGCTTCATTAATATAGTATTTTGGTTTTATCTTCTCTTAGTCAAACAAGTTTATTGAGGATAAATACAGGCTGGTACAGAATATTCTACCCCTTCACCCTAAAGTACAGGATGGTGAAAAAGGCAACCCTGTTGTTATTTTCCTCATATCTTTGTAATCTAGGGAATTACTCCCTGATATATGGCACATTTATACATCATTCAATTTCCTACCAGCCCCCTATATTTCATGACCATCAGACAGATAGTCACAATGTATAGCACTTTTCACAACATGCTCCAGTGGCCAATATTGCGGTTTAGGCAAACCTGCACACGTCATCCAAGATGTCCGTAACTGACTTCTACCTGTGGGGATACACCAAAGATAGATCAAAAGGGAGATCATCTGTGTCATTCAGGCCATGTGAGCTGAGGAATGCAGTCAATTCATTGGCAACTTGTGCAGGTTTTCATACAGCGTGATGATGGCCACACCTGGGGTATGTTGTTCAAAGTGCTGTAATATTGTAGGTGGATAGAAAATTGAATGATGTTCAAATGTGTGAAATGTCAGGAAGGTATAGGGAAAATGCAAGGTTGAGATTTTTTGACCACCCTGTACCTTGTTAAATATTCATATTATAGTAAATAATAGAACAACTGACCTCTCAATAGTTCATAGTCAATATTATAATTATATTCAAACAATAGACTGAGACATCATTCTTTTGATACAGCCATTACAAGCTACTTTAAGTGATTCACGTTAACCTTTCAGGTTGTGTGCAAACTGTGGAAGGGTAAACATATTGAGGGCATAGCTGTTGGACGGTTTCATACTGCCGTACACACAAATACATCCGTCTACACATTTGGCTTGAATGCAGGGCAATTAGGTATATCATGTACATAATTTATTGCTTTTGATTTGGGATCAAGTATATTTTGACCTGGTAGGGTTCAAAATGTTTTGTCAAATTAGGTTCGGGTTGGGTTGAGCCAGTGAGGCCAAATTAGTTTTAACTCATTGATCCATTATCATGGACTTAAGAATTTTGCTAGGTTGCTGTCTGCTATCATGTGCTATGTTGATGTAAAAGAGTCAGTTTGCTCTGTGGCGCAAGTGGTAGAGCACTTGACATATCATGTATTCGTGAGATTGATGGTTCAATTCCCACCAGGCCTCTTAGTATAGGATTTGATCATGTGTTTTTAATTAAACTAAACATTATTTAGTGTTTCATTAACTTGTAAAAATCAACTTATTTCATATCAGGTCATCAGAAAGGAGAGAAGTTGCAGAGTCAGCCGAGGATTGTCTCTCCACTCAACCACAAAGACATCATGATTTCTAGCATCACTTGTTCAGATGGCGCAACTATAGTTATCACCAAAAAAGGCGAAGTGTTTGTTTTACATGAATATCAATGCCGTAAGATCACAACAAGGTGAATGCTTGAAAATTGATTTCTATAAAATTTATTCTATTTCATTTATTCATTTAAGGTCATGAGTAAAGTCTATATATTATATGTTAAAATACTACAGTAAAACAATAACCCTAGACCACCATTGACCTACATACATGTATATGTCACTGGACCAATGGAAAATTCAATATATATATACTATATAGTGTCATTAACAAAAATTCATATTTGAAAATATACATCAAATACTCTGATGTACATGTATTGCTCTTGTTGATGTATTGCTGTTGTATATGTTTTGTATTGTATGCTTTCAGGCTACTTGACATAAAGAATGTGTGCTGTACAGGGGGGCACCTAGACCTGAAGTCTGCAGGGGATATACAGGGGGACACATCCAACAATGAACTCATTATATGTTTCCTCACACATTCAAAGCGGGTAAGGGTTAAAATAAAAAACAGTGTTTTTCCACAAAGTTGGTAATTCCTACAAACAAAATATATATTTTCTCAAGTCTTTTCTAATGCACAGGGTGGTCCAAAAAAAATTGGAAAATTTGTAGATGATTGTGTACACAGTAGATTGTGCCCACACAGTAGTAGCAATAACTACACCCATATCACCCAATCAACTTTTAAATCTTATTTTAGGTTTTTTTGTGGAAGAGCTCTGATCCTACTTTGAGGAGATGTACCTGGTCCTTGGGTGGCGATCTAGCCATCTGTGACATCAGCCTCACCATATATGGCATGGTGATTGTGACAGACACAGGACAGGCCTATATTGGTCACAGGTCAACTAAGTTAAAAGTGAAAGAAAGTGCAGTGTCCCCTCAGAAAGGTAAGAGACTGAAAATCTTTATACACAACATGTACTTTCATGAATTTCATTTAATGTATTCACTTACAGTAATTGCCACTTGATGGCAAAAGGAAATTGTAAGTCCAAATCATATTCATCATGCATTAAGGAATTTTTATGGTCATATACAGGATGATTAGTCTATCTTCAACACAGACTGAAATTTTCAGTTCATTGGAGGAAGATATTGGGAAACTGTAAGTTACTCCCTAGAGCATACATGTGCCCTGTTGTATAAGACATTATTTGGAAAAGCAATTGCATTCATAGCGGGGTCAGATGTCCTTTTTTTGTTCGGCTTTTTCAGGAAAGCAACAAACTTGGCACAGTTGTAGAATCATATGATCTGAGTAAAAAATGACTTCAGGGCAAGTGATTTGGGGTGGTCTTCATGGATTTTTTAGCCTCTGACCCCCCGCCCCTACCAGACTGGGAGGGGTATATTGTTAAAATTAAATAAAAATGGTTTTAAAGTATTTTTCTTTAAATGACTTCATTTGGTGATTGCTTTGAGCCTTGAAATTGTGTAAAACCCAATTAAGAAGTTGTCTGTAGCAAGAAAAACTCATTTTAACCCAATTATCTAAGAATAATTCGTTGTTTAAAGGGCCAAATACGGAACATCCAGTACTGTATTTCAAGAATGTGATGTCTGATAGTCCTGGAAAAATTCATAGTACTAGAGGTTTAAGTGTTTATCACAGATAGAAAATATACCATGGGTGGCTCATGTATTTTTTGAGAAAAAAATTCTCGAAATTTCAATTTTTGAGTGCATGCAGCTCAGGGGTAACCTTATTTTACCTCAATAATTTTTAAAATATGCAATGTATGCATCTCATGTGAGGTCAAAATGATGTATAGAGTATTGTTTTGTAATATTATTCCTAATAAGATGTAAAAATATTATTGGAAATTTTTCAAAAATCCAAATTTTCATTTTCGCTTCTAAAAGGCCAGGGGTAACCATATTTTACCTTAATAATTTTCAAGATATGTAATATATGCATCTCAAATTAGCTCAAAATGGTGCATATAGCTTTGTTTTATCAGATTACCCTTGATTAGATGTAGAAAAATGATTTTACATTTCTTAAAAATCTAAATTTTCATTTTAGCTTATAGCGGCCTATGGGTAGCCATATTTTACCTTAATAATTTTCAAAGTACAAGACGTATGCATCTCAAATGAGCTTTAAAGGGTTTTTTAATCTTCTTTTGTCATATATTATTTCTAGGGAATGTAAAAAATGTTTGGAAACTTGAAAAAATGATGTTTTCATATTAGGCCATAAGAATTAGATTCTCTGTTTTGCGTCCTGGCAAAATCCGAATCATGCAAGGGTACAAGGAAAACAAACACTAACTCAAAAAAACACAAACTTGTTTGCTGAGAAATGTATACATTTTATGGGCATTAAAAGGAATGACATACCACTTTGCAGTGATACAAACACAGATCTATACATATATACAATATATTTAAATATAGGTATTATTCAAGGGTAAAAAAAAAAAAATACACATTGTATGCCCAAGTAATCGTCTGATTCTGATTGAATGAAATGCGATGTTACTTTCAGACCCTTTTGGTTGCTATTTGGATGTGTTTGTTTTTTTCTGATTTACTCAAAATCATGCAAGCAAGGGGACGCAAAACAAAGAAACTAATTCTTACGGCCTTAGCTTTTGATGCCATTTTACCGTAATAATTTAAATAAAGATATATCACACTTGTTACTCAAACGAGCTCAAAATGTTGATTATAGTCAAGTTTTGCCATTTATTCCTTCTGAAATAAGAAATAATGATTAAAAAAATTATAAAAAATCTCAACATCCATTTATTTATTTATATAAAGAATCACAACATCCATTTATTCCTTTTTAGTACCAGTAGCTCAATACTGTAGTCCTGTACTACAGTTTTATCGAGCACTTTTCTAAGATTTGAAAATGTTTGACAGTCCAGTTTATACTGAGTAGTAGCATTGTTAAGATTCTGTGTATAATCATTTGAAAATATAATCCAAATCCATAAAACATAATCAAAACAGGTCAGGATTTATAGATTCTGACAGTCTCCCCTACGGCTACATAGCCCAGAGCAAATGAGATATGATTTCAAACATTTGCATATGTTCCCTCAACACTCCTTAAACATCAAACAAGCTTTTTGCATGCCTCGGATGCAACATCTTTTGTTATTATACAGATATCCGCCTCATAGGACCTACATTTTCATATGTTGTGGCCTCAGTATCAGCAGTGGGAGTAGTCCAACCACATTCATTCACATTAGAATGCATCAGAATAACAAATAACTGCAATGTTTCTAAAAAAAGATTCAAAGTTTAAAAACAACTGCAATAGCTCTGGGTATACATCTTCCATTCCTTCAAATCAGATGATTTAGAGAAGTAGTAGAATGCAAAGGTGACATATCAAATCCAGTGATTGCATGAAAAATTGGGAGGGCTAAACTTTGGTCATGGCCAAGTGGTCTTGTAATATTGTTATGCAATCCAAATTGACATTTTCAGTTTTTCAGCACAAGTTGCCACCAGTATAAACCACATCAAAATCAACTGTTAGGCAATGATTGAAGCAGGGTCTCGTATGGAGAAATATCCTTGATGGGACCTAAGACATTGCATTACTTGGTCACTATCATCTTGCCATGTTCTTGAGGGTTTCAGTGTTGATGCCTGGAAGGAGGACAGCTCCCTCTTGTTCCCACTACATCTTGGATTGCATTTGGTAAAAGAAAATCCATTCAATAACTATCTGTGCATGATATTGCAAGATCAATTGGCCATGACCAAAGTTTAGTCCTCCCCATTTTTCATTCAATCATTCTATGCGATTTCACATCTGCATTTAACTACTACTCTAAATCATCTGATTTGGAGGAATGGAAGGTGTACCCAGAGGTGATGCAAGTGTTCTTAAACCTTACATCTTTATATAATACTTCATTGATTTATCATTTTATATCTCAGTATGAATATATGAACATATGAATATGACAAAATGCCATTTTGAGCTTATTTGAGTTGCAAATGTGACATATCTTGAAAATTATTATGGTAAAATGAGGCCACCTATAACCAGTCAAAACAAGATTATATACACCATTTCAAGCTCATTTGAGATGCATATATGTAACATACATTGAAAATTATTATCTTAAGTATGGTTACCCCTGGGCTGTCAAAACATCAAATATAAAATTTAGATTTTTAGATATTTAGAAATGTCAAATTATGTTTTTATATATTATTAGAGGAAATATGATAACAAGACTTCTGGTATATGAACCACTTTGAGCTCATTTTAGATGCATATGTAATACATTGCAAATTATTATGTTAAAAATATGGTCAAATAGAAAATTCAGATTTTTAAGAAATGTCCAGTAATTTTCTACATCTTATTTGGGGTATGATAAAACAAGACTATATGCACCATTTTGAGCTCATTTGAGATGCATATATTACATATCTTGAAAATTATTATGCTAAAATATGGTTACCCCTGGACCGTCTGAAGCTTAAATGAAAATTTAGAGTTTTAAGAATGATCAATCATTTTTCTACATCTTATTAGGGTTAATATGATAAAGAAAGACTAGATGCACCATATTGAGCTCATTTGAGATGGATATACTACATATTTTAAAAATGATTAAGGTACAATATGGTTACCCCTGGCCATTCAGAAGCGAAAATGAAAATTAAATTTAAAAAAAATTCCAATCTTTTTTTTACTTCTAATTAGCAATAGTATGACTAATATTAGTATGCACCATTTTGAGCTCATTTGAGATGGATATATTACATATTTTGAAAATTATTAAGGTACAATATAGTTACCCCTGCCCATTCAGAATCGAAAATGAAAATTTGAATTTTTTTTTAATTCCAATCTTTTTTGTACATCTAATTAGCAATAATATGACAAAACAAGACTAGAAGCACCATTCTGAGCTCATATGAGATGCATACATTGGCTATCTTAAAAATTATTGAGGTAAGATAAGGTTACCCCTGAGCCAAATGCACCAAAAAATTGAAATTTCGATAATTTTTTTCTCTGAGAATACTTCAGCTACCAAAACAATATTTTGTATCTGCAATAAACACTTATACTTCTATTACTGTGAATTTTTTTAAGACTATTAGTCATCACATTCTTGAAATACAGTAATGGACGTCCCATATTTGGCCCTTTAAGATAATGAATTTTTCCTGGATAATTGGGTTAAAATGTATTTTCCTCACTAATTACCACTTCTAAAATGAGTTTTACATCATTTCAAGGCTCAAAGCAATCACCAAATGAAGTCATTTAAACAAAAATACTTTAAAACCATTTTTATTTATTTTTTATAATTTACCCCTCCCCACCTGATAGGGGTGGGGGTCAGAGGTAAAAAACTCCATGAAGACCACCCCCAACCACTTGCCCTGAAATCATTTTCCACTCAAATCATATGTTTCTACAAATGTGCCAAGTTTGTTGCTTTCCTGAAAAAGCCGAACAAAAAAGGGGTTATATCTGGACATCTGACCCCGCTATCATGAATGTTTACATCCTTAGAACATTTTACTGTTTATCAGTTATTGAACATTTTTTGGTATTTTATGACATTATATCCAAGTGAATAAGTGGTAAACAGTGTTATTTTATTCTTCACCTTTCCTCCAACTCAATTAACTAGTGTAAAACAGTGTTGCCATTATATATTTATATGCTCTTCATTATTCCCATATAGATGGCATTCAGGTGTTGAGTTCCATTGGTTCTATGGTTGACTGGCAGTTGGAGGCAGACGATGCAGAACTTGTCAATCTTCAACGGGTGCTCTATGTACACAGGGCAGTGGCTGTCACTGCTGATAAGAAAGGAAGAAATTTTGCAGTAGTACAATCCCATCATTCCTCTAGGTAAGAAACAAACTAAAATCATTGACTATAAATATGAAATATTTGTGTGCCCATACTTATTTGTACTGTATAATTTAAATGAGCTGCCTAATGTACCAAACTAATTATATATATGGCTTGTTCTCATTTTCCTACATGTATCAGTTGAAGATAATTCCGTATTATGATTTTTTTTTTCAGTCTCACTGAGCTTCCTAACGTGTCTTCATCTGAGATTTCTCAGCATTTCAAAACTCTGATGTCAGAGGCTGATTCCTATGATGTCATACATGATGTCACCATCCAGGTACTTTGCATAAACTGATTGAATGATAATGCGTAACTTTAGAAATACAGTTGAAATTAGACATTGAAAAATTTGTCACTCCAAATGAAACATATCTACTATCTTTGGAGTATAAAAGTTTTATTTTCATTTCAGGTGGAAAATGAAACTATTTTTGCTCACAAGTTCATCCTTGCATCAAGGAGTGAATATTTTAAGAAGCTTTTTACCTCCAAAACTGAAGAGTTCTTGACAGATGCAAAAACAGCATTAACATTAGAAAACACAAGCTTAGATATATTTTTACAATTGTTGACATTTTTATACACAGATAATTGTGATTTGTTGACACCTGGTGCCATAGTAACAATAGCAAAACAAACTCATAGCAATGAAAAAAGCAACAAGGCACAGCCAGTGGAAGATATACCAAGGAGTAAAAATGGCAAACCAATATCAGCTCATCAATATAACCAGAAATTAAAGAAATTCTCTCAAAAAGATGGAAAAGTGGAAGAAATAAATAAGTCAAAGAGCTCAAATCCAACAAAATTATTGCAAGAAATGGCAAAAAGATTTGGAGTGAAAAGCTTAGTGAAAAGGTATTGTTTCATATAGTTGACATTAACTTGTATTCTGTTTCTACATTCACCTCATGTATCATCCTCGCCATCTGAAAATGGGGCAACACACAATAATTTAGACTATTTTTCACTCATACACATGAGTATACATTTTACAGAAAAAAGTATTTTACCATGTTATCCGATCTGGGTGATTGGTGAACATTTTGTGATTTTTGTGTGTCTAAGTTTAAATTCATATTTGGAAGTACTCTGGCAAAATAATTCCAGATAAAATGGAAGATAATTTTTTCATTATTAATCATTCATTGTAATTTATTACCTATGGCCCACTGCTTCAATACAGTATACTGTACTAAGCTTAATATTGTTTCTTTCATGTTATATTAGGTTAGATGCTGTTTGTTGGAATGATGGAACTGTTACCTTGGGGACCAATAAACATCTGACTCCGCCATCCTTGAGACTGGACAGAACTAAATTGTAAGTACCTGGTAGTTCTTGCAGTTGAATATTAAAATACATATGTATACAAGATGTCATAGTTTATCATACATGCACTTGTTAAACAATTAATAATAAAACAACACAATTTCTGATCAAGGGGCACTATAGGGGTTCAAGGGGTACTTTACGAGAAGGGGAACAGATCAGAATAGTGATTTTTACCAGTCTGGGTTTTTTCATTTTTCTCTAACCTCAAGCTAAACTCAATATTTTAAAATTGTATTTTCTATTTTAGGCGCAGCTTGTATGATGTAGAGATCAAGTCTGAGGATGGGTTGACAATTAAGTGCCACAAGTGTGTCTTAGTGGCTAGACTAGAGTACTTCCATAGTATGTTGGCCACTGGCTGGGTAGAGGTGGGTTCATTAAAGGACTTAAGCCCAAGACTAAATGCATTGTTTGCTGAATCATACCATGAAGGTGTCGTTTCCAAACCTTTGCATGAACGCGCAACGGGAATGCAAAGTTTAGGAAACAACACCTGAGTGGTATGAAGCTGCTACAATGCATTGAGTCTTGGGCTTAAATTATTTTCACACATTGCAATGCAATTAATGTAGACACCTTTTAGACTTAGAATTAAGTTATTTGCATGACTCATCACAATGCTTTGAGAGCTCATAAGAGAAGTCAGATTGATATTTCAACCTTTCGTTTACATAATATCAAACATTTGGTCAGGTAAATTTGATTGGTTGAACATTGTTACTGAGAACAGAATGTCACCTGTACACATCAATTTTTTCTTTTGGAGTCCACTCCCATTGTTTACATATCTGTGATTCAGGTGAGCTGTGCGCAGAGCTCCCCTCTGCCTAGTACATGTACAGTATAGACTATATTACAGTTTAGCAGCCCACCCCAAAGATTGGTGTCTGTGACAGCCTGGGTAGTAAATCATTTCAAATCTACCACACTGACCCTTTCAACCAGTCAGTGAAGTGGAAGGAATACATGCTCATTAACTATGCAGTGATGCAGACGAAATGACCATATAGAAAGTCACCCATATTTCAACTACGAACTCTGATTGGCTTGGTGAGATCAGAGATTTATTGTAAACTGAAAGAGTGAAGACAAAGCTCTCTTTTAAGAAGTGAAGGTCGAACAAATGCAAAGGGTAGCTGTTATCAGGGATTGGCATGGTTGCTGCCTTGGATTGGCATGATTTCTGCCATGGATTGGCATGGTTGCTGCCTTGGATTGGCATGATTTCTGCCATGGGTTGGCATGATTGCTGCCATGGATTGGCATGATTGCTGCCATTTGCTTCCAATGGTCTTTGCTCTCAGTCATTGGGGCAGAAGACAGTCAAACATGAATTTGTATTTGTTTTGTTAATTGCAGACATCATCTTCAGAGGCCCTGAGTTTGCCTGTCCCTGGGGACATACTCACTGTCATCTTAGACTTCCTCTATACTGATGACTCAGCATTTGTCAGAAGTAAGTTTTACATATTCTTCACAAAAAGTCTTAACATGCATACAATGTATGTTCTATTGATTTTAAGGTAAAATAGTATATGGAAAATACTATTTGTATCCCACTAACATCAAAATTAATTCAACAAATACATGATTTAACAATGTTTTTTAATCATTTTCAATAATATTTTGGCACTTATAGATTTAAGTCTTCGGACTAGATTTATTACACGGAAATACTCATTTATATACTATGAGTCATTTGTTATTGAGTTTTTATGCAAAAATTAGCAATTTGAAAGACTGCTCTAAACCATTAAAAGCCACACCTACCATACTTAGTACTATTATTGTCTATATATTTGCAGAATGTGAAGATGCTGAATTAATATGCAACATTCTAGTTGTTGCTGATCAACTTCTTATTGGTCGATTGAAAGATATCTGTGAGATGGTCCTGTCACAACTCAGTAAGTGCATGTTTTAGAAATATCCAATGTGGACTGTTTATTTGTTCTCATTGAGAACATTATCCAAACTATGTAATTTTGTTGATTTTAGAAAAATAAGTTTTATATTTAAAAATGGAGCCTCTGATGAAAAAATCATTGTAAATAATTACCATGGTATGGTAACTGGTACATGCCTTGCTTGGAGGGATTTACTAAATCTCATGATTATTTTGTTGTAGTAACATTGAAGAATGCCACTGAGTTACTTGAGTTTGCCTCAGTGTACAACTCTCAGCAACTTAAATCAACCTGTCAGCAATACATCTGCTTGAATTTACCCACAATTCTTGAGATGAGAGTCCTAGAGGTTCTCAGCGATGATGTCATAGATGAACTGACAACATATTACAGAAATATGGTATGCATCTATTATGCACCATCCTTACATCTATCAACATAATTTGGTGGTTCAAATTCAAAATCCTATTTGTATTATGTCAAATTCTCTTTCCTCATTTATTATTCCTCACTAATGTCATTGTCATTACCAAGTTTTCTACAGTTCTATAAATTGTCAATTTTGACATCAAAATTCACATTTTGTAAATATATCTGATAATATGCTGTATAAAACTCACAGTGTGAGCATAGGGTCCATTGGTCATTTATTTGTAGAAAACTCATTGTTAAAATTATATCTATGATGTTAGGATTGATTGAGGCCTGAAACTTAGTTATATTCTTGTTCTCACTCATGATTGGTTCTCATTAAATCTTGTTTTTCATGATGAGCATGTTTCTTTAGGTCCCTGAGATGTGTCGCAGAATAATCACTCCATTCGACGCACCTCCTGATATCTGCTACCTTGAATCAATCGAAAAAGATCTACTCTTTGACATTGATAACATAAGTTCAGATTCCAAATCTGATCAATTAAAGCGAAGTAAATCCAGGAAGAGGCGAGGTAGGACAAAAAGTCAGGGGGAGGCAGGAAAACAAGGGGATCAGAGATCAGAGGGTTATGGATCCAGATCTGTTGGTCGCCAGATGTCAATCAGTTCAGAAACATCTGATATTTTGGAGGATGTTGATGAAATCTTGGATGATGAGACTATTCCACTGAAGTCCCCTTTGGTAAGGAAATGAAAATAAATTCATGTAGCATGTAACACATTTTTCTCTTAATACAAATTTCAGATGTACATATACATGGATATTTATATGGAAAAATAAAAAGATCATTATTAAAGACAAACCTTTATTCTTAGGTTAACAGTAAAATGATCAAATTCTTTTGTCAATTGACAAGCTTATCTTTTAATTCTATACGTATTCTATTCTACATAGGTACCTATGAGCTGTTTCCAAATTAACTTCTTAGTAGGCTAAAGGACTTGATTATGATGTAGGCAGTATGAGCTGAGAATATACAAGCATGATTGTCTGTTAAATATTTGCATTATACTAAGTACATATTTTCTATTTAAGGAAATTCAACCACATATTGTGATCCCTAGTCGAAACTTCAATTCTGTGTGGTCTCAAAAGTCACCTAGGCAGCAACAAAGCCAAAGTTCTCCCACAATGCACCTGTCTCCTGTGTCACCACTGGCCACAACTGGTTACCAAGGTGATGGCGATGTGACAGGAACATCTCCTCCAGTTCATATGTATGGATTACGTGATATCATGTTAGAAGAGGCGATCAAAAAGGCTGAGATTGAAAGAAATGAAAAAACCAAGCTTGTTAGGTAATAAATTTATTATACATGTACAATCCTTCCTTGAGTTTGATTTCAACTTAATTTAGGTTGAGCTAGGAGCTTCAAAAATACCAATTGCTATTTGAAGCTTGTTCTCCCTCCAGTCCAAAAATGCAAGGCATAACATTTGCACTTAGACAACTACATGTACTCAAGAGGGCGGAGGGTGCATCCTGCATGTCTCAAGACAAATATTATTTCGGTTTTGTGGTGTAAAGGTTAGCACTCTGGTCTTCTGATGCCAAGGTCATGGGTTCAAGCCCAGCTTGCAGTGGCAGGAGCCAGCTTATTCTAACTAGTACACCAGAGAGTTGATTACTAAAGTGATACTAACCCGTTATGTCCGCCATTTGTGAAACGGTATCTGACTTTACCATTGTCAAGCTATTCTGGTGTGATGTCAGTAACTTTAATCAGCTCTAACCTTCCCCCTAGGGGTTAGAGTCCCAATTTTTTCATTAAAATATCCCTAATTCAGTTTTTAGAAAAACCAGTAAGTTTCAGGTCAAAAGACAAACAACGAAAAACAATAAAAAAAATACCTTACCTTACCTTCATTTTCAAAACTGAATATATTTTGAATCACTTCACTTTTGGGTATCCTTCATAATATGTAACTTATCATATACACACACCGAGAATTAAATGAAGACAATTTTGAAATAAAATGTATGTTTTACTCTATAACATTTTTTATTTTCTATTTTTTATTAATGTTTTCAGTAGTGTTCCAAGGTTTGCTAAATTGTCCCAGAAAGAACGCAAGAAACTTCAGCATAAAAGAGTTGAGCAGGAGAAGCAAGACCAGCATAAACAGATTGCTCCTGCCTCAGCATGGTATGTTATTATTAAACATATCCTTAACACAGAGCAGTTCGATTCCAAAGTGCCAAATAGACATGTACATGTATTTTTTATTGTAACATATTACACCAGTGTCTATTTTAAAATAATTTATTTGTTTCAATTTTATGTACAACTTGAAGGCTGTAGGCAGTAGCAGATTTAATGGCATAGTATTAAATAGATTCTATTTTGTTTCAGGGGTAATGTCAACACTGTAGTGCAATCCTTCAAAGACCTTATGGTAGGAGAGGATAATAAACAAACAAAGCAGATCTCCAAGGCAACCACTCCGACATCTGTTCCCATAGTGACAGTTGCCGCAACATCTCCAAAAACAAGTGTCATTCCACCAAAGTCTGCACACATTTCTCCCAGTAAACCAATCGGAAGTAAATCAACTTTATTCAGGTACATTGAGCATTTATTTCTCATCAGCATGCATAATCACCTATAATTCTACTTTCCAATTTTAGTAGCACACAATTTTTCCATCTATTGATCTTTCTAACTGGAAAAATAATTGAATTGAGAAGGAGCACTATGCAACTGTGCTTGTGAGTTCAAATAGCCCATCATTTCTTTACCATCAAATGAATCTTTACAAGCATTGAATAAAGACCCCAAGACTCCAAATCCTTTAATTTCATGCCTTCAGTTATTTTTATAGGGAAAGGTTACAACAGTCAATACAAAATACATAATGATACCAACGTTCCTTTACTATATCAATTTTTCTTTGCTTGCAATTTTCAGTTTTGATTTGAATGGAAACAAATAATTCAAGTTCACTATAAAATAATTGACAACAAATTTCCGAAATCTTAACAGAGTTTGATCATAAATGATTTAGGTATTTACCTTATTTACCTCCTGTCAATACCCTTAAGATTACTCTTGGGGAGGGTCAGGATATTGTAAGATCTATAAGGGCAATATTGAGGACCAAACTATATGTATACTTCCCCATGCAACCCCAAGTTATCTTCTATATTCTATTGAAAATACAACTTTTAGAAATGTGCTTTATGAATGTGCTTTTACGGAACACTGACATGCATTTCTCCATAAACTCTAAAAACAAAAGCAACCAGTCTGAGAAAACTGAAAACATTTTAATTACAGTTGGGGATTGCCTACCAGTTCTGTCCAGTCACAGAAAGATTCCAATGAAAATGAAGTTGCCATTCCCACATCACCCCCTGAGAACCCATGGCAGAGACCACTGGCGAATGTAGCTGCAACTAAAAAATCTTTAAGTTTCTCAGATATTGTTCATGATGAAATGATCCAGAAACAAACACACGACAGGACAACCAATAAACCTCTACATTTAATACAGGTACATGTAAATCAAGCTATTTATGTTTAATATTGATCAATAGAATTAACACTCCCTCTACTAGTTTACCATGAGTTCTGCAATCTGTCTGAGCTCCACGAAAATGGAATTCTAGGGGTAGTGAATTGACTGCATGATGAATACATACTCCTTGGCAGAGACACTGGCTTAAACCAAATCTGAATAGGAATTATAGCCTTATATGGTGCTTAACTCTTACATTCCAAAAAGAAATAATTCTTAAAACTTGGATGATGAAACATTCCATTGTGAGATATGTAAGATTTGGCAAAGTGTATGAAAATTGAAATATTTGGAATTAAAATTGAATTTTGGTGAATTATTGTATTTTGATCATTAAATAAAAAAAGAATATTTTTATGAACTGGATGTACAGGTACATGTGTATACACATTTCTCAAATAAATGAAAATTCATGATGTCACTTATTATTGGTATTATGTCACTTAACATTCACTTAATATTTTCATGTCATTTAACACTATGATGTCACTTAACATTATTATGTCACTACCAAGTACTGATGATATATTGTTCAATATTTTTGTGAAAGGAATTTAATTTTATTATTCAGACTGTTAACATTTGTTACAAATGATTATACTTTGTTTATGTCTTGTTTTCTCTAGTATGTGAGATAATTTATGAATGTCTGTTTTGTCGTTTACATTTCAGATAGAGGAACAGGCAATACTAGAACTACTGGAACAATACAAACAGGCTGAAAACTTTGATGAAAGAATCTCAATACAGAGAGTAGCTGTTTCCATGGCAGCACCCACATGGGCAGCCCATACCAAACAGAACATTTAATATGATAACCAAACATTGTGGTTAATAACATGTGATGCCTTCAAAACAGAAGTTAGAATGATTTAACCATGGTCAGATAGGTCAATGGTAGCATGACTTGGCCATGGTCAGATACATGTAGATCAAGGGTACACAGGCAAATTACATCAGACCCGTACAAGCCCTTACGGAGCTTGTAGAGTCAACAGGCCCTTTACAACCTTGTACAGGCCTCCTTACGAGGCTCGTAATTGCTTGTAATTGCCGAGCCTCGTAAGAGCTTGTGATTACAAAGCTTGTAATAGCTCGTGATTTTCGATCCCCTATCCCCGTACTTGACCGTACTGTGCCCGTAATGAGCCCCGTAATAAATCGTTATTTCCAATCCCCATACTTGCGCGTACAATGCATGTAAGGGGCCCCGCAATAGCTTGTAATTTTTGAGCCTTGTACTTGCCTGTACAATGCCCGTATCAAGGCCTGTATGTAATAAGTCGTATTTTTCGAGCACTATACTTCCCAGTATGGGGCTCGTAATACACCCTATGCTTAGTGAGCGGACCTAATTTCAAGGGTGATGGTAAGACGAGGCATGGCGCCCAAAAACCAAAGAATATTAGTACCATAATCTTTTAAGTCGTATTATTGCAGCATTAGGTGATGATATTGTGATATTTTATGCTGTTTTAGAAGTGAAAGATGTTAAACTATGCATACTGTTTGTTTTACATCCAATAAAACGAATAGTTAAGATGAAACAGTCGTTTAAAGATACAATTTGAATTTACCGCAAGAAATTACAACCTAATATTGTCAATATGTCAATAATTCCTGATCGATGTCACATATAAAGAAATATGTACCTAGATATGTTTTATTTTTTCATATATGCGAAATAAGGCGGTCTCTAGTTATGTACATCCAATACAAAATGAATGTTTACTATTCGGCGATCAGAATTTCGATGACGAGCGATGGCGATGTAATTTGCGAAGAAAGCATCAGTGCACCTAGTTACAGGCCAGGTTTGGGCGCCATGCATCGTCTTTACCATCACCCTTGAAATTAGGTCCGCTCACTAAGCATAGGGTGTAATAAGGCTCGTAATTGCTGCTTATTTTGATGAACACCATTTGATCGATGAAATAAAATACAATATACGAGAAATACTTGAGAAATAACATTTCAGTTATATCTAATTATGAATTAGTATGTCTCCAACAATTTCTAAATATTCGCATGTCTGTATCAATATGATAAACAGTATAAAAGTGTATACAAGTGTGTATCCATATATAAACATTTGCGTGTGATACTGGAATAAGTTGAAATGTGATGTAGATAAATATTGGTACCAAATGTATGAAAAATGTTTCAAATGACGTAGTTAGCATATGTAACAGACAAACATGTGAATGATGTATGCCATTAATTTATTTTTGGTGCTGTAAGAGTGCGATTAGCTGGCCTCGTACGAGCTCGTACGGGCCTCTAAAACTTCTTTATGTTTTGAGTCTGAAATGATGATCTAATTTGAATCATGGAAAATTGTGGTGGCACTAATGATAATATTGTAATTTATTACTGATTGATTTTAGCATTAAAAGGATCAAGGACAATGAGGATAACAATTCAACCTTCCACTTAATCTCCTTATTGCAGTGCATAATGTTATATATATGTACATAATGTCTGTATAGAAAGTTAATATATGCATTAAGGCAAACATTTTATTTGTTAATATATATTCACTTCACATGTCATGTTTGCTTTATATTTAATGACCATTTAAAAAAACATTCAATCACAATTGGAGGAAATGTATATTTATTATCTGACAAGCTCATACATTTGTAATGTCAAATGAACTCCAAAGCCATTACAAGTTAATTGTCTAATAAGGCGCTTTCAAATTAATTGTCCAATTATCACTCTGTCATTGCCATACAAGTTATCCTCATGATCTTTCATGATCCAGCAGGTCAATGGTTTTCTTTCCAGCCTCACGCCTGAATGAAAAGAAAACATTTTCAGATCACTGGTCTTTATTTCATTTTGATGCTTTTAAAGTACAATTTAGGATGATTTCAAAATATAATAATATAACTTGATATTGTAAACTTGATATTGACAAATATTTAAAGTTAACACATGAATCAACAACTTAGAGGGTTACGATAAGCTTCTCATATAAAAACAATATGGAGACTCCAGGCGAGTCTACTTGATCAGTCTATTTTTAAGAAATTAGAGGTTTGTGAATTTCAGTTTTTGAAATCGTCTTGAAGATAAAATAATTCATTTACAATGATTCTGTAAACATTGAGAGAGTGAATTATCCAAAGAATGCATTAGCATCAGTAATATAAATCCTTGTACAAATCCAATCCGTCTTATTTCATTTACACGTCATTTTCATGAGACCAAGCTTTGTGCAAATATGTGATGGGTAAGTCTAGCTTTTAAATCTAGAATTTAAATCCAATTTTTTACTATTAAACACGAACAGAACATCCTGAAACTTCACCCATAAAATGTGAAATTGATTTGTCAAAATATGAATCTCCCTTTTATATAAATGTGTGACGATCTTTTCTATTCCTACATAAGCAGGCAGAAGTGTTTACCCAGTGACTTCGACCTATGTACCCTTGCGTATTATTCCGGGAGAGCGCATTTTATACTAAATGGTGAGAAACACCAAAAACAAGCATTCGATTTGCTAAACGATATGTGTTACCCTTTAAAGGAGACACCATCAGTACTTCAATGGTAGTGATATTTCCTAGCACATTTTCAATTTGAACATAGCTGTGTTATTGAAATGTTAAAATTAACCAAATTTTACTATTTTGATGAAAAACAACATAATAATCTTACTTAGTTTAGTTTATTATTGTTCATTCACTTGGTTATAGGGCTTCTGCTCTACCAGGCGCTCTGCTTTACAGATTCCCACCATAGCAAGAGAAAAAAGCATGAGAATCCAGGATTAAAGTGGGAATATATAAAGAAAACATTCACACATAATTAGACATGCATTACAACATTTTCACCAATGCATTGTTCCATTTCATTACTAAATTATTTAAATCCAGTGAAACCTTTGTGAAGTATTCTTGTTTGAAATTTTGAAAGAAGGCTTTAAAGCCAAAATTGAAATTTTCCCCCGACCATTACTTATGAAAAAAGCATAAGTATCTGAATATTTGCCTGGCTTAAATGAAAGTTTGTTTGATACTTTTCTATTACAACTCACCTTTGAAGGGTCTCTCACAAATCACTGGTATTGGAGTATTGCACGTGATGTCATTCCAAAGTGACCCACTGCCATACTCTGATGGAGTTACATAGGTACAATCCTCCCAGTCGCCTGTGAACCGATTTGGTTCTCCTAACGCCCAATCTAAAGTGAATATCATGTATTTTATGTCTCAACTAATAAGTTTGCATTAATATTTCAACTATAAATACTATATAAGGATCAATTCCAATGTGAAGAAACCCTGAGAAACGCTGATTAAAGTTAAATCACTATGGAATCAACAATATGTACTTGTATACTGCGGTGTCGTTCCATCCTCATTTCTCCATTTCCCTTCGTGTTTTAAATCATTTATTCCCATAACAACCCAAGTGTATCCTCTCTCTCGCATCTGTTTTTCGATCCAAGACTCTTCTTCTGAACCCCCCAGCTCGAGCAATGATGCATACTTCGTCTTGCAGTAAGCCTTAGCGGTGTGGTATGTCATCTGAGTCTCCGGTGATACAAAGATATATTCCTTTCCGAAATTTATCGCAGAAGTAGTTTCTGAAAAATAGATTACTATATTACTATAGGAAAGAGGATGGATAGATGCGCGTCTAAAAAGAAAGAAAAAACAACAACATCGATTCTTTGCTGGAACAGTCTTTTGATTATTATGAGGAAATTGTACGATTCATCCCTGATGTGGTAAACGGCCGATGTCAACTGACAGTCGTCGTCAACTAAACATTGTATCTTTAAATGAGTTGAAACCAAACCGCTGGCATGGATCTATTTTTATTTTAAATGTTTGAATAATATTCTATTCAAATTCTACATTGTTAAACTATACATCGTATCTGCTTTAATGGACTTATTACAGGTAGCCTTTTGATTATTGACAAAGGCATGTACCAAGTTTTGTATCTTCCTCGGTGCACATTGGTATTGTGCAAAGTTCTTTCTCTATTTCGTTTTCGTATGGTTTAGGCTTGAACACGTAGCACCATGGCCCTAACAAACTAGCATCAGGATTTCGACAATAATTCTTAGCTACCCGGTGCCTGTGAATTGCAGTGCCATTTGGAACCATGGGAAATTTGTCATTTGGAGGCATCGATTGTGCCCACGACGTTGTCCACGAGAGTAAATTTAATTTGTCCTCCCAACTGAAAATATAGTCAAATCCACATTTCAAACACATGGTTGCATACCTATATCTTCTGGTATAAGGTTGGCAATAGCCCAATTGTAGAGAATTCTCGGGAGGTATCTGATCGCTACTTATCACTACTTACTTGATGCAATTTCTCTTTGACTGAGACTGAGACACGCGTCCAAGGTATTCAACTCCAAGGTTAGATACTTTGCATTCAAGCTGCTTTTCCTCTTCAGTTTCTGGCAGAGGAAATTCACTTGCTACATGCAGAGAAAGAAATGAAATGTTAAGAAAAGCAAAAAGATTGTTTGAAATTATTGTTTACTTCTTTTTTGCATTGATTATGATGACGTGGTCGATAAATAATTAGATTAAAAATGAAGAATCAATCGTATGGGCGAAATAAAATGTTATTAAACACAGTGTTAAAGACAGAGATTGTTTGTCAAGATAAATAAATGATATAAAAAGGAAAACTTATCGGATGAGCGATGTGATTAATTCATTGTGCTGCAAATATCATGGGATATAATACCCTGGGACGGACTCTTCCCTCGGCTTACGACACGGAATGATTATGTTAACATCATAAAAATACTATCTAATAAGTAACTCCCAGACTAACAATTAAAAATATCACTTGGAACTCTGGTGATCCTTGATTGTTAATGACACATTGTCATTTTCCTATGTAGAAGGCCTACCTTCCCTTTCACAGACAAACGGCATGGTTGCATAACAGGGAGTGTCATTCCAGTCAAATAAACCGTCGCTTCGTCGACTATTTCCCCCAAGATAAGCACAGTTTTCGTCTCGTCCAAGCTTCCCATTACTCGGTTCTCCATATCGCCAATCTGAAATGTGAAAGGGACATCAGAATCAGGGATAATGAAGAAAAACAAAGCACCGACGCGAAAGATGTAGCCTAATCACCTGGTGAACACTTGCAGATTAAAAAGTGAAAGAATTACAGACGCACAATTCACCAAGAATCATATGATTATTTAGAACCATTCTGCAAGTCAAAAGAGAACAAGCCAAAAAGCCCACAACACAAATCCTTTGATAAATCTCTCAAAAGAGCAACACAGTTGAAGGTAATCAAAAATCGAGAATATCTAATAAGTTAATCGTTTATTCTCTTCTCAAAGTCTCCCGAATGATACCCTTTGCATTCGTTTGACTTCACTTCTTAAAAGAGAGCTTCGTCTTCAGTTTAACTAGTTTAACTAGACTCTGCACGCAGGGTACCCGAATGAGATACATTTGGACCCGCTACCAAGCATTACACACTGACTGCCATACTTGTCAGTGGGTAGCGAGCATTACACACTGACTGCCTTAATTGTATATGTCAGCGGGTAGCGAGCATTACAGACTGACTGCCTATTATGTCAGTGGGTAGCGAGCATTACACACTGACTGCCTTACTTGTCAGTGGGTAGCGAGCATTACACACTGACTGCCTTAATTGTATATGTCAGTGGGTAGCGAGCATTACACACTGACTGCCTTACTTGTCAGTGGGTAGCGAGCATTACACACTGACTGCCTTAATTGTATATGTCAGTGGGTAGCGAGCATTACACACTGACTGTCTTAATTGTATGTCAGTGGGTAGCGAGCATTACACACTGACTGCCTTACTTGTATATGTCAGTGGGTAGCGAGCATTACACACCGACTGCCTTAATTGTATATGTCAGTGGGTAGCGAGCATTACACACTGACTGCCTTACTTGTATATGTCAGTGGGTAGCGAGCATTACACACCGACTGCCTTAATTGTATATGTCAGTGGGTAGCGAGCATTACACACCGACTGCCTTAATTGTATATGTCAGTGGGTAGCGAGCATTACACACCGACTGCCTTAATTGTATATGTCAGTGGGTAGCGAGCATTACACACCGACTGCCTTAATTGTATATGTCAGTGGGTAGCGAGCATTACACACTGACTGTCTTAATTGTATGTCAGCGGGTAGCGAGCATTACACACTGACTGTCTTAATTGTATGTCGGCGGGTAGCGAGCATTACACACTGACTGTCTTAATTGTATGTCAGCGGGTAGCGAGCATTACACACTGACTGTCTTAATTGTATGTCAGCGGGTAGCGAGCATTACACACTGACTGTCTTAATTGTATGTCAGCGGGTAGCGAGCATTACACACTGACTGCCTTACTTGTATATGTCAGTGGGTAGCGAGCATTACACACTGACTGCCTTAATTGTATATGTCAGTGGGTAGCGAGCATTACACACTGACTGCCTTAATTGTATATGTCAGTGGGTAGCGAGCATTACACACTGACTGCCTTAATTGTATATGTCAGTGGGTAGCGAGCATTACACACTGACTGCCTTACTTGTATATGTCAGTGGGTAGCGAGCATTACACACTGACTGCCTTACTTGTATATGTCAGTGGGTAGCGAGCATTACACACTGACTGCCTTAATTGTATGTCAGCGGGTAGCGAGCATTACACACTGACTGCCTTAATTGTATGTCAGCGGGTAGCGAGCATTACACACTGACTGCCTTAATTGTATATGTCAGTGGGTAGCGAGCATTACACACTGACTGTCTTAATTGTATGTCACCGGGTAGCGAGCATTACACACTGACTGTCTTAATTGTATGTCAGTGGGTAGCGAGCATTACACACTGACTGTCTTAATTGTATGTCAGCGGGTAGCAAGCATTACACACTGACTGTCTTAATTGTATGTCAGCGGGTAGCGAGCATTACACACTGACTGTCTTAATTGTATATGTCAGCGGGTAGCGAGCATTACACACTGACTGCCTTAATTGTATGTCAGCGGGTAGCGAGCATTACACACTGACTGCCTTACTTGTATATGTCAGTGGGTAGCGAGCATAACCCATTGACTGCCTTACTTGTATATGTCAGCGGGTAGCGAGCATTACACACTGACTGCCTTACTTGTATATGTCAGTGGGTAGCCTTTAACACTTCGCCATCTTCCTTCTTGGTTTTCGTCAGTTATACCTATCCTTGCCCATGTCCAATTGTTAGCTTTCATTAGTGCGTCCTGGACGAAACGTTCCTCTTTTACATCATTCAGAATGACTATGTAACCATTGTATCCCTGACAAAATCTTGTCGCTTGCTCAAAGTTGACATTACTTTTGCTAAAATGGTAGCATTTGTTCCCATAATTGAGCCAGTTGGTTGGACAGTATTCTAAAAATAAAATAATTTTGTGATTTTGGATACTTACATACTTTGAATAATTATTATTTGACATTGAAAAAGGATGAGAGACCTAAACATTTATCGTAGAATGAGTTCTACCTTGTAAACACCAAGACGCATGATTCGTATTCTGTTCCACAAGTATATGCCAAAAATGTATTTTTGGACTATCATACACATGTTTACCCTATTTGCCCAAGCATATCTTCAGTAGAACTACCATCAACTATGTACAGTATATTTTCCAATGTATCCAATGGTACAATCAACTATGGGTTGAATATTTTCCAATGTTAGGTAAGACCACTTCGGTCTAATGGTATAATCATACTATGGGGTTGAGTATACTAGAGAACATATCTGCAAGACGTTTGATTTTATTTACTGTATTTGTTGACTTCTCCACTGTTATTGTCATCCTCGCTAGAATCATGTTCAGACTCAATTCCAGAATCGGCTTCATTTCCACATCCACCTCCCGATACGCTTCCGAAGACAAAGTCATCTTTATCCGACTCTGACAGAGGAAATTCACTTGCTGCAAGCAGAGAGAGAAATGAAATGTTAAAAACCGCATAAAGACTGTTTGTAATTATTGTTTAGTTCCTTGACTAGTTCGTATTGATTATGATAACGCTGTTGATAAATACTTAATACCATTAAAATACTATAGTAGCTGAAAACACCGAGACTAACAACAAAAATACTACTGACTTGGAACTCTGGTGATCCTGTTTTTCTTACGTAGTAAACCTACCTTCCTTTTCACAGACAAATGGCACGTTTGCACTACAGGGTGTGTCATTCCAGTCAAATAAACCGTCGCTTCGTCGACTATTTCCTCCAAGATAAGCACAATTTTCGTCTGGTCCAGGCCACCCATTACTCGGCTCCCCATATCGCCAATCTGAAATGTGAAAGGGACATCAAGGGCAATGAAGAAAAACAAAGTACCGACATGAAAGATGTAGCCCAATCACCCGGTGAACAATTGCAGATTATAATGTGAAACAATTCGTTTCAGACCAACACCCACCAAACAAGTGACAAAACGATATCTATGACAATATAAAACAACGTGTTGGTGACAGCCAACAATAAAAAACAATGTTTAAAAACCAATATGAGAATAAAATCAATACACTGGGATTTTAAAAACCCTCATCCAACAAAGCATAAACAATAACGCACTGCCTTACTTGTATATGTTAGCGGGTAGCCTTTAACACTTCGCCATCTTCCTTCTTGGTTTTCGTCAGTTATACCTATCCTTGCCCATGTCCAATTGTTAGCTTTCATTAGTGCGTCCTGGACGAAACGTTCCTCTTTTACATCATCCAGAATGACTATGTAACCATTGTATCCCTGACAAAATCTTGTCGCTTGCTCGAAGTTGACATTACATTTGCTTAAACGGTAGCATTTGTTCCCATAATTGAGCCAGTTGGTTGGACAGTATTCTAAAGATAAAATAATTTACTAATTTAGGTTACATACTATTATACATAATTAATTATTATTATTATTGAAAATGATAAGTCCTAAACAATCGTAGAACGAGTTCTGCTTGGCAAGCACAAAGACACATAATTGGTTTCTGTTCTACAAGTAATGCCAAAAATGTATCTATCATTCACATGTTTACATCATTTGCCCAAGCATATCTTCAATAGGACTACTATCAACTACATGTAGGACTATGTACAGAACATTTCCCAATATTAGGAAAGGTTATAATCTTAAGGTATATATGGTTATGGTACAATCCGTTACTATGGGGTTAAATCATGATTACTAGAGAACATATCTACAAGACTACAAGATGTTGATTATATTTACTGTATTTGTTAGCTTCTCCACTGTCATTGTCAGCCTCGCTAGAATCATATTCAGAATCGGCTCCACTTCCCGATCCGCTTCCAGATCCACTTCCGGAGCCATAGCCATTTTCGTCATCAGAAATCCGTCTGCCGATGACGACATTAATCGTGCAAAGAAGCACAATAGTATAGGTTATAAGTTCCTGTAAATAATAATATTCTTCAACATCCTCATTAACTCTCCTCAAGTTGTTGTAAATAGCTGTTCTTTTTTAAGAGCTAGGTATATACAATGTCAAATGTCTTACATTACATGTACATACACTGGCTTTCCCTTGATTATAACTACAGTTGGAATGAATAATTGCTGGTTTTTCGTTTTAGCTTCAATTGAATATAAATGAGTATTACATACCTAGCGAAGCATTTGTATGGAAGTCAATGGGAAAGTTAGCGAGCTATATCCACCGATATTGCCCGATTACCCCGATATAGCCCGCTTACCTCGTTTTGATATTAGATTTCTTTAATAACCATGATAATATCATGACGTCACGTCATTGATACAAAGTAACCATGGGAACAAAGGCATGTAATACATCAGTTATGTCACTATGACGTGAAATATGCCTTCGTTCTTGCCCAAATATAGAGCCTCCCAAGGTCGGCCTATATTGGGAGAACGGCATATTTCACGTCATAGTGACATAACCTCTAAATATATTGAATATAAATCGTTTCCAGTTTGAACAAAAACATGCAAATATGACAAAATACAGAAACAAGTCAACAACAGCATAACTTACAAGTTTTTTCATCTTTCAGACGATCCTTGCCTTTCTGTCTGTAACCAAGCGTTTGCGTTTGTTCTAGAAACGTTCCAAGGTCATAATGAGATACAATTGAGGAAATATTATACGCGGAAATATCCGCCAACACAAATTGTCCTTTTAATAGGCCTACATTCTCATCTCCTGCTGCTTGGATGTCAAATACATGTATCATTCTTGCTGAATGTTTATTAAAATACATCTTCCCTGAAAACAATTATCATTCACAATTGCATGATACAAGAAAAATAACTTATTTTTTAAAAAGTATTTATATTCTTATGAAATAAAGCTAACCATTCAAATAGTAGAGTGCTGATTCGATTACATATATCCATTGTGAACGATTTAAGATGCACAGAGGTGGTTCGAAACTAAAACCCATTACCGGTGTGAAAGAAATTCTGGTCCCCCAGGGATTATGGTCCCCCTTTTTAAAGGCCCTTACTGGCCCTGATTGTGTATAAGATAAAAGAGGCCACCATATAAATCAATAGAGAGTAGGACCTAGATTAATAGGACCTCCTACCCTTTTACACCGGTACAGAATGAGAACTGAACAGTGCCAAGATTGGTGAAAGAGCGACGCCTGGCCATGGTAGTGGATTGTGGATTCATAAAGAATTGGACAATGTCATGATTTGATTAGCCTCTTTCTTTGCCCGGTGTGCATTGTGGTATACCATAGAATAACACAAACCCAATACTAGTATTCTTCTACCTCCCACCCTCCAATTATTCATGGTTCACTTTGAATGGTTTTGTTACAATACATATTGTTTTCACACTGAATACAAGGGAATCAGTGAGAGCTCAACGTCTTCATGACATCATGAAGGAGTCCCGGGGAAGGAGTAGGGGAGAATGCAAAATGCAAATTGCTAACCATGGGTGACTAAGCAAAGTGAAATGATCAACATCATCCAATGAAAACATATAGAATATTGTATGTTATTATGATCTTGGAAACCTTGGTGAATCAATGTCTGCATTTTGTTCAAAACCATAAGTTCATCTTTTTGTAATGGTTCAGTTCACTAATAGCCTTTTGTTTCTACTTTATCAAAATCTGTAATCTCCTAATGAATGCCACTCTAAATGGTGATTACTCATGTCACTTCCTATGCCGGAGACATCTACATTTGATTGATTTACCACAAAATTGTGCTTTCCGACAATTATTTTTAATGCTAATAAAATCTTCATTTCCCTGTTAATTTGAAACAATATTAGAAAATTATACTTGGTTAATGAAAACACAGAATGAAATACTGTGCCGATGGCTGATCAGTGATTGAATTATACCATTTGGGAGTGTGCGAAGCCTCCTTTGATAGAAAAATATAGATAAAAAATAAAATCAAAATACAATAAAACACCCTTGTAAATGGAACACTTTTCAAGTTCCATCACACAATAATAACTTAATGTTAAATGAAAGTGGAACATTTTTGCAGTCCCAGAAGTTTTCAATGGTTTAACTGTATAGCAATATATGCCTGCCTACCCAGGTCAACAAGAAATATAGATACTCATAAATAGTACTGTACCCTTGGTTATAATGAGGACTGAACATGCATTTTCTTTAACATTATTAGAGTTCTTCCCTATTCAGGTTTGTTACCTTGCATGCTTTCCAATGGTTTGTTACTTTACATACTTTCCAATGGTTTGTCATTACTATCACTTATATAGATGATACCTTAACATTTAATTTTATAATAAATTTTATTGATAATTTTACTATTTTTTCAAAGAATCATTAAAAAGCACTATGAAATTCAAATAATGGCTATATCTATCACATCTTGATAGTGATACAGTCTACCATGTACATATACATGCAATTGTTCATACTTCAGATTATTAACTTTTCAAGTTTAGTTCTACCTAATACCATGTAGTTTATTCACCAAATGTGATCCAAAATCAAATGGGTTCTTTCATTCATAGGAATTGGAAATGCATTTGTATGGGTCACCTTGATGTACATGGCTTTCTGATTTATGCCAATCATATCTTCTGTTTTTAGGTAACCACCACAAGTGGTGACATTTTTGTTATAGTCTCCAATTTTTTTGTGACAGCATTCGGTGGATGGCGTTCAATGTCTGTAATAAATGGCAGGTGGTAACATTTTGCATGTTAATTCTTAGTATGTTTATGCTAATATTAAAACAGTACCATGGGCTGACATGGTGTGTAGTGATTTCTGTCTAAATGACTCAACATATGATTAAAACAATAATATACCATTAGGAATAATTTCTATAATGCATAGACGCAAAAGACAATCCTTGGAATTGGACTGAAAGTCTGAAAATCTAAATTTAAAACATTTGTTGAAAATTATCATAAAGGAGTGGTATCGATATGGAGAACTTTTTGAACAAACGTTTCTCTTAAACCAGTCATAAAAAAATTAAAAAATTAACACATCATCAATTTAATGGTCATCTTTTGAATGTTAACAATATAATTTGAAAAAAAAAAATATACTTTCATCTATATTGTTTTAGAAATCACATCAAACACTTGTTTTGTTCTTGGTATCATGTTTCCAGAGTGAAATGAAACATCTTTCCGAACCTCATTGGAACAAAACGACATAAACACAACATGTTAAGGTCTCTCAATATTGTAATAGTACAAAGGAAATTTTGGTTGATTTTAAAAAAGTATCTTGTTAATGAAATAAAAGGTTTATCTTAATTTTTATCTATTTTGGGGAGATTTTGTTTTAATTTTTTGAATACTTTTTTTACAATCAACCAAAAATTCCTTTGTATAACTATAATATTGAGAGGTTTAAAAACATGTTGTATATGCTATTTTGTTCCAACAAGGTTCGGAAAGACATTTTATTTCATTCTCAAGAATTGGTAGAAAGGGGCAAAAACAATTGCACCAAAAAACAAAAAATATTAACAATTTTTAAAATAATTTTCGCATTAAATTGTTTTCAATCAGTCAACATTACATAAAATACAGTGTTTTTTTACAGAATGTTTTCAATGATTGGTTAAAGAGAAAAACATTGTTGAATTCAGTTCTCCATATCGATACCAATCCTTTGAAATTGAAATCAAACTAGATAACGGCAACTCCGCGGAGTAGCAAATCCCAACGAACAAAATATCAATTACTGAATTCCAATCAATTATACTCATTACTTAAGGTTAAAATTGAAAAAATTAGATTTTAGAATTGCGAATTCCTGCAAAGCACCCATTTTGAATTTTTGGAGATACAAATCTGAAAAATAATACCATAATTGTGATCTACTCCAAAATTCCTTCAATTTGAGTATAATATAGCCATACTTTGAAGGGATCGGAAAATTATTGCGAAATCGTACATTAGACGGCCATTTTGAATTTTACAAGCCTCGAAACAGAAAAAAGATACAATATCTGCAATCTACTCTTAATTGCCTTTCATTTGAGTATAATAAAGCTATACTTCAGAAAGATCTAAAAATTATCGAAAATTTCTGTTTTCTTGTCCCCCCATACACGGCCCCTGGGGGTCAGGATGAAAAACACGGAATATATGTGAAATAGATAAATGTTGTGAATATACTACCAAAATTTCAAACAATAATATTAATTACTTTGGTTTAGAATGAAAAATTTATGATTTTTGCGAAAAAGTCCCGTCATTTTTAAAGCGGCAGCCATCTTGAAAAAATTTTTTTTTGCGTAAAACTATTCACCAATATACATCTTTCCACTAAATATGAAGAAAATCCATCTACTAGTATTTGAGTTATCTTCCGGACAGACGGACAGACTGACGGACGGACGGACAGACGGACGGACGGAGGGCTTCACTATATCCCTACCGAACTTCGTTCGTTGGGATAATTAATAATTACAAAATGGTCTAAATGGAGAGACTGACAGATGGACACTGCTCTATATCCCCACAAAAAGTCCATTCAATAGAAGTTGTTTAAGTACACAATGGCAACAAGAATATAACAATACTAAACTAAATTACTGGAATGAATGAAGCTATTTTATTAGAAAACTCATTAGAATTACAAACTCTGGAATATAATAACTTGAGACATCGGCATAAGGATGTAATTCTCAAATATAGAATACAAAATACAACTATGTGTGATTGTTATAATTACATTTTGAATATATTTCTCATACAAACTGTTATTTCAAAAAATCTCAAATGTCATGTTCAATACAGCAGACATTGCAATACTGGGACTGAGAGGGAATAAGTCTTCAAATATTCAAACCCCTGACTCCCTGTCTACAATGGTGGCTGCAATTTATGGCACAAGCATTTCAATATTACAATATTTTCTCATGTGGCATCTTACACTAAATTTCTATTAAAATACATGACTATATATGCCTCGGATAGTGTGTTTAATATAAACTTATGTCACTGCAAAAATACTTAAAATCAAAAACTGACCATAAACCTGTGAAAATCATGTTTTGAACAAGGAAACTGGTGCCAGAGATTTGATGCCAAAGTACTCTGTCAGAAAAATCTCAGAATAGAAGATGATATAGGCAAAGACCATTAATAAAATGTGGTGAAATAGTTGAAAATGGTGGAATGAGTAAGGAATAAAAATGAACAGAATTATAATCAATACTGGCCTGCTATGTAATTTTCCTATTTATGGGTTACAAGGCAGTCAATTGAAACTTTGGCAGATCCATGACACAGAAAAATTATAGTCAGTGAGATTTTAAACACAGGGCAGCATTTTGATATTATAATATAATACACCCTTGGCCAAACATTTGAAGCATTTATGGAACATATAAAATAATAAAAACCTCCAACTGAGGATTACTTTCTCATATCCCAAACATATAAAATTGTACACTGTATTCTAGGGTGTTTTTAAGCTTAGGATGATATCATTTGAACAAATTACAAGAACACCAAATGTTTGACCATGAGTGCCCTCTTGAATAACATATGGTGTATGTGATTTTATTTCACAAATATATACACTATTAGAAGAAATCATGGATGTATATGCCAGCATACAAATACATGTAATATAACAACAATGTTTTCTACGTCAACTGATATTTGAATATATACATGTACATATATATTAGTAATCTGATTTTGGATGGTAAATTATTGGAAAACTTAATATTATGATATTAATATGACTTTTTGATTTAGTGGAAGAGCAGTGACTTAGCTAGGATTGAAAATTGATGAAGCAAATGTAGAGGCGAGTTGGCAAATTTAGCCCTAAGAAGGTATTTTATTACCTTTGAACTTCATTTCTACAGTTTTAGATGAAATACGTCTGAATAAATATATTTCGTAAAATGTTTGCAAGGCAGTTGCCTCATACTTGACTACACCCATGAAGATATTAAATATAGACATACATGTAATATACTCATCTTATTTACAGAATAATAATAATCTATTCCACACCTACTGTGGTTCTAGGGACATGACACGTGGGAATATATAGTGTATCTAGGTAGCGATCAGCAAGGTCCAGGACTGGGATGGATACAGCCTGTATTCATCATATCCAGGTCCCATAAAAAGTGAACGAATAAAGATATATTTCAAACTTATGTTGTATATTAAATTTTGATATCAATTCATTGATCTGCTCCAGCAATCTGACTAACCAAATCTAACCTTCGAGAAGTATTGCTAAAAGGATGGTCAGAGTGGACACGAGAACCTTACCACTGAAAAATAGGAAATATGAATTTAGGAAAATCTCACAAACTCAAAAACATGGAAAACATTTAAGACAGAAAATGTATGTTTTTAAATTTTGGAACTTCATAAGGCTACGAATGCACCTAGAACCCCAGTAGGTATGGAATATATCTGCCATGTATTGGAGTTTTGGATACAGAGTTCATCCCAGGGGAAATATGTGTATCTCCTGGGGGACCGGGGGAGATACACATGTTTCCCTTGGGATAAACTCTATATCCAAAACCTCCCAGAACATAACTCTTATACATGTATATATTGATAGATATATTATAATTATTATGAAGCATAATTATGACTGAATCATATACTGTATTAAATGCATATGTACATACAATTGACATTATTATTATTATGGTACATGATGGGACTACATGTAATTCTTGACTCAGGGCCACATTATGTAGGACTGTTTACTGTGTTTTTGAAATCATTTTGGCAAATACACACTCACATAACCTTAATATTTTTTAAATCAAACAAAAGTAAAAAGTGAAGTGTTTAATAGTTTTATGATTTCATAAGTATTTCCGATGAGTTTGATTACAATTTTATGAAAATGTGTGCGCATTTACCCAAATACTGAAAATGAAAATGTTTTCAGTTTGGACAATACATGTTTAAAACTTGACACACCATTTTTTATCTAATCAGGCTTAAATCTCTTCATTAACATACAAATCTCTTTCTCACACAACAATTTATCACATTTATAAAAAACAGTATTAAAATTTTTTTAAATCTCAAAAGGCCTCTGCAATATACAATTTGCACATCAATATACAATAATATTATAGCAGCATACAATAAAAATCTATTTGAATAATTTAACAGTAAAATTTGTCTAAATGAACAACTCCCTTTGTGTCAAGCTCAGACACAGTCCCATAAAGGATATGCCAATAACTCAAACATTAAAACAGTTTACAAGCATTATGTATTAATCATACACACAATGAATGTTGTTTTATAATAATAATTCGCTACCATTTGTATTAAATATTTTTAATTTTGAAATAGCTCCACAAACAAAATATATAACATAATACAGCTTTTATTGGTGATGCTGATAAACTTGGATATATATTTGCTTTGATTAAAGCCATTTTTATAAGAAAGAGTTAGCACACCTATATAACTCTATGGTTATTTCTAACTGTAAATTCTTGAATACAAATGACTCTAATCATAAGAATGCGGTTGTACTGCTGTTATGATGTTTTGAATTCTCAAAAAGCATCAATGCTTAAATTGAATTAAACAAGTCACAATTCACATACATGTATACTTAATTCGGAATCTCTACAAATATTTTTTTTTGCAAATTTACAAAATAGTTTAGCGACTTTAAACATTTGGCACTCTAGCAGCAGTTTTATCACCGTATGATTGGTTTTGCCATCCTAGAAGAGGATTTGCCTTGCTTTAAAACTGATTTAAATTCTTAATATATGTGACCAATTTTGCTACTCTAAAAAAGATTCTGCCATTCTACAGGGTAGGACAAAATATTCATATTTTCTATTTGCTGATAACTCCTTCCTATGTAATGTATGAATTTCAAAATTATATTTGCTGGAAATGTAGGAAAGATTTCTTCTGTTCCAAAAATGGCATAAATATACTTATAGGTTTCTGGACATTGGGGGTCTGAATCATCAGATTGACATTTAGTACATTTCTCTGTCAGAGAAACACATACTGGTACATGTAAGGTAAATAATAAACATATTTTGAAATCATTCCCAGGCAAAAAAGAATTTTAGGAGTATCATAAGATAATTAAGCAAGATGAAGAAAAACTATTTCAGCATCAAAAAAAAGGTGGTCACCAAAACTTCTCTGATGCCCATTTTTGGTTGGAAAGATCAGAAAGGGGCCACTGCCAGATTGAGTTTTTAATGTTTTTTATGCATCAGGCTGTTACTTGCTGATCTTCCTGACCATAAATATAGTATTTGACTCAATTTCAATTTCAACTAAAATTTTGCCTACCAGTTATATTTTTCTTGATGTTGAACATTTAATCTTTCATTATTGGCCTCAGTGCACTCTCAATGATCAAATGTTTCACAGAAATAAAAGAAGTGAAAAGTATATCTTTGATAAATTGTTGAAAAACATCCATCTGGTTTATGTAGGACAATACATATAGGTTATTTACTGGGAGGGATTGAATATGGGTTTTATTCCGAGGGACAATATGATATTGACCAAAGGGTAATATGATATTGACTGAGGGAACGCAGCGACCGAGTGTCAATATCATATTTCCCAAGGTCAATATCATATTTTCCGAGGAATGAAACCCATATTCAATTCCGACCAGAAATAACCTATTTATTCCATAATACATTCCTCTAAAATGTTACATTTTGAAAAAGCTTTTATCAATTAGCTAAGGTTAAAAATAACAGGAAAACCAAAAATAGGTTAGTACGTTCCAATACGATTTTTTTCCCGGGGACAATACGATTTTTTTCATGTGATACGCTCCAATACGATTTTTTTCCCGGGGACAATACGATTTTTTCATGTAATACGATTCAATACGATTTTTATTCCTTCATATTTCCCTGGGAAAACAGTAGTATTATGGAATAAATTAAAATTATAACATCAAATATTTCCTTGGAACTGGGAGTCTTTTGGCTGTTAGATTTTCTCATCCAAATACTGCAAACTTGATTGATTGTTACATCCAAAGCAAAAATATTTTTGAATTCTAAACATCATTGAAAGGTACAAAAGTATTTTTCTTTTGGCCCACCCTGTACAATTTGTTTGCAACAAATAAAATCACTGAATAAATAGAGGTATATATAATCACTTATTTACATTTAAATTGCAGTGAATGAATAGTATATATATTTTACAATAAAATGCGAAAGCCAGATACGTGCATGGATGATTGTACCTTTGAAAGGTAAAATATATATAAGAGGTACATGTACCTATATCTAGAAGGACATGACATTCTTGACAGTATTTACTGTGGACATAGAATCAGCAGTATAACAACTCAGCATCGTACAAAGTATCAGTCAAATGTGGAGTATCACCAATATTCCATGATCACCAATATTTCACAAATCAGCAATACGCATCTATCATTCTTGATCCCTTCTCAATTCTTAATAATATAGGCCCAGCCTTAATGTTTACTGGTCTTGTACAACTCGCCATAAACAGGACTTCAGAATGTATATTTTCACAATAATTAATAAAATAGTCAGAATGAGACTGATTTCATGGAACTGCACATTCATTCTACCTGCATGTACTTTACATCTAACTCCACATACATTATACAGCCCTCTCAGCAACTACAAGCAAAATGTCAAAATGAAATCAGCTTTTTTTTGCTTAAAATAAATAAACAACTTTTGGTAATATTGAATGCAGCAGGGCATGTTTAATAGAATTTATAACAGTTTCCTGCAAGTATTCGTTTCACTCCTAGCAACCAGCTTGAAAACATTTGTTGCCGTATAATTGGCCAATAGACTGAATGCCAACATGATACAATCTTGGAATCATGTTCTCATGAGCCCTGGTGGGTGATTGGTAATATAAATATTCAGGAATTTCAACTCTAACATATTTGCTCACCTTGGCCATTCTGCTGGCCATTTTGTTGATCTTGGGCAGCCTCAGCTTTGAGCACATCATTGATACAGTCATGTATGAATATATACTGGTCCTCAGTCTGGACCATGTTGCACCGGTATTCACGCATCTCCATGACAATGCCAAATATGTCTAAACTGTCATGAGCTTTCATGTGTTGTAGAAGTCTGTCAACAGCAATAAATGTGCCTGTTCTTCCAACTCCAGCACTGTGAAATACATAAATGAATGTATTGATACCATAACATAATTGTGATTTAGTGGTACAATGTAGTTACATAGTTCCATCAAACACCAATATCATACGACAGTACAATATATATCTTGAAAGATGTACAAAATATGCAAGAAGATAGGCAATACTTTCATTTACTAAAATTACTACAGGTATATGTAAATAATAAGGTGCTTTGGAGCATTCAAAAATGGATTTACATACATGTAGACAAAGAACTGTTAGGATTACAGTAATACTGGAGATTCTTTATGCATTGAGAGTTTATACATACTGGTATACCACGATGCCCAAAGACCATGATGCACACAAGGGGACAATGTCTGAAGAATTTAATGCTTACAAATGACATATAGCCAAAATGACACACCACATACAGTGTGTATTCATAGCCAAAGTGACACGCCACATACAAAACCTTACCTGCAGTGAATGCATATTGGACCAGTTACATCCGGAGTGATGTAACCCCGTGTGACGCGCACAAAGTTCAACAATGACTCAGTGGTATCTGGGCAACCAAAATCAGGCCACATTGTGTAGTTGAAGTGTTTCAAAGTACGACTGGTGCTTCCCTAAACATGCAAAGGAATTCCATGTACATGTAAGTTCATGCAATCTACTATTCTATATTAGTTCAATTATTTGGTTAAAAGGGTTCAAACATTTTATGAGGTACTTTTCATTTTCGTTTTAATATTATTAATACTCAAATCTAGCTATAATTGCTCAAAGTTATCATACCCACTCATATAAGCCAAATGTTTCTTTCAAATCTCAGCTCATGATTCATTTAAATACATGTATTATTTTAGCATTGAATCAATGGATACAACATTATTTTTATTAGTTGCCACAGAAACATGGCTGTTTACCAGCCAGGTATACATATACATCAAGTTTTTATAGAAACACATATTGGGTATCATGGCAATATTACAAGGAATGTTGTTATCAACATATTGGTTTCCATGGTAATATTTGGTAAGCATAATTGCAGCCCTGTTTCATGGTAATACAAGTGAATCAACCATGCAAAGAAAAATTCCAAAATAATTGTATACTGTATGCCCATTAAAACAACACTTCAAGGCCATGCCAAATCAATAATGATTTGTCTTCTTTTGAAATAACTAACACTATTTTAATACAGTCACAAAAAAGGCAAATAAATTATTTCAAAATAATACTTAAATGAAGCTAACATCATAAATGAACTAAATACACATTTCAACTACAACAAATTACTTAATCAGATTAAGGACTCTCCAGAGCTCTTGGAAGTCTATGATTTGACTCAAAATGCAGGTAGATGCTTGGAATGCAAAATGCTTGAAACTAACAATCAACAATTCACTAATTCTATGAGCTTGCATCATGCAACTACCTGCAGTGGACCAGTACAGGGCGACCTCTAGTGGCAATATAAGGCACATGTACCCGACAGGCATTAACAAAGTCTAAGAGAACATCTGTTGTATCTGGGCAGCCAAAATCAGGCCAACGAACCAAGTGCATATGCTTTATAACTTTTACACGGTGACCCTTGAAAGAATGATGATATTTAACACATGTACATTGTACAAAGTGCATTTAGAAACTTACTTGTCTCCTTTTGAAATCAATTAAGTTAAATGTGAATGAATTTGAATCTTATTAATGGAAACAAACTGAAAGATGACAGTACTCACCAAAGTGACATCAAGAACACGGATTGTGTAATCAGCTAGTACAGACTGGGATCTCAAGGTCACTTGAAGGTCACCAAAGAATTCTGGTTCCCCTACCTCCTTTGGCCAGTATTGTTCACACTTCACCTGCAGAAAAATTCAGTAATTATCTACAAAGCTTCATTGTGAACTTGACCATTCTATACAATTACAACAGGGGTTAAGAAAAGTTAGTATACCTTTCAATAAAATGATGTTTCCCCATAAAATGGGATGTTAATGAAGGGCATCATAGTATCTATATATTTTGTCAAACAACAGTAAATGTAAATCCTATGCAGGGGTTCCATATTTATATGTTTTGATATCAATATTTGGCATTTTGTTCAAAATATAAAGATATATATAAATAGTGTATTTAATGATATTATTTTCACCCTTGCCCTGAAAATGAATTGCGATTATAGCAATTGGTCCACACTGTTAACATTGTATGCACAGAATATCTTAGGTAATTAAATTGAAACACTTTTTATAAGCAACAGGTTTTCTATAAGGCGATTGTTAATAGCATTAGAGTATTACATCGCAGACAAGACTTTTCTCATCAACTATAAACAGAAAACAGACATTTCATTTGCAGGGTTCCTACAATTTTTCAGATAATATTGCTACATGTAATCAAAGCCTCTCCATAACGCCCATGTATCTTTCTCACAACCTTTTGAAGAGGCTATTTTCTTCATCAATATACATGTATTATTAATATTTGACTTATTTTTTAGCTCTTTTACAAAATTTCCCTTTCATACTGATTTCAAATTTCCCATATATTTCAAGTTGTGTAGGAACCCCTGATTTGACACTGAAAGCAGAAATGTATGCAAGAACTCACACCACTGTTCAACAAAATTTTTCTAGTTGGTTATCATGGTCTTGAAGAAATGATTTTTCAATCTCCCACTTATACTTAATGGTCTTGCTCTTATTTATCCACCAAGAGAACAGATACAAATTCTTTGGCGTAAAATCTCAGTATTCAATTGTATTGTGAGTCATCTGATTTATTAATGTCATTTTGGATGGCTTATTTATGGTTTCTTTTCCACTATAATGTTTGTCATAGTGTTTTTTTCAATTTGATTTGTAGTTTTTACTATTTTATGTTAAATAAATAAAAAAGATATTTGAAGAGAAAATTTTACATTTCCATATTTTGGATTGAAACAAAACTGAATTGGGTGAAACCAATTTCCGAAAACTCTCATCAATTCCTTCATGTCCAATATTTTACACTACAATGATATTAGGGAGTTTAAGATTAGCGTAAATAACACATTTACCTATACCTATACATAGTTTGTTATTTTGTTATTACACTACATGTAAGTGGTATTCTACCTAAGTGGCCGAAGATAGGGTATTCGAAAACGAATGTTTTTATCCAACAAATTATATCATTTATTGATCAAATATCATCCATTAAACTTTAAAATAGTAACAACAAACATTTCTCATTCAATCTGCATAGAAATTAAGTGGTCGAACACATTCATTGATGCGATAAGCGATGCCATGTGATGATGCATGAAATTGTTGAATTTACACATTCTTCATCAGTTTTGCTTATTGCAAATGTATGGAATCAACCATTTTCTTGTGGTTTTTATTGTTTAATGGTTTCATGGTTTCATTTTATGATTAGGATGTCATTTTTATCATAAACTGTAGCATACGATTTCGTAGCCTTTTACATTAATCTTAAACTCATTTTGCAATATGCATTACCTATATGAATCCGTAACAAACATACGGATAAGGATAGGTACACATTTATTTTTACGTTAATCTTAACCTCCCTATTTTCAGAGATAGCAATTACATAATAAAATCACTTACAACCATTTGACCATTCTGTAAAATGAGAAAAACAATGATAATGTTTACAAATGTTAACAAGAACACAAATATGTACAACACCTATTCTCAAATTTCAGGTCCATTTCGAGGTTTGATCTTTTGGAAAAGTTACTATTGTGTTTCGGTAAATATCCTCCACCAAAGTAATCAACATAGTCGAAAGTATTATACTCCAACATATCTCATGCTTCACTATCTTATTTTCTGAGATACAACATGATATATAAAGGAAGGGTAAAAAAGTATATAGCAGAAATGACAGGCATTCTTCAAAATGGCCGCCTTCTACCAAAAGTGTCATTAGACCATTCGCATACTTATAGTATTCACATACCAAATATGAACAAAATCGCTCCACTACTTTTCGAGTTATAGTAAAATACGTTAAAATGGCGGCCATTTTTCAAAATTTTTTTCAAAATGACCACCTACTAAAAGTATCATAGGATAGTGTGTCATGCTTTTAGTATTCACATACCAAATATGAACAAAATCGCTCCACTACTTTTCGAGTTATAGTAAAATATGTTAAAATGGCGGCCATTTTTCAAAATGGCCACCTTCTACCAAAAGTGTCATTAGACATGGTGCCATGCTTACAGTATTCACATACCAAATATGAACAAAATCGCCTCACTACTTTTCGAATTATTATAAAATACATTAAAATGGCAGCCATTTTTCAAATTTTTTTTCAAAATGACCACCTACTAAAAGTATCATAGGATAGTGTGTCATGCTTTTAGTATTCACATACCAAATATGAACAAAATCGCTCCACTACTTTTCGAGTTATAGTAAAATATGTTAAAATGGCGGCCATTTTTCAAACCAAAAGTGTCTTTAGACAGTGTGCAATTTTTATAGTATTCACATATATCCTTATATTCCTTATATCCCTCCGAACTTTGTTCGATGGGATAATAAAGTAAAACTGTTAATTTTGCTAAATAAATCTCCGTTACTTCTGATATTATTTGTACTAATTAATGTTACAAAAAATATGATGGAATATTCGTAACTAATTAAATTTCCTAAAATCATTACATTACCCAGACTTGCCAACCTAAAATGAAAAATTTTCGGGAGATTTAAAAAAAATTGCGGTACTTTTACGGGAGTTTTTTCAAAATCAGGTAGCTTTTGCGGGAGTTTTTTGAAAAAAAGCGGGAGTTTTTACGGGAGATTAAAAAAAATGGGAGTTTTTGCGGTAAATTTTGAAAAAACCGGGAGTTTTTACGGGAGATTTTGAAAAAAACGCGAGTTTTTACGGGAGCTTTTTTAAAAAAGGCATTTTTCGCGGTAAATTTTAAAACACGTGACTTTTTTACGGAAGATTTCAGAAAAACTGGAGTTTTCGCGGTAAGTTCTGAAAAACGGGAGTTTTTACGGTAGGTTTTGAAAAACGGGAGTTTTTGCGGTAGATTTTAAAAAAACTGGAGTTTTTATGGTAGATTCTGAAAAAACTGGAGTTTTTACGGTAGATTTCTGAAAAAACAGGAGTTTTTTTGCGATCGATTTCTGAAAAAACGGGAGTTTTTATGGTAAATTTTGAAAAACGGGAGTTTTTACTGTAGATTTTGAAAAACAGGAGTTTTTACGGTAGATTTATGAAAAAACAGGAGTTTTTACTCTAGATTTTGAAAAAACGGGATCGCTGATCGCTGAAAAGCAATTTGAATCATGGGAATGAAGTACTTTTAAGTTATTTATGAAAGTATCGATAGTGAACTATGGGAGCCAATCCTTCTTGGAGTAAAAGAAAGAAGCGTGCCTGCAATAATCAAGGTCACAAATTTGTCAAATTCCTTTTAAATACGGTAGATTTCGACAGCAAAAAACTGAGATTTTACGGGAGTTCTACCAAGAATACGGGAGATTTTACGGGAGTTATACCAGAAAACGGGAGATTTTACGGGAGTTATACCGAGAATACGAGAGATTTTACGGGAGTAATACCAGAATACGGGAGATTTTACGGGAGATTTTAGCAAAAATACGGGAGATTTTACGGCCATATTTCTAAAAAGAATTACGGGAGATTTTAGTAGAAATACGGTATGGGAGTTTTTACGGGAGAAAACGGTACGGGAGTTTGATATATTTTACGGAAAAACAAAAAAATTACGGTTTGGATACACTATATTGTCCAACAAATGTATGGGAATGGTGTATATTACAGTCTCTGTAATTCATTTACCACTCTTCGATGTCACATCAAGTTGACTCCTTGCTTTTCAAGTTATGGTTCTTTAAACGAGGCTCTCAAGTGGGAAACATTGCTTAATAACAAGTTTAATTAGTTTCTATTACAACTTTCATGGAGCTATTTGTAATGATCAGTGTCTATTTATAAAAATGAGTATGGCTGTAATGGTGATTATAAGTAAACATTTAAGATACCTTTAACTATTTCAAAAAGTAAGATAAATGCTTTGTTGCTACCTTTTGTGTCTGTGAGTCCATTAGAAAAAAATATCCTCCAAACTTACACACGAATTAGGGTCATTATATTATTTTATAAGATAAAAAAACATTTTGAAAGAAATGTACAAAACTGACTTTCATAAAAATACATGTAAACGCTTATGAAAGAACAGCTAAAATGTGTTGCAATACAAAATTGCAACAACAACTCATGTTTCAATGGATTAATGTATTATTTTTGAAGAAGTATAGGTATAACGGAGATTATATGGCACCACAATATGAAAACGGCTTTCTTAACTGGGCAAAATACAAATGTTTCAATTATTTTTTACAAACACTCAATCAGACTGGTGCTTTCTCCAAATTAATCCAACAAACAAGTAATAACTTATCATATGCCTCAAGAATAAAAGGCACCAACCATATTATGCCTGGAAAATTTTGTTTGATACACATAATAACATCCAATTGGTCTAATATCATCAAACAAATGGGTATGGTTTTATTCTGGTGAATGTTATAAACCAACCTTTATCAAGAGGATGGATATTTATTGCACTTTGGTAGAATACATGTCTGAAAAGTAGAGCAACAAATAACTAGAAAAACAACAACTCCACGTAGTAGCAAATCCCACCGAACAAAACATGTTTTGATAAAAAAATTGAGCCAAATTCATCCACTGGTATTTGAATTATCAAAGATTATGTCTTTATGAAACATGGTTGTCATTTTGAAATTCAGCTGTCATCTTTAGATTTCTTCTTTAGCAGAGAATGTCCTTCCAATGGTATCTGGGTTATCAAAGATTACTTTTTTAATGAAAAATGGCAGCCATTTTGAAATTCAGCTATCGCCTTTGAAATTTCTTCTGAAACAGATCTCCTTTTTCCCTAAACATCAGCATATAAAATTGGAACCAAATCCATCCACTAGTATTTGAGTTATCATTAATTACGTTTTTTTACAAAAAGTAGCGGCTATTTTGAAATTCAGTGGCCATCTTGAATATTTATTTTTGAGCAGAACTTCTTAGGCATCAGCATATAGAATTTGAACCAAATCCGTCAACTGGTATTTGAGTTATCAAAGGTTACGTTCTTTTATGAAAAATGGCGGCCATTTTGAAATTTAGCTACCACCTTGAAAATCCCTTCTCGAGCTCCTATGTCCCTTGGCATCATCATGTAAAATTTGAACCAAATCCATTCAATGGTAATTGAGCTATCAAAGTTAATGTTTTTTTTATGAAAAATGGCCGCCATTTTGAAATTTAGCTGCCATCTTGAAAATCCTTTCTTGAGCAGAGCTCCTATGTCCCTAGGCATCAGCATCTAAAATTTAAACCAAATCCATTCAATGGTATTTGAGTTATCAAAGATAATGTTTTTTTACGAAAAATGGCCGCCATTTTGAAATTTGGTGGCCATCTTGAAAATGTCTTCTTTAGCAAGGCTGCTTTGTACCAAGGCAACAGCATATAAAATTTGAACCAAATCCATCCACTAGTATTTGAGTTATTAAAGATTATATTTTTTCTGAAAAATGGCCGCCATTTTGAATTAAGCAGCCATATTGAACATTCCTTCTCGAGCAGAGGTCCTACACCAATAAGGCATAAGCCCATAAAATTTGAATGAAATCCGTCAACCGGTATTTGAGTTATTGCCCGGACACACGAACGGACGGACGGATGAACGTACCGACGAACAGACGGATGGACGGACAGCTTTTCTATATCCCCCTCGAACTTCGTTCGGTGGGATAATCATCGTTACCAACAGGTAACAAAGATTATGTCTGTTGTATATGCAAAAATAACAACATTGGGATGATGAACTGAGCTCAATAAAATTCTCACATGTTTGCACATTGTATCTGTACATATGGACGAGATATGAGGTAAAGATGGTCTTTAAAACGAGAATAAATGCAAATCAGGTTCATCTACTCAATCAAGGACTAACTTTCGTTAATCACAGGCTGCTAGCTTTGGTTTTCTTTATTTACCAGCTATGTCATACTTTAATCCTGATGTCAGTAATGTCAGATGAATGTCATTTATTTGTAAAAACAGCAAAACAATGTGAGAGTACTTCCTTCAAGTTAGTTATTGCATCTCAAAGATTCGGCAGTATCGAAAATGAGAAAATACGACTTTGAAAGCCACAGGCTTCATAGAGCCGAAGGAAATCGTTCCAATTTTAGGTGTTCTTTTTTAAGTAACTTTATGTCTACAATATTACATCAAGCATTCCTTAGTTCAATGCATATGCATACGTAATTTGGCAGCGACAGCGTTTGGACCTGAAATTTGAGAATGGGTGACAACATGTCTCCACCAATGGGTGATTCTTAAAATTTAGCAGGACTGCCAAAAGATGATGTAGTTTGGAATTTTCATACAAAGAAACATTCATTGAATTGTCAACTGCTTTGCAAAGAAATGTGTAGAAAATTGATCCGTCAAATGGTTATCATGAAAATGAGTAGACAAGACTTTACCAACACAATTTTAGGACGGAAAATCCACAATGGCCACCTTAAAATTTACCAACAATGCCAAAAAATTAGTCAGTTCTAGGTCTTCATACTAAGAGCCACCCTTGAAAATTTTGAATTGATCCTTCAAACAGTTAACCAGAAAACGAGTAGACAAGACTTTACCAGATAAGATTTTAGGACGGAAAATCTAAAATGGCTACCTTGACATTTACCCAGAATGCCAAAAACGAACAGTTCTAGATTTTCATACTAAGAATCATCCCTGAAAATTTGAAATTGATCTACCAATCGGTTCACCTGAAAACGCATCGACAAGACTTTACAGACAAGATTTAAAGACAGAAAAACCAAAATGGCTGCCTTGACATTTACGCAGAATGCCAAAATAATCAGACCCAGATTTTCATAGTACGAATCATCCTTGAAAATTTGAAATTGATCTACCAAACGGTTCAACTGAAAATGCGTAGACAAGACTTTACAGACAAGATTTTAGGATGGAAAAATCCAAAATGGCCAACAATAAAAAATATCGCATTTAACTACTGTTAACAATAACATAGGCTTTTGCAAAAAAAGTACACCTGAGATTATTTATAAAGCTACTGAATAGTTCAAGTATGAAACTCCATAACACCATTTAAATAGGATACAAAGTATTATCCCGAGCAAACTTTTCTTAAGACATTTGAAATGGCTGCCATGACCGAGCTAACAGCTCCAAAACCTAATCAGATGTAAAATGAAGTGAGCTGAACAAGATGTTAAAGTTTTAAAAGCAACTGTGAAGCTGTCTTTCTTAAAGTTTGCAGACAAGGATTTTAGCATTTGACTTCAAAATGGCAGAAAGGAAGCAGGTATCTAGTTAAAACAAGGCACAGACGTGAACAATATCGTACCTAAAACACAGCATTGTGGTCTTAGACCAACAATGTTGACCAAGAAAGCAAGATGGCCCGGAAAAGTTAATCAACTCTAGAACTTATCACTGTGTAACATATGTAAAAATTTGAAAGGTTTGGCTGGAAACCTGTAGACAAGTCTTGAAAGTGAAGATTTTAGGACGGAAAATCCAAAATGGCCACCTTAAAATTTACCCAGAATGCCCAAAAACTAATCAGTTCTTGACGTTGATATGTAGAAACATCCCTGAAAATTTCAGATGAATCCCTCAAATGGTTTGGCTGGAAACCTGTAGACAAGTCTTGAAAGTAAAGATTTTAGGACGGAAAATCCAAAATGGCCACCTTAAAATTTACCCAGAATGCCCAAAAACTAATCAGTTCTTGACGTTGATATGTAGAAACATTCCTGAAAATTTCAGATGAATCCCTCAAATGGTTTGGCTGGAAACCTGTAGACAAGTCTTGAAAGTGAAGATTTTAGGACGGAAAATCCAAAATGGCCACCTTAAAATTTACCCAGAATGCCCAAAAACTAATCAGTTCTTGACGTTGATATTTAGAAACATCCCTGAAAATTTCAGATGAATCCCTGAAATGATTTGGCTGGAAACCTGTAGACAAGCTGAAAAGTGAGACGCCGCCCACCCGCCGCCCGTCAAGCTGACTACAATATCGTACCTCTTGTTAGGTACGATAAAAATTTCATCCACATCTGTATGCACCCATAAGTTATCCCTGAAAATTTGAAGGTGATGTCTGTAGCAGTTTTGAAGAAAACTGATTGATTTGAGAGAGATCAGTCAGATTACAACAATACAGACAAGCCTTGACTGACAATTTGTCTCATATTGTCTATGTTTAGTCCCTAGTGCACCACAATGTCTATATTTAGTCCCTAGTGCACCACAATGTCTATGTTTAGTCCCTAGTGCACCACAATGTCTATTTAGTCCCTAGTGCACCACAATGTCTATATTTAGTCCCTAGTGCACCACAATGTCTATGATTAGTCCCTAGTGCACCACAATGTCTATGTTTAGTCCCTAGTGAACCACAATGTCTATATTTAGTCCCTAGTGCACCACAATGTCTATATTTAGTCCCTAGTGCACCACAATGTCAATGTTTAGTCCCTAGTGCACCACAATGTCTATATTTAGTCCCCAGTGCACCACAATGTCTATGTTTAGTCCCTAGTGCACCACAATGTCTATATTTAGTCCCTAATGCACCACAATGTCTATATTTAGTCAGGATTAATAGACCCATATCATAGGCCTATCTATGACATCCTTTTGATCATGATAACAATCTGACAGTCAGACTATAATGACATCATTTTAAGTTCAAAATGACACCATTTGACATCACTGCCCTATGACATCATTATAATCCTACAACAATGACAAAACAAGTCATAACACATTTACTTACTCTGCCTCTCTCAATAAGCTGTGTTACCATGACGATCAATGAGACATTCTGCTCCCAGATCATTCTCCAGAAATCATCCTTAGTTCCTGGAAGGGGACCCTGAGCAGCAATAAACTCTCTTGGGGAATTATAGCCCTAAAAAGACAATTAAATGCAATGATTTTTGTATACTGCAAGATCTGTATTATCATGCTTGCTATTCAATGGTGCAAATCTCCAGATCAGATAACTTGTTGAATTTGTATTTAAATGAGATCACTATATCAGGCACCAGGCAAAATCAAAAGCATGCAAAATGTCCTTTTAAATATGAATTAGCTCTATCTCTCATTGACAAAAGAAAAAAACAAGAAAAGTCACCAGTTATTGATGGATAAAAGAATGATCAGAGTGAGAATGTTTGGCTACTTACCACCATATAGTTAGCATTAATATAATCAGAGCCCTCATCGTCATCTGTTGGGAGCAGCTTCACACGGGATTGATCATCTGCAACATGATCATTACATGTCAACATAAGGCATTAACATGACAAAATGTCACCACCTAGTTGCTCACAATATTATGAGTTCAATCTTAAGTCAGATTTAAAATTTCTGAGAACTTGTAGATGATTTTGAAAAAATAAACTGGTCAATTTGAAGCAAGTTGAAAAAAGACCTTTTTTGACCCTGAAAAGGTCATTGAAGGTGAAATTTCAAATCTAAAGTCAGATTTGAACATCTGAGAACATGTAGATGATTTTGAAAAAAATTGTCAATTTGAAGCAAGATGAAAAAAAGACCTTTATGACCATGAGAATGTCATTGAAAATCAAATTTTTTTTGACCTTGAAAATGTCATTAAAGGTCAAATGTATAGTCAGATTTGAACTGTTGAGAACTTGTAGATCATTTTGAAAAAAAATTGGTCAATTTAAAGCAAGTTGAAAAAAGACCTTTTTGACCCTTTTTGACCTTGAGAAGGTCAGATTTGAACTTCTGATAACTTGAAGATGCTTTTGAAAAAAAGGAGACCATAACAATATATCACCACTTTTTGGTGGTGACATAATACTCAATTTACTATTGTTATTTCTATTGTTAAAAATAACATAATATTTGAAGTTCTCTCTTAATGGCAAATTGTGAAAATCATTATTATATCACTAGTACTGTGTAATTAATTTTCAATTAATTCTCAGAGTAAATGAGTAGTGAGTCTCCATGGAGTGCAATCTAGGTGCTATTCAATAGGTACACTCCCCTCCATAAGTTTGGCAACCTTTTTTCCCCCATTGAACTACGTGTTAAAGCCTCTTTACCTTTGAATTTTTATTCACTGAATCTGTGATGAAAATACTTATACTATTGATGGAAACGAAATTTGACTTTAATTCCAATACCTCCAAATTTTCACAATTTTTTCCTCAATTACAATAGGTCGAAAATTGATGATAAATTTGATGCATTTTTGAAAATCGACATTCCCATGTTAACCAATGGGAAATGGTAGGTTTGCCGCAGGTCATATGACAAAATATCCATCTATCCGAGTCCTTGCAAAAAATACGAGTTAGGCAGGCAATTGAATTTGCTAACTTTATTTAACAAAACATTGATATGTTTCTTCAGGTTCAACAAAGTTATAGGGCTTTAAAGTCAAAATTGTTTTTCAAAAAACCTCTCCCATTGAAATAACACAGGAGGCGAAAAATTATTTTCAAAAATGACTTTGAAGGTTGTAACTCTAATATTCATCAAATAAGCTCAACACTTAATGTTCAAAAAAGTTAGACAATACACTTTTTTATATAAAAATATTTTTTGCTGAATCTTTTAATGAAAATATATCCTGATTTTTGATTTGCCCCAAACCCTCCATTTCCCATTGGATTACATGGGAATGACGATTTTCAAAAATTCATCCAATTTTCGACCTATTGTAATTGAGGAAAAAAATTGAGAAAATTTGGAGGTATTGGAAATAAAGTCAAGTTACGTTTTCATCAAGTTTATAAGTTATTTCATCGCTGGTTAAGCAAATAGAAATTCAAACGTAAAGAGGCTTTTACACGTAGTTCAATGGGGGAAAAAGGTTGTCAAACTTATGGAGGGGAGTGTATATGACAACATTTTATTTATGACATATTTTATGCATATACAGTATTAAGAAATACTTTGTTTTATATCATATACATTATATGAATATTCTGACAAAAATTCATGAAATCCAAAAATTGAGGAATACAGATAATCATTACCACTAACCACTAAATCATATTTAACAGTTTTCAAATAAAAATCTTACTTCTACTTGACTTGTCATTAGTATAATCACTGGTGATCGGCTCAATTATGCTGGCGTAACATTGAAGGTACAATTTTTCATTTTTCCTTATTTCACGCGTTGTAGGCAGAATCCCCACGACATTTTTTCTCACAAACATGTATCAGTATCATATGTTTTAGAAAATGTACATGTTTGCGAAAAATAGCTCAGAAGACAACAGAATCGTCGATTTAATTCCTCACTTAAGTTACATGTACAGTATGGGTCAAAATTGCAGATCTTAACTGTTTTTCGAAATAGCGCTATGTAACTTAAGTTGGAATTCTGCCTACAATGTGTGAATTAAGGAAAAAAGAAAAATCATACCTTCGATGTGCCGACATTTTGGTACTGAAACAAACCATTTCGGTGACCAGCGTAATCGAGTGGATCACCAGTGATAATGTACTTACATAAATACAATCATTTATATCATCTTTATTCAAACATTTAGATTGAAGATAGTACAGGCTATGTAAGCATTAACATTGAAGATGGCACAACTTATGTAAGCATTAACATTGAAGATGGTACAGCTTATGTAAGCATTAACATTGAAGATGGTACAGCTCATGTAAGTATTAACATTGAAGATGGCACAGCTTATGTAAGCATTAACATTGAAGATGGTACAGCTTATGTAAGCATTAACATTGAAGATGGTACAGCTTATGTAAGCATTAACATTGAAGATGGTACAGCTTATGTAAGCATTAACATTGAAGATGGTACAGCTTATGTAAGCATGAACATTGAAGATGGTACAGCTTATGAAAGCAACATTGAAGATGGCACAACTTATGTAAGCATTAATATTGAAGATGGTACAGCTTTTGTAAACATTACCATTGAAGATGGTTCAGCTTATGTAAGCATTAACATTGAAGATGGTACAGCTCATGTAAGTATTAACATTGAAGATGGTACAGCTTATGAAAGCAACATTGAAGATGGCACAACTTATGTAAGCATTAATATTGAAGATGGTACAGCTTTTGTAAACATTACCATTGAAGATGGTTCAGCTTATGTAAGCATTAACATTGAAGATGGTACAGCTCATGTAAGTATTAACATTGAAGATGGTACAGCTTATGAAAGCAACATTGAAGATGGCACAACTTATGTAAGCATTAATATTGAAGATGGTACAGCTTTTGTAAACATTAACATTGAAGATGGTTCAGCTTATGTAAGCATTAACATTGAAGATGGTACAGCTCATGAAATTATTAACATTGAAGATGGTACAGCTTATGAAAGCAACATTGAAGATGGTACAGCTTATGTAAGCATTAACATTGAAGATGGTACAGCTTATATAAGCATTAACATTGAAGATGGTACAGCTTATGTAAGCATTAACATTGAAAATGGTGCAGCTTATGTAAGCATTAACATACAAAGTAATCATGAGAATATAATATAACTTCAGGACAGTATAATTCAAAACCCCAAGAAGACACAGTCAATTATGCACTTTATACTTGTAAAAATGTATTAAAGATTGCCTCAATTTGGGTCATCTTGGTGGCTGTACCACAGACTGAATAAGCTACATTGCAGTAGAGTGGAGTATATATATAAACTATAGTATAAAGCAGATACACAGAATAGTTTACTGCCTCTTTACCAACTTACATGGGAGTATGTTGGTGTAACGATTCTTAGGGCGATTAGGCGCCAGATCAGCATGGTGCCAGTTGTGTTTAGCAGCTGTTTCCTTCACCAACTGGTTAAGCAGAAAGCAAAGATCAGTAAGACAATTCTAAGCAACACTTGTTCCAAATTTAACATGATATAAATAGGGAAAATAAACAATAAAGCCTGGAAGTTGAGAATGCCTGTAAGCTAAACAAACGTATTAACTGTAAAGCCTGACATTCACATTTGCTCTATGGCGGGCATACTGCATTACTGCAGCCATACATGTAGCTTTCCAAAATCGATATAGAAAATCTACATCCTTATCTCTTGCCGTAGTTGAAATGTGAGTGAGGCATAAATATGGTATTGAACACTAACAGGCAGAAAGCTACAAAGGAATGAGGATATTAAAGATGGTGCTCTGCTATGAGAAATCATAATAATTAGTTTTAAAAGCTAAATGGAAGTCTCCACATTATGTTCTGATCTCAGAAAGATGTGCACAGCATATTCAAAGTGAGACTCCCACTCTCCAATTTTTAGAATGGCAGATGGATTTATTCTAAAAGTACTGGTCTGTTGCTTACTTTGGGCTCTATTTTATACAATTCTATAAATATATACTAAATATTATAGTAATGTAACACTTTTGCACATGTGAGTAATTAGAGGCTACAAAGCAAGGATGTTTATCCTGCAGGCATTAAAATTTTTTGTTTTCCTAAAAAGGAACCAACAAGACTTTGAAGCCACTTTTTGAGATCAGTCGACAGCAGGGAGAGGAAAGCAAAATAGTTGAATTCTCCACCTTACAACACACAAAGGTGAAAAGTGTATAATGTGCCCCCACTTTTGGGGAATCATGTCTTCATTGTTTCTTCATAAACAGAATTCTCTTGAACATCTAGAGGAAATTAGTTGATTCCTCTGAAGCAGTTCAGAACAAACTGTTTGATGTAGCACATACAGCCAACAGTTATGGCAATATATGCTCACTAACTGTTTGATGTAGCACATACAGCCAATAGTTATGGCAATATGCTCACTAACTGTTTGATGTAGCACATACAGCCAACAGTTATGGCAATATGCTCACTAACTGTTTGATGTAGCACAGACAGCCAACAGTTATGGCAATATGCTCACTAACTGTTTGATGTAGCACATACAGCCAACAGTTATGGCAATATGCTCACTAACTGTTTGATGTAGCACATACAGCCAACAGTTATGGCAATATGCTCACTAACTGTTTGATGTAGCACATACAGCCAACAGTTATGGCAATATGCTCACTAACTGTTTGATGTAGCACATACAGCCAACAGTTATGGCAATATGCTCACTAACTGTTTGATGTAGCACATACAGCCAACAGTTATGGCAATATGTTCACTAACTGTTTGATGTAGCACATACAGCCAACAGTTATGGCAATATGTTCACTAACTGTATAGGTGGGGGCACAAAGAGAATAGATCATGCGACAATTCACAAGTTGAATAGTCATTCTTTACATGGTAATTATTTCTAGTGTCTTAGCATTTGTCACATAGCACACTCACAACCTTCAACCATGTAAAGAACACAGTTAAGGAGTTAAAAGAAACAGACATTGTCATGTGATAATTCTGACCAATCAAATGCACATGGAACTATCACATGACCAAAACAAATACACATTGCTTTCCATTCTTACATGGTAGAATATTTGTATAACGGTTTTTGCTGGTGTTAGTATTTGTGGTTGATAATGGGGCATGTGGCGTCTTAGCACATAGCATCTTCACAGCCTTGAACCATGGAATGAACGTAATATACATGCAATAAATACATATACAGTACACATGTAGATGGCAAATACATGGACGTAAAACATAAGTAACAATAAAAGGTGATTTTCAAAAATTTGCATATAATTTTAACTACATATTTCGAGAAAAATAATGATGAAATACACATAAGTTATTTATAATTATAATGTGATTGTTTTACATACATTTGTATAATTCACAATTTAGGTCCTGGTATGACGTTTCAGCTTAAGTTCTTTTATTCATATAAACTATATAGATTTCCCCATACCTTATATTCCTCTGAGAAGAGCAGGTCTGTGTTTCTATGCATGTTAACAACATGTGCAGGGAAATCTGCTAGTTTGACAGGCCTAAAACGGATGCAAATTTGGATGCACTTTCAATTTTCATTAATATATACTTTATAGAATAAAAATTATCTAATTAAGAGTAAAGGAACTTGATGCTTGACTTAATTTAGTAATATTTAATTAGACTTTTAGCTTTTCTACAAGTTGTAAAAATTTGTGCATAATTATTAATTTTCTCATTGTAAGAATTTGATGTAAAATATGTCTTTTTATTAATATTTCTTGATATCTTGGATATTACTGAAATAACAATGTGCAAGTTCAATTTCAGCCTAAGACCTCTGAGATTAAATCACAGGATTTTTATGAACAAATCATATTATGCAAGAAAACACCATTATCTATTAAAATGTGTGCAGATATTGTACAAAAAGCCAATTCTGGATACAACAGGAGAGCCAATGTTTTGAAGCAGCCATCACCCAAGCTAACAATGATCAAGGAACATATATATACAGTGTGTAGAAGAAGACATCATATATACACACTGGGAAGGTTTAATCATCCAGTCTTGCATCAGAATCTTATAATACACACCCACCCAGTGTCATCTATGCTAGAAAGTGAATTGGGAGGTGTTCTCACAGGGCCTTGATGCGAGACTTGCTATATTTTAAATGGTAAAGCAAGACACAACAGAGAGGCAGGAAAGAAGTCAGTATACATGAAGAGCAAATTGAAGAAGTTTTGATACCATATAATACTATTCTGTACAAAGTCTACTGAATGGAGACAACAAAAGCTTGGCAATTTTGTCAAAAACATGGTACTTAAAGTTGGTATTATAGTCTGTTTGATTGGTTTCAGGTTACTAAACTGAAATATACATTTCCCCTCTTTAGAGGCTTTAGATGGAACCCCTATCTTTGTTTATACCTGGTCTTTGGAATGTCTTCAAGTGGCATCTCAGGGTCAAGGCCAAGATTGTCAATACCTCTCTCAACACTGTCGCTCATCATAGGGCTCATAGGTTTATGTGTAGTTGCAGCCATATTGCTGGCAGAATAGTGGAATAGCAATTAGCAGTCAGAAGGCAAGTGAAATTAAGGAGTAGAAATAAAAATGTCAAAACTTCCTTAGCATGCTGGTCATATATTGAATTGTAAAATAATATGTAAAGGATTGAAGAATCCTCAAGAAGGGAAGTAAATAAGGAGGGAAGGCATAGAAATACCAGAACAATGGGCATTTTATTCCATTTTAGAAGAAAAAATGTGAGAAGTGATAAAAGCTTGACCAGAATAATAATAGAGATTTTTTGTTTCGGCATGCCGACCAAAATCCTTGCAATGGCATGGTTGCACTAAAGTCCTATTACCATGGGACGTTTATTTTATTCCACAAGAGTAGTGAAGAATTCATTACTAGTAGTGTATTTGAATACTAGTACCCAATCTAAAGATTACGCTTGCTAGCAGTGCAAAAAATGCATACAGTCTATTGTAAATGCTAATTTACAAATGTGACCATTGTCAAATAGCTATAGATCTCTGTGATATCATTACCATGTATGTGTCAGAAATATATCTTGATTGGATTAAAATGATCACATGACCTTAGTTTACCTTGTCATACTATGGTATCATGAGATGGCATGCCAAAATGTAAAATCTCTATTTACTCATGGAAATTTCCAAGAGAGTAGTTCTGAGGCATTTCCGAGAAAGTAGTTCTAAGATGGCTGTAAATGAGATAAGACAAGTGCTTATTAATATTATTGTAGTATTATATCAGTCTGTGAAAGAGGAGCAAATGAGATTCCAATTATGTCCCAAGGCTACTCTTTTAATCGCTGTAGCCTCTAAATACAGAGACCCAGGTTAATATTCTGACATTTTTGCTAAATATTTTGAACACCACAGTGAAAAAATACAGTATATTCTAAACAACTGTACTGCAATTATTCATCTTTGTAAATTGCATTCTGAAAATTAGTAAAAATTGCATAATATTATTGCACACAAATATTACCATGGTTACTGTACTTTTCTGCTCCTCCCTCTAAAGGTTAATATTACAGTTTAAAGTGAGTTGAAAATTAACTTGTAATGTCAGATTAAGCTAGAGTGCTGCAGAACTTTTATAATAAATAGTAGGGCAAGGTACTATGTGAAGGTTTAATTTTGTGCACAAAAAGCAATTACACTACATCTGAGAACTGAATTTGAGTTGACCTGAAGTAAACTGACAATTGGTGGAGCAAGTTCACTTCATGAGGAGACACATTCATACTGTGTGTTGTGTGAAGTGAGATGACATTGCATAGAATGTGTTTACATCAATTGAGTGAGTTGACATTATATAGAATGTATTTACATCAATTGAGTGAGTTGACATGGCATAGGATATGTTTATATTGATTGAGAGCTGACATTATATAGAAATGATTTTACATCAATTGAGAGAGTTGACATGGCATAGGATATGTTTATATTGATTGAGAGCTGACATTATATAGAAATGCGTTTACATCAATTGAGTGAGTTGACATGGCATAGAATGTATTTACATCGATTGAGTGAGTTGACATTATATGAAATGTATTTACATTGATTGAGTGAGTTGACATTTAAAAGAATGTGTTTATATTGACATTTCTGGATTAACAAGTGAGAAATGGCACAATATCATAAGGGCAAAAAACATTATACTGTACATGGTTATCTATACAAACTAGTGAGTGGGAAGGTGATGTGTACACTTACTTACAAGGTTTGTGAAGGATCAAATGGAAAAACAGCAGACAGAAATACTAGCACTTTGGTCATGTTCAAACTATCTGATTTTCTTGCATTCCTTTGTAATTTACTTTAAGTGTTGCAACATAACCACAGTGACATTTATGTATGCATTAGTCTAACATACAATGATACTTCTGTCAGATTTTTTTTAATTAATGTTCCATAAATCATCAATTTTTGTTTTTTTATGAAATTCATGACAGAATTACCAGTAAAGCCATATGTAATCTAAGTGTTAAGTACATCATTATACAGAGTGCTTGCTGGAAAAGGAAGGTGGTTAGTCACTCTAAAGTACCTAGACTTTGGTTGAAATGAATCAAACTCCTCATAAGTGTTTTCATCATTTATAAATCCTGGATTGTCCTGCACCATCTGGCTGAGACGTGTCCCAGTTGCTGTAGACATCTCACGTCTCATAGGATCCTTACCTTGTGGTTGACTGAATATTGCCAAATATTAATTAAAGCATGCACATCATGTAGCAGTAAGTATGTGAATATTTTGGTTGGTTTGAGTGACTTGTCAATTTTGAAATGAGCTGTTATAGAGAGACCTTAACATCACAGTTCTATAATACAGCAGTACAGGTCCATTTAATAGAATCAGGGCAAAACTGCAAATTAACAAAGGCCTCAGAAATGTAAAAATCATATTCTTCATCTGTTTAGTTAAGAATTTAGAGCCTATGTCTGAACAGCCATTTTAGGGGAACCTAAGACCAGATATGCTGTTGTGAAACTTCATCCAGATTTTTACTACATGGTAGAAATGGTGCATGTATAAATTCATGATAAAATACATCAACGATAGTATGAAAACGAAGGGACATGTATGTTGTGTAAGATATTTAATTGAATGAAACATAAAGCATTGATATGTAAAGATTTATAATATTTACTGTAAATATTAAAAGCAAAAGTTCTTTCATTTCAATAACTTTCAAATTCAATTTTACTTTTTGTTGTTGTTACTGTATGGAATATGATGACTTAAATTATAAATACAACTTACTCTTATTGACGTTTAATCATTACCACAGACTGTAACCTTCTAGTTTTTTAGAAGGCTTAACTTTCTTCGTGATCTGTGAAATGTCTCCAATGTAAATTAGTTTATTAGCAATTATTTAGCTTCAAAATGAATATCACTAAACTGTGGAGATATTCAGTGAAATGACTTACTCTCGTCTTCTCTTCATGAGGAACAACACAATAAGAGCAATGAGGACAGCAGCCAAGAGTCCTCCTATGACCCCTCCAACAATAGCCCCTGTTTGGTCAGCATCTAAAAGATTCAGAAAGCAGATACACCTTAGCTTTTATGAAGTGTCAATAACGATTCTCCTGATTGAAAAACACCATATTTGGATTTCATGCATTACTAGTAAATGTACAGTACATGTACCATCATTATCAAATATTACACTTTAATGCACATAAACCTCTGATTTTTTTATACTTATTAAATAGAAACAATTTCTTGCTCAAAATTTTGAAATATTATCTCAAATGTTGATTTCAAGTTTTGCCCAAAATTGTAAAATATTATCTCAAATGTTGATTTCAAGATTAGTGTATCTTTTACATCTGAATGGAACCCCTATATATTTTTATACCCTAGAATCTAAGTCTACAAACTAGTATAGCACCATTGTAGCCAACTAATAAAGCAGGAAATCATAAACCAACACAACCCCAATAATGTCAATGCAGATCCTAAAATCCTTTTTACATGGTAATTGCTGAAATGATATCATTATTGTCTATAATAATATCATTATTGAAATAATACATTTAATTCATTAATTCAACAACAAAGAACAATTTAGTTCAAAAATAAAATAAAAGCAAAGAAGCATGTAGTTAGACTCAAATACTCCTTCATGGCAATAATGCCTAACAAGAAAAAAGTTGAAATTTGTGTAAAGATTCAATGATTAACCCTTTACCAGGATACTCAAATTGGTTTTATGATCACAATTATTTCATTGTATTTCTCTATAAGATCAAAGTGTCTGATTTGCTGACATTTTAATCCAATTCATAATGTTAACTTCATACCCAAAGTATATTTCTTGCTTATTCCTCCCTTTCCTTATTTTCTTTTAAATATCTTATCATGGTCTCTTACAATCAGACACATTGTTCCATTACATTACCTGTTTCCGAGTCTTCAAGTAAAAAGACAACAATATGTTAAGAAAGGAAGGATGCTAAATTAACTTAATGTTATTAAGCTATGTTCACACCAACAGCGAATGCCACGCTTTAAATCGGCGAACAAAGCGCCGTCACTTTTGTCATTTTCGTTCATTCCAACGGCGCTTTGATGGCGCTTTAAAGCAGCCTGTAAAGCGGCATTAAAGCGTAGCAAAGCTTGATTAAAGCGGCGGGGTCGTAATAGGTCTTAGAAAAGCTCGGAGTAAAGCGGAATATTCGGCAAGAGCGCCAAAAAATTTGAACTGTTTAAAAATTTTGGGCGCTCTGCTACGAATTGATTAAATCGCCGAGAGCGTATCAAACTTGAACAAGGCATTAACATGACAAAATGTCACCACCTAAAACAATTTGGTCAATTTAAAGCAAGTTGGAAAATACCTTTTGACCTTAAGAAGAACTTCTGAGAACAGGTAGATGATTTTGAAAAAAAAAATTAGTCAATTTGAAGCAAGTTGAAAAAAGACCTTTTTGACCTTGAGAAGGTCATTGAAGGTCAAAGGTCAAATCTAAAGTCAGATTTGAACTTCTGAGAACTTGTAAAGTCAAATTTGAACTTCTGAAAAGATGTAGATGATTTTGAAAAAAAAATTTGGTCAATTTGAAGCAAGTTGAAAACAGACCTTTTTTGACCTTGAGAAGGTCATTAAAGGTCAAATGACAAATCTAAAGTCAGATTTGAATTTCTGAGAACATGTAGATGATTTTGAAAAAAAAATTAGTCAATTTGAAGCAAGTTGAAAAAAGACCTTTTTTGACCTTGAGAAGGTCATTGAAGGTCAAATGTCAAATCTAAAGTCATATTTGAATTTCTGAGAACATGTAGATGATTTTGAAAAAAAGATTTAGTCAATTTGAAGCAAGATAAAAAATACCTTTTTGACCTTTTTTGACATTGAGAAGGTCATTGAAGGTCAAATGTCAAATCTAAAGTCAGATTTGAATTTCTGAGAACATGTAGATGATTTTGAAAAAAAATTTAGTCAATTTGAAGCAACTTGAAAAAAGACCTTTTTGACCTTTTTTGACTTTGAGGTCATTGAAGGTCAAATGTCAAATCTTAAGTCAAATCTAAAGTCATATTTGAATTTCTGAGAACACGTAGATGATTTTGAAAAATCTTTTAAGTCAATTTGAAGCAAGTTGAAAACAGACCTTTTTGACCTTTTTTGACCTTGAGAAGGTCATTGAAGGTCAAATGTCAAATCTTAAGTCAAATCTTAAGTCAGATTTGAATTTCTGAGAACACGTAGGCTAGATGATTTTGAAAAAAAAATTTAGTCAATTTGAAGCAAGTTGAAAACAGACCTTTTTGACCTTGAGAAGGTCATTGAAGGTCAAATGTCAAATCTAAAGTCAGATTTGAAGGTCAAATGTCAAATCTAAAGTCAGATTTGAATTTCTGAGAACATGTAGATGATTTTGAAAAAAAATTTAGTCAATGTGAAGCAAGTTGAAAAAAGACCTTTTTGACCTTGAGAAGGTCATTGAAGGTCAAATGTCAAATCTAAAGTCAGATTTGAACTTCTGAGAACATGTAGATGATTTAGAAAAAAATTGAAGTCAGTCTAAACAGTATTTGTTAAGTTATAGGAAGTTGTTACAGAAATTGTTACAGACGCCGGACGCCAACCTCCAACCTCCAACCACCAACCACCAACCGCCGTCGCAAAAAAACGGAGACCATAACAATATGTCACCACTTTTGGTGGTGACATAAAAAACGGAGACCATAACAATATGTCACCACTTTTGGTGGTGACATAATAACAAACCGTAACAAAGTTTAGAAAAGCTTGACCCAAAGCGTAGGAAAGCTTTACATAGCGCTGATAGGTTCCTCACGCTGTGACCAGGTTTTGTTACGCTTGAAATCATGCTTTGATAAGCATTATTACGCTTTGATGCGATTATGACGCTTTGAATCAGGCTCTGATACGATTGTCAAGCTCTGTTGTGCATTGTTATGCTCTGTTAAGCTCTGTCACGCATTGGAAAATGTCGAGATCGCCGATTTCATGCCGCTTTTGATCCAATGACTATATAAAGATGCAGTAGATCCATAAAACCATTGCATCTTTGACTCGAGAACACGATGGCAGAACAACAAGATCCAGAAATTCCAGATGGACCAGAGCATGACCTATCTGAATAAGACATGACGTTTGACGCACGGCGTGAGAGAGCATGAGGAAGCTTGTCAAGCGTAACAAAGCCTAACAAAGCGTTTCAATTCCTGATGTAAGCGTCTCAATTTGTTGGAAAGCTTGAGAGTCCTTCATGAAAGCGTAACAAAGAGTGTCAGATATTGATGAAAGCGTCTGACCTCGTGTCAGATCTTCATGCCAGATCGTAACAAATCCTGAGGCATCTTAACGAAGCGTGTAAAGTGATAACAGACCGTGAAGAGACTGGGGTCCCCGCTTTAAACCAAGCTCTGTTAAGCTTTCCTACGCTTTGGGTCAAGCTTTGCTGAGCTTTGTTACGGTTTTTTAAGCTTTGATACGCTCTCGGCGCTTTAAGCAATTCGTAACAGAACGCCCAAAATTTTTAAACAGTTTAACATTTTTTGGCGCTCTTGCCGAATATCCCGCTTTACTCCGAACTTTTCTACGACATATTACGACCCCGACGCTTTAATCAAGCTTTGTTACGCTTTGGTGCCGCTTTACAAGCCGCTTTAAAGCGCCATCAAAGCGCCGTTGGTGCGAACGCTTAAACAGTTTAAATTTTTTAGCGCTCTTGCCGAATATCCCGCTTTACTCCCGAGCTTTTCTACGACCTATTACGACCCCCACGCTTTAATTAAGCTTTGTTACGCTTTGGTGCCGCTTTACAAGCCGCTTTAAAGCGCCATCAAAGCGCCGTTGGTGTGAACGTACCTTTAAGGAAAAATAAATGATTCGATTTTGATTGTACTATATTGAAATCTAATGTCAGATTTAAAAATAAGTTGATTTAAATCAACATATAACTCAGATGGTGGAGAATAAAATGTAATTAATAAAGTTGGAAGCTAATACTGTATAATGAGCATTCACAAACACTGGAAAACATGGTACATGTACAAGGAATTTAACATCCATGTTCATTATTAAGATGCAAACACTCAAGCAAAACCCTTTCAAAAAAGTTATCCAAAAGAGGAGTTTCTATATACAATGTAGCTTGAAATCTCGCTTATTATCGATTTTCATGTGTTTTCAAGAGATTTGCTCATTAAACCTCTAATGACTTACTTTTCCTTGTTTTGAATAGCATATTTGAATTCAGTGAAACGTTTTGTATAATGATAATCTTGATTATGTCATTTTAATCATTTTGCATGACTTTTCTCTAAACTTGAGCTTGCATTTGTTTCGGACATATTCTCAATGGATTAACAGTTAAGTAAATCTTCATGATATTTACCTGTTTTGATAGGCTGGCCAAATGCAGTCTGTGTACATCCAACAGTTGTGCATACAAACCCCCGAACCCTAGGAAAAAATGCAACATTCTTTTGTACAAATACTATGTATATATTTCTTATATTATAAGCATGTTACATAAGCCTGTACAAACTAAGAAACTAATCTAACTAAAAACAGTCACTATTATCATTGATTGAGCTATACCTGTATGGCCTGTTTGCCTTGAGTGGACCATTACAGTGGCCCCCACAGTCACTATTGTCTGTTCCAACAGTGTAGGTCTTTGGAACTTCAGTTGTAGCACGCCTCTTTCGCCCATCTTGTACTGAAAATATTTTGAAATACATCACAGTCAAACATTTTGGTACTGCTGTTGTTGATTAAAAGAATCAAAGATGAGCCTGCCTGAACTTCCAGATTAAAAATCATTACTGTTTTAATAGCTTGATAATGTCTTTCCTATTTAAGCAAGTATGGTCAAAGATATTTAAATCGATGTAATTTGCTTTCTGAGGGTAAATATTTTTCTGAAGTACAGGAGGTTTCCTTGTTACATACACCAGCCAGAGTAATGGACATTCAAAGTAAAAAATGAGTTGAGCCTAACATCCTGGTATTACTTAGATATGAACAATATTTCAGATTGACCTCCTCTAAATAATAAATATTTTATTGATACATATTCAATTTACAAGTCGCTTCCTTTAATTTATTCTTTAATTACATAATAATGTTAATCCTTCTGCACTTACCTGTCATGCTAGGGCAACTACTAAGGAGCCAGCATTTTGGGGTAGGTCTGTAAAACTGAAATATCTCATCTGATTTGATTCCTCCATATGTAATATTGCTTCCTTTAACATGGACAATGCCTTCCCTTCCAAGTTTATTATCTAAAATAAAGAATATGATCTACAGATTAGGCACATTAACAACAGACTTGCATTGTTTCAACAACAGACACAACAAGATGAGTATGCTAAGTGTTTTCAATACTTTAGAATTATTTATAATTGACAGTGAGACTGAACAAGTAAATCGGACTTTACAAGGATGTTTAAATTACAGGTTTACTTATTATGTAATCCACAATCAGATTCAATGCAAGTTGAAGACTGATAAGAATACTTACTGTCTGAAACTCTGTCACCATCAACAACAATTATTCCCTGATCTGTGATATCACCATTGGCATCATTATTAAAAAAGTCTTCAGGTATAGAAACCACAATCTGAGACCTAGCATCTCCTTCAGGTTTGCCAGGTGCAGAAAATACTGTTTCTGGATTGTTTAATTCGGTTGGCAGAGTTGGATCTATAGATAACAATAAAGAATGTGATTATGGCAAGCACTATCAGAGCTAAAGGTACAATCAAAGAATACCACATTACAATTTTAGATATTCAGGTGGCTATTTCTTGCAAGCCCATTTCTCTCTAGGTATAATAACTATAGCCATTTATATCCTATCCATATTTAGCAAACCATGAAAAATGTTTTAGTACAGTTGAATATGATCATAAAAAATAAAATGTTCATTTTCAGTATGCTGCATTCTTTTAACATTTAAACATGAAGTGATGTCATTGAGACTACAACTTAGTTTGCAAATAACATTTGGTAAAAGGCCATGTAAGTCACACAAAACCAGCTGAATATTCTTTTTCAATGTTGTCTTTGATTTAATTTTGCATATAATCTATTTTTTATTCTAAGTTGACAAGCCCTGAAAATGTTTTTACACTGAAAATACGGACAAATCGTCTAAAGTGATTTGGCTACTTTTCTATGTAAAAATACACAAAAAGGCACAAATGCTCAATTATTTAAGGATTTTCGAGTGTTTTTTAGCATTTCATTTTAATGGAAGAATGGATGGTTTCGCTATATCCTTCAACACCAATTTTCATTCAATGTTAGGATTACATGTTCTCCAAAGTGTAAACTATATAGTTGTACATGTATAATATATCACTTACTACATGCAGAGAGCCTGGACACCTCACTGGATTTAATGGAACTGTTGCTTGCATTCCCAACACCTGTGTTAGCCAGAACCTGAAGTATATTGTTTTCATTTAATGCATGTAATGTATGTGTAGGCCAGAACCTGAAGTATATTGTTTTCATTTAATGCATGTAATGTATGTGTAGGCCGGAACCTGAAGTATATTGTTTTCATTTAATGCATGTAATGTATGTGTAGGCCAGAACCTGAAGTATATTGTTTTCATTTAATGCATGTAATGTATGTGTAGGCCGGAACCTGAAGTATATTGTTTTCATTTAATGCATGTAATGTATGTGTAGGCCAGAACCTGAAGTATATTGTTTTCACTTAATGCATGTAATGTATGTGTAGGCCAGAACCTGAAGAACAGGGTGTCCGGAAAGTAGATACAAATGCTCTAATTTCAATAGATTTACCTTTTGTGAGATGAAATTGCTACAGATTGTAGAATGACATTGTAATAATTTATCCTGCAACTGTCATGACAAATTGTTCCAAAATAAAAAAGTTATGGTTGTTATGGTAACAGGAGTCGCGGGTATGTGGAGCAGCGTCACAATCATGTTTTATAATTCTTTTCTCCAGTTCATATCATCTTGACACTTTGTCATCTGTTGCTATTATACATCAAATTATGTACCACAACAGCAAAATGATTAGTACTGTAACAATATTTAGTCATTTGGCATTACTTCTGTTATCCAGTATTATGTCTTATTATATCTTAACATTCTTGGTGCACTTTGACCGGAGATTTCAAGACCTGACAAAACCGCCGCTGTCCATCTCTAAGGTTGCTGCTAACACTGGCTTCCAGCTGAATCTCATTTATACGTTGAACTTCTAGCAAATATTGCTTCAAGATATTCATTGATGTAGACGTCTAACGGGACATTATCAGGCAAATATGGGCCATTGTACATACATGTTTAATGTGAAGACATTCAATTGTAAGATTTGTTTTCTTTGCTTTTTGAATTGGTCCATTGACTGTGGAGTTGTACTATTGACTTTTCTATTAATCCAGGGACCCCTTTTCTAAGCACTTATATACTTTTTCTTTGATTATACTGGTGACATTATATAGTTCTGATGTGTATCAATGATATCCTTAAACTAAAGAGAATACTATGGCAGCAAGATTACAATATTGAACAAAACAAAACATTGATAGGAAATACAATAATAAACACTGTTTCAAATGGTTATATTATAGCAATTATTCACAATTTAGTGATATCCTGGAACTGCTCCGCATACCCCTCACCACCGTAACCATGACAACCGTAACTTTAACACGTTTAGACTATATGTTATGAAAGTTGGTAGATGTATTGTAATGAAGTTCCTCTACAATCTGTAGCAATTTCATTACAAAAAACCTAAATCTCTTAAAATAAGAGTATTTGTATCTTTACTTTCCGGACACCCTGTATATTGTTTTCACTTAATGCATGTATTGTATGTGTTGGCCAGAACCTGAAGTATATTGTTTTCACTTAATGCATGTAATGTATGTGTTGGCCAGTACCTGAAGTATATTGTTTTCATTTAATGCATGTAATGTATGTGTAGGCCAGAACCTGAAGTATATTGTTTTCACTTAATGCATGTAATGTATGTGTTGGCCAGAACCTGAAGTATATTGTTTTCACTTAATGCATGTAATGTATGTGTAGGCCAGAACCTGAAGTATATTGTTTTCACTTAATGCATGTAATGTATGTGTAGGCCAGAACCTGAAGTATATTGTTTTCACTTAATGCATGTAATGTATGTGTAGGCCAGAACCTGAAGTATATTGTTTTCATTTAATGCATGTAATGTATGTGTAGGCCAGAACCTGAAGAATATTGTTTTCACTTAATGCATGTAATGTATGTGTAGGCCAGAACCTGAAGTATATTGTTTTCATTTAATGCATGTAATGTATGTGTAGGCCAGAACCTGAAGTATATTGTTTTCATTTAATGCATGTAATGTATGTGTTGGCCAGAACCTGAAGTATATTGTTTTCATTTAATGCATGTAAGGTATGTGTTGGCCAGAACCTAAAGTATATTGTTTTCACTTAATGCATGTAATGTATGTGTAGGCCAGAACCTGAAGTATATTGTTTTCATTTAATGCATGTAATGTATGTGTAGGCCAGAACCTGAAGAATATTGTTTTCACTTAATGCATGTAATGTATGTGTAGGCCAGAACCTGAAGTATATTGTTTTCATTTAATGCATGTAATGTATGTGTAGGCCAGAACCTGAAGTATATTGTTTTCATTTAATGCATGTAATGTATGTGTTGGCCAGAACCTGAAGTATATTGTTTTCATTTAATGCATGTAATGTATGTGTTGGCCAGAACCTGAAGTATATTGTTTTCACTTAATGGATGTAATGTATGTGTAGGCCAGAACCTGAAGTATATTGTTTTCATTTAATGCATGTAATGTATGTGTAGGCCAGAACCTGAAGTATATTGTTTTCATTTAATGCATGTAATGTATGTGTTGGCCTGAACCTGAAGTATATTGTTTTCATTTAATGCATGTAATGTATGTGTAGGTTAGGTTGAGGTAACTTTTGGTTTACATGAACATTACTGTGTAAAAACGTGAGAAAGTGCTCCATTATGAGAAATCAATTTTAGAAAACAAAGTACAATTAATTCCTGAGAAATGAAATATGTTGTAAACTGCAAAATTGTACAGCAATGAACTTTAAAATCAAATGATAAATTGACTTTACTTTTATTGCCCAAATTATGAGCAACCGTGTAATGTTTACTTACAGATATTGTATAATTGTATTCAGCATTGAGCTTCATGTCTTTAGTATAGCCTGAATTATTCTCTTCTGCAGTTACCATAACACTTCCACTATGATCTAGCTTATTCTGAAATGAAAATATGATTAGAGATCATAATATTTGTTTTTGTAATCTTAGAATTTATAAGGAAGGGATAGATTTAATTTTATTGGAATACAATTTCATTGCATGTTAGAAATTATGTTAGGTTTCTGAATTCTTACAGTTCTATTTCCCGCATAAGTGATGTAGTATCTGCCAATGAGTCCATTCTTTTCTTTTGGCAGTGGTTCATTCCATGTTACCCTGACAGTTGCACATGCATTCTCCACAACAGTTGTATTTACATTCTGAACAGGTCCTGGGACTGAAAACAAAAGCAGCACACTTATAGGAGGACACATAATTCATAAATCCTAAATACACCTAAGCCCTAACTGTTGATTTGTTTTCGGCCAATTTATCTTAATGTTCCACCTTGTATTTTCTGATTGAGGTCTATAATTTGTATGATCAAAAGAATTAAAAGTAAGTATGACTCACAGTCTTCTGAAGTTTTCTGATCCAATGTAGCATTTGGACCTGGACTCTTATCTGTGACTGCTCTAACGACGACTGTGTAACTCCAGTATTTTCGTAGATCTTCAAAAACTTTCTCTGTAGTATTCTTGTCCACTGAAGAATTAAAGAATGTTTAATACTAGTAAATAGCAGAATTTGTAAGGCTTGGACAGTTAATTTTCAATATTAGATTTTGGCTTTACAATTACAGATTTTAAGTTTAAATTTTTAGTCCTTCTGCTTCAAAACCTACTTGAGAGCAAGAAGAACCAAGGTTCAGGGTTTAGATTTATTCCCCAGACCTATTAAAATGTATCAGCCATTTGTAAATCAAAGAATTATGATTTTTTGTATTCATGAATGTACACTTACAAGTGGCATTTCTAGGGTTATCTCCAGGGTTCTGTGTATCATACAAAAATATGTTGAAGTTAAATGGGCAAGTCTCAGCTGGGGGTGTCCATGTAGCACGTAGTTCAGTAGAGCTTTTGTTTTCAACCTTCAATCCAGTTGGTATACTAGGGGCTGAAAATAAAGAGAACAGTTGGTTGTTTATGGCTAAGAAAATATGCAGCAATTGAACTGATCTGCAATTCTGAAATAGGAGTATGATTAAAGCTAAGTAGAACAGGAAAAGCTAAGTTGCAGCATCAAGTAATGTATCCAGTCATTGAAATTCATATTATATTTCCTAGAACCAACAACCTGCTTGATCATACTTGATTTATATTATGAAATTCAAGAAATGTATCTATAACTTACTGTTAGTTAGAAGTGTTGCAGAACTGGGTGGTGAAAATCCTTCAATCGCAAAGCCAACTTTGGTTTTAGCTTTTATTGCAACAGTGTAGTTGATACAAGGTGACCCTGCTATAACCACGTAGGTTTCATTTACATCCTTTGTTATATTATTGCCAACATCTTCACCTGCGTAGTATGAGTACTGATACTGAATTATGACACCATTAGGAGCAGAGGGTGGTTCCCATGTCACTGTGAATTGTCTCTCCTGTATGTCAGATATAGTAGGGGGAGCCATTCGTCCAGGATCTGGAAAAGCAAAGCTGATTAAATCTATCTACAGTTTGTTAATATTATATTAACTATGTTAATGTAATGATTTTAACACTGAATGACTTCAAGGGACATGCATCTGGGTTGCAAATCCAGGACAGTTTCACAAAGTATGCTCATATACCATTTTTATAATTTTTTAAATTTTTTTATAGATATTTATTTCTCATTTCGAGATAACATATTAACATAACATATTCTACATAGGAATTATCAAAAGTATAGAGATTTTCTTGATAGTAGTCTTAAAAACTTCAAGCTTAGAAAGGGAAATAATGTTATTCCTCAAAAACTACTGGAATTCCAGATAGATAGAGTTCTCAAAATTTTCACAGTCTTAACTCAACCATTTTTTTAAAGAATCATTTGCATCCCTTCATCTGGATCATTTCTTGTGAATATGTACCTATTTTGTCCAATTAACATTTAAATCAATCAACAGTACTTGGCACAATTTGTTACATGTTCACGTTCCTATTTCCGTATTATTCCGTTCATATTCATTATGTAGTCATGGACATCACAACATTACATATAATGCTGTCCAATCTTATCAATGAAGCGCATATATTTTCCTTCACATGTTGCGCTGCAACATCGCATGTCGTATCAGAATCTGTGTTTGTTTCTTTGGTATGCTTATCAATTTTGCACTCAGTTGATTCGTTGTCCATCTGTTTCTTAATATTTACATTGCAGCCTCTATGTTTTCTGTCCATATTGTCTGTTTTAGTTGCGACATGGTTCATCTTAAGTTCTGTTCTGTTATTATTTGTTTGTGTACTTGTGTTTACTTTGTTGATTCTGTTCTGGGGAGTCTGTAATAATGAAGTAAATCCACTGTCTTCTCTATTCTGTGAATTCTCTGTTTTAATGTTACTGTTTACAATTTCAATGTTATCAGTATTGATAAACACAGCACTACTATTTTGACCAGGTTTCACAGGTGTTGACTGTTCATGTAATCCTATTTGTTCATGGTTTGGAACACTACTCACTATTTTTTTACTGGCATTGAAAGCACTAATCCTATTTGTGTCTCTCATTAGCCTACTTGGTGATTTGCTTCTGGTTTCTGAACTTGGGTCACCAAGATGGTGTACTACGCATTGCAATGTGATAGATGTTCCATTGTTTGTTGCGTTTATGTTATATCCTCCGAGGATGCACCCTTCTTCTTTAAGTTCACTGATCAGATGCTCCACTATCTTAGGAATCATTGTATCTCAATATATTTCCTATAATGAACTTTATTTCACTGATTTTTACTATCTTTTACAAGCAAATTTTTTCCTGCTTTTCAGTTAGATTTCACTATACTATCATATCCATTTTTATAATTATAAAAAGATATATACAGGTATCTGCATTAACAATCTTCATATGCTTTTGATAGACATCATGAATCTTGGGTTTATCTGTTTGTTGTCTTTGCTAAGACTTTCACTAGTGGGTCTGTACTTTCCTATATTTCCCAGCAATAAGTTTTCTATATTATGATGTAGTTGCTTATACTCAGAAATAAATTCTTTTTTGCAGGTTTTACATGTCACAGTATTAAACATGATAAAGAAGAGCTACAAAAAGGTCAGTCTGAGTCAACAAATATTTCTTCTCCTATTTGATAAAAAAATAAACCTGTCTAAAAAGCAGAATCAGATCTAAAGTAAGTGACAAGATTATAAGCAACATGTAGAATTAACTACCAATATGTTCCCTAGAATTTCAAATGTAATATCTTCCAAATGTTCCACAATCAGTGTAAAAATGGGGGAGAATGTTAAAAATGTCCCAAATAATAAATGTGGTAAGCACATTTATAGAAAAAAGATACATTATTCATTTAGATCAGTAAATTATACTATTGACTATTCCACTTACACCACTCTTCTGTTCTGTTGCTTAACTCAGCTTCATGCCCCCTCCCAACTGTGTTAACTGGCCATACTGTTGCCTCATACATATCATATGGTATGAGTTCCTCAGTGGTGTTATATGTGAAGGTTCTGTCCTTCTCATTAAATGGCACTGTTTTGTTGGTTCTGCAGTTCTCTATGACCTTTGTTATATTGGCCTGAGTATCTTGTGAACTCTGGAATTAATAAAATTATTTGAGCAACTCCATTGATACAAGCGTAAAGCATTCATAATTGATAGTTCACACTGCACATTAGCCATACCATGAAGATAAGAAATATTCAAACAACAGACAAAAAATAATTTAATTCTTAAGAAGTCAGAACACAAATTGGAAGAAATTTTTTCTTCTATTCATTAATCTTAGAATGTGCATTTTTATCAAAATCTTTGAAAGTAAAAGTATGTTATTAGATTAATGCTGATTACTTTCCTTTCAACACTAATTCATTTTTTTTAATTTTCTTAATCTAGTCTTATATCATAAAACATGAAATCTATTTATCCCACGGGACTGTAAACATTTATTGTGTTGAAGTTAATACATGGAATGAATAGACTAGATGCGAGTAGAAATGATCTTGATTTACGTCATTAAATATTCAAAATTCAGTCAAAGTGATGTCATATTTGAAATCTACATGTAAAAATACATCTAAAAATATGGTTTCGAAAATTGTTTATCAACTTTGAAAATTTAATATTTTTTGAAAATGTGACTTCTAGTTCGGGTTGATTCCCCATAGACCCCATATTACAAAATCACAAAAAGTGAAATATCTTTTCTTGTATTGGACATATAACATTTTCTTTTACTGGACATACTTTAATTTGCATAACTATTAGATACATAAGGGCTATATGAAAATTGAACCACTTAAACAGATGTAATTTAAGTTAAAGGGAACTTTCCACTATACCTGCCATGCTATCTGACCCGAGCGAGCCACCTGGTGGTGAAACTGGTAACTACCTACTCGCATTTGCGTTATTCAAATACATGTATTTAATTTTACTTGATGAAATAGTTTGTAGTACAGTGTACATGTATTTGTTATATGTATGCACGATGACCAAAGAGATACAATACGAAATCTTACAAGAAAACGCAAATCTTCTACAAGGAATATACGTTTGCAAATATTTCAACTCACCACACATTCATCACAATTATAGATTACTCCAATCACACATTCATCCTTATCTTTGTTGAATATCCTCAGTATGTACTGACTGATGACCCCATTTGGTTCACTTGGATAAGTCCACGTATACTCTAATGAAATATGGGTCTTACTTTCAAGTGAGAATGTTGCCACAGCCTTAGACACTAAAACATAACAGTTACATAACAGAATATTTCCATGTACATATGCACAAATATAGGAGGCAATACAAAAATAGTGGAAAAGTAATAATAGTGAGGTCATGCAAAATATACCTGTGTTTGGCAAGTGTGTATGTTTGAAAATTTCAAATATGATGCATTTTGTGATGAAATAGAGACAAAAAAATATTCCATAATTTAAGAATATGGTACTTTGCTGCATTCAAATGCAAATCATTAAATAAAAAAGAACCATATACGATATCGTAGATATAACATTGGGCATGACTACAAGAGTTCTGACAAAGCCCCTAAATATCATGCCCAAATAAATACTTACTTGCTTCCTTTGTTTTTGTGGTTACTACATTAGATCTTGCACTTGTATATGCTACATTTTTGGCCTTAACCCAGAACTTGTAGTCTTGAGCTAGAAAAGTAATTGATAATTATGTACCAGTAACAATCAAACATGTACTGTACATACACATTGTAACAATAATACATACATGTTGTAAATGAATATACACAAGGAGCTCATGGGTCTCGAAATGATGACCTCATGGTTATGACGTTAGGCCATAAGAAGTAGATTCTTTGTTTTGCGTCCTGGCAAAATCCAAATCATGCAAGGGTACAAGAAAAACAAACACAAACTCAAGAAAAAAACACAAACTTGTTTGCTGAGCAATGTATACATTTTATGGGCATAAAAAGGGATGATATACCAATTTGCAGTGATTACAAACACATATCTATACATTTTATACAATATATTTAAACTTCAAGGGTAAAAATAAGAAAATACACAATGTATGCCAAAATAATTATAACACTGTCAATTTTGACGCACATCAAATTATCCGCCATTTCGTCTGATTCTGATTGAACGAAATGTAATGGTACTTTCAGACCCTTGTGATTGCTATTTTGATGTGTTTGTTTTTTCTGATTTACTCAAAATCGTGCAAGCAAGGGGACGCAAAACAAAGAATCTACTTCTTATGGCCTTAGCGCCTCGCTGAATTTGTTCTGGCACTCTAGGCTGCTCAACCAACTTAGCAACCCCAAAAAAGGATATTTCATTAGCAAATCTGACTGGAGCGAATGGATGTTAATGCTTAAACAAGGCATTAACATGACAAAATGTCACCACCTAAAACAATTTGGTCAATTTAAAGCAAGTTGGAAAATACCTTTTGACCTTAAGAAGAACTTCTGAGAACATGTAGATGATTTTGAAAAAAAAATTAGTCAATTTGAAGCAAGTTGAAAAAAGACCTTTTTGACCTTGAGAAGGTCATTGAAGGTCAAAGGTCAAATCTAAAGTCAGATTTGAACTTCTGAGAACTTGTAAAGTCAAATTTGAACTTCTGAAAAGATGCAGATGATTTAAAAAAAAAAATTGGTCAATTTGGAGCAAGTTGAAAACAGACCTTTTTGACCTTTTTTGACCTTGAGAAGGTCATTAAAGGTCAAATGTCAAATCCAAAGTCAGATTTGAATTTCTGAGAACATGTAGATGATTTTGAAAAAAAAAATTAGTCAATTTGAAGCAAGCTGAAAAAAGACCTTTTTGACCTTTTTTGACCTTGAGAAGGTCATTGAAGGTCAAATGTCAAATCTAAAGTCATATTTGAATTTCTGAGAACATGTAGATGATTTTGAAAAAAAAATTTAGTCAATTTGAAGCAAGATGAAAAAATACCTTTTTGACCTTTTTTGACTTTGAGAAGGTCATTGAAGGTCAAATGTCAAATCTAAAGTCAAATCTAAAGTCATATTTGAATTTCTGAGAACATGTAGATGATTTTGAAAAAAAAATTTAGTCAATTTGAAGCAAGTTGAAAAAAGACCTTTTTTGACATTGAGAAGGTCATTGAAGGTCAAATGTCAAATCTAAAGTCAGATTTGAATTTCTGAGAACATGTAGATGATTTTGAAAAAAAATTTTAGTCAATTTGAAGCAAGTTGAAAAAAGACCTTTTTGACCTTTTTTGACTTTGAGAAGGTCATTGAAGGTCAAATGTCAAATCTAAAGTCAAATCTAAAGTCATATTTGAATTTCTGAGAACATGTAGATGATTTTGAAAAAAAAATTTAGTCAATTTGAAGCAAGTTGAAAAAAGACCTTTTTGACCTTTTTTGACTTTGAGAAGGTCATTGAAGGTCAAATGTCAAATCTAAAGTCAAATCTAAAGTCAAATCTAAAGTCATATTTGAATTTCTGAGAACATGTAGATGATTTTGAAAAAAAAATTTAGTCAATTTGAAGCAAGTTGAAAAAAGACCTTTTTGACCTTTTTTGACTTTGAGAAGGTCATTGAAGGTCAAATGTCAAATCTTAAGTCAAATCTAAAGTCAGATTTGAATTTCTGAGAACACGTAGATGATTTTGAAAATTTTTTTTAGTCAATTTGAAGCAAGTTGAAAACAGACCTTTTTGACCTTTTTTGACCTTGAGAAGGTCATTGAAGGTCAAATGTCAAATCTTAAGTCAAATATCAGATTTGAATTTCTGAGAACACGTAGATGATTTTGAAAAAAAAATTTAGTCAATTTGAAGCCAGTTGAAAACAGACCTTTTTGACCTTTTTTGACCTTGAGAAGGTCATTGAACGTCAAATGTCAAATATAAAGTTAGATTTGAAGGTCAAATGTCAAATCTAAAGTCAAATCTAAAGTCAGATTTGAATTTCTGAGAACATGTAGATGATTTTGAAAAAAAAATTAGTCAATGTGAAGCAAGTTGAAAAAAGACCTTTTTGACCTTGAGAAGGTCATTGAAGGTCAAATGTCAAATCTAAAGTCAGATTTGAACTTCTGAGAACATGTAGATGATTTAGAAAAAAATTGAAGTCAGTCTAAACAGTATTTGTTAAGTTATAGGAAGTTGTAAGAAATTGTTACAGACGCCGGACGCCAGACGCCGGACGCCAGACGCCAGACGCCGGACGCCAACCACCAACCGCCGTCGCAAAAAAAAACGGAGACCATAACAATATGTCACCACTTAAGTCAAATATCAGATTTGAATTTCTGAGAACATGTAGATGATTTTGAAAAAAAAATTAGTCAATGTGAAGCAAGTTGAAAAAAGACCTTTTTGACCTTGAGAAGGTCATTGAAGGTCAAATGTCAAATCTAAAGTCAAATTTGAACTTCTGAGAACATGTAGATGATTTAGAAAAAAATTGAAGTCAGTCTAAACAGTATTTGTTAAGTTATAGGAAGTTGTAAGAAATTGTTACAGACGCCGGACGCCAGACGCCGGACGCCAGACGCCGGACGCCAACCACCAACCGCCGTCGCAAAAAAACGGAGACCATAACAATATGTCACCACTTTTGGTGGTGACATAATATACCAGAGGTAACATTCATACACACAATTAGCTCGATTATCCTTAACATATATATGTAACATATTTTACATCCTGTAACATATATAAACATTAATATACTATTAATCTACTGGTTTGTAGTTGCATTTTAATTTTTTACTTTTCATATATACCATTATGTACACAATATTTCGAGCTTGGTAAGGATATACCAGGTCATAATACTTTTACAAGTTTTATAGAAGTGAACAAGACATGGAGGCCAGGGGGCTAAAAGATCAATGATTCATAGTTACTAATAAACATATATGAGCATATGTACCTGGTTTGAGATTTTCTACTGTGTATGATGTTTCAGGACCAGTAGTATTCTCACTAAATACTGTTCTATTGGGATGTTCAATCTCTATGATGTAGTATTGTATAACACCATTTGGTTCTAGAGGTGGTATATAATTCAGTGTCACTGCAGTGTCCAGGACCTCACCAAGACTGGGACTTTGTGGTGGAGATGGAGCTGGAAAATCATCATTATTTTAATTTGAATGTTCATCCTATGGTATACAAAATATAATGCAATTATGATAGCAGGTTGCATATAGATCTAGCTGTCTACTGTGTTGCTCTTGGAAATTCAGAATGTTATAATAAAAGTACAAAACTGAATTGTTCAAAGCTGGATCAGATTAAACAGAATCAATTGTTAGGTTTTATTTTCAGACAAATGAATTTCTTTACTGGTCAGTATATTGACATTTATATTTTGTTTTATATAAAACAGATTGAGATAATGGAACATCAGGATAAGGTTGTCAGTTGAAAATGTTTCATAATTGAAAAAGATATCCTTAAGTTTATGATTATTCTATTACCATCGATATACTGTATTTAGAGGGTAAATAGTCCCATTGATTATACTCAATTATTGCAAGACTACATTATCTCAATCAAGATTACAAATACAAAAGTTACTATTTTGTGTCAGTGCTATGTAGCAATTATCTTGTATTCTTACTGTCTTCATCCATTGTAGCATTGGATGTAGCAGGATCACTGAAACATTCAGGAGAGGAAACCTTTGCCACAACTGATATATCATATCTTTTTCCTGGGGTAAGACCAGTGAATTGTGCAGTCCTCTTATCACCACCAACAGTCCTTTTCATTTGTGGAGCATTGATCGTGACTTCATACGCATCAGGATCATCATGGCCATCAGACTTCAACCAATTTACAGTTAACTCTTTTTTTGTCACTTCAGATGATACTTCAATTGGAATGCTTGGACCTACAGACAAAGGATATAAAATATTAATCTTTTCTTATATTCATTAAAATTAAAATTGAAACCTGAAAAGTTGAACACCTCTAGAAGAGGAACACCTCTGTAAGTTGGACACTTTAGAGTCCAAAGACCAAATGACATAATGTTAAATGAACCTCTATAATTGAACACCTCCCAAGTGGAACACTTCAGAGGTACAAAAGGTGTTCCTTTTAGACAGGTTTTTCTCTATATACAGTATCATAATTAACTTATCAAGTGAATTTAAGTGTATTCTTAAGTTGCCAGTCTTGAACCTATTTAACAAATTCATTTGCTCATGGAATATGAGCTTTTATACACCCATGTTTTACAACTAGAGTGATGTAATGCATTCTATATAGATATGATATAAATATGCTCTATATCATATATTGGTATTTAAAGGATCTCAACATAAGTATGGTGTTCAAAGTTTACAAAAAGTGTTCGGAATCCATCTACTTTTCACTTCAATAATAAAATCTATATCATAACTCCATACTATAATACTTGATGATAGACTTACACACTTTTCCTGTGCCATCAGTGTTGGTACTCTGCTGACCATTACTGACTACCCATACAGAGACTGTATATTGTTTGGCTGGTACTAGGTCATTCCATGTCTTAGTTAGAACTGTCTCTACATCTTCAGGATCAGAATCAACAGTGAGGAGCTGCACTTTGAAGCTTGATACATCTGTTCCAGTAGGTGTGGTCCATGTAGCTGTGAGGTCTGTAGTTCCTTGTGTGTTTGTGATTGTAACATTCTGTACTGGGAGTGGCTCTATAAGGCAAGGCAACCACAACCATACATTAACAATTTCACTACCCCTTATACAATACCCTAACTTAACTATACTTCTACTCTTTGAATACTACATTTGGGAGATAAGCGCTTCTGCTCCAGGGACTCGCTGACTACTGAATATATTGAGTATGCCAACTTCAACTACAGCTTATGTTCTAGTATTGTATCTCAACCAGAGGGGGAGGGGGGTTACATCAGCTACTAAACATGAATGTAACAAAAATATGAAAAGCTACTAGACATTGTCTATAATGTATTCTCTTCATAACTGTACCCATAAATAGAATTGTTTTATTAAAATAGGGAAGACTAGTATATTCCATTTGTGGCCTTTCCCTCAGTTCTTTAGAAATTGCCCATTATCTTTTTCAATTTTAAATTATAATGCTTAGTGCTCATGATACATGTACTTTGAAGTTGCAAAAATGATCAATCCTTGGCCATGTTTTGAGATGCAAAATATGGCATCATTAATGAGAGAAATCAGGAAGAAATATAGTAAACAGGCATGTAATCAACACTGCAAACCATTCAATTTTAAAAAGAGAATGATCACCATTGTGGCCACTTTCTCAAAAGATGTTATATATAATCTATTATTCACATGATTAATATTTTGACAAACCAAAGAATTCAGCAGCATGCAAAAATAAACAAATTGAATACATGTTCAAATAATATATAATGTGGATCAACATTATTACCATAACATAACCAAAGGTATAATATTATTGAAGATAACAAACTCAACAAATAAACAAATTCAACATATGGAATAACTGACCCACAGTAAAACATTTTAAAGAACATCACAGGGCCTGCAGTGATGGAATAATGTTGCTTATGAGAAAATGAAATCATCAACTCATACAATATTGCAGTCATAAAAGACAGTACTGTAGTGTTGTGATAAAATACAAAATAATATGGTAAAATCATATAAACATACAACAAAAGGTCCAATCCCAGTGATATGAACATAAAATCAAATACACTAATGCCATCATGCCACCCACTCTGGAGTAATGTGTATTTGGTCAACTAAAGGGGTAATTTATGAGCTATGTTCTAAGCAGACCTACATGCTTCAAGCACAACCCTATTGAACCAATCAATCATATAATATGTCACCTCCATAGGAAGATATGTCCTCTGGAATAAAATAACATATTTTGAACAGACATTCTTCCACTGAAAATAAGAACACAAATTACAGAGTTTTATATATCTGGTGTCCCAAAAACGTATTTTCTAAGCAACAAATTCATTGAAATTATTTATTGAGGAACTATAAGGTATCATTAGCAAGTACTATAAACATGAAAGAGATCAGTTACATATTATGTGATAATTTTCAATTTAAAGTCACTTATTTCAGTCTGAAAGAAACCATTTTTTTACAAACAGAAATGCCTTCTTATCAACAATATATAGACTCCATGTTGGATGCATGTTGGATGTAATGTATTTTTGTTCATAAACGCTGTAAGAAATGTGTAGCAAATGGTGGTGACTATTTTGAAGGCGAATGAACTTATAAACTATAATGACCTATTGTATGAGATTTTATGGGGGTGAAACTCCACAAATTGAAACGATCTGAAATAGCTCTTCAATTGCTGAAATTCGGAATAAAGTTTAATTTATTCCAGCTCCACCTACTCTGTTGTCATGCTGCTATGGTAACCAGACACCTATGTTGCTGGTCAGATTTATTGTTTATTTTTACACAAAATGAAACTACTATATAGGGGGTGATTGTGGCCAAATATGAACAATATTCATAAAATATTAAGATTTTTAGAGCAAACGGTTCGGAACTTTTGGATCAACCCTCGTACATGATGCATTGCGCAACTCCGATATTTAATTTATTGACATGCATTTCTGAATTTGTCAATATTCACATTATATGCAACTGATTTCTGTCATATTTGTACAACTTGCTAATGATACCCTAAGGTTATTTTATTGAATTTGAATAGTCTATTGCTGAGAAAATACTTGTCAAAAGGCGACTCACCATTTTCGGACACCTGATGTAAATGACAGCAAAGAATTATTGTGGGGAATAAAATAAATGGGAATAAATGGGATTCCATTTCAAATTCATATGTGTCAAGCAGATTGTGCAGATTGTATGTGTTTACAAATTCATGTTTTTAAATGCCCAATGAAAAGCTGAAAAAATAATTTATCACTGTAACTAAAATGTATAATATGCAATAAAATGTATGACATGTCATCTCCATCTGAAAATTCTACATCGTAAATAGAAAATAAGTAACCAGACAAATATACTGTAGAAGATAAAGTAATTAAAAGGGAATACAGTACTTGCCTAACATGCCTTCACATCTTTACTTGGTATCATTGCTCATGATATCAAAGCATTTATAGCAATAATACCTCTTTTAAGATTGATTGTGTGTAATATTACTGACAAGGTTTCTTGAGGATGATTTAGCCGATCAAGATTCAAGCTATGATACACTTCTTCTCCAAAAAGCCTTGTTCTGGACAAATTATACTAGATAGACAAGAAAGTTAATATCATTCTCTATAAAGATATGTATTTGAAATGCCTTACTTGTTACAAATTCTGGTGATGATGTAGGCTCACTGACAGTCCCCCCATTCGTCATTGCTGTCACCCTAGCTGTGTGATTTCGACCTGGGTAAAGACCTGTACATGTTTCCTCTCTTGATGTTCCTGCAATATTGTCATCAGTAAACACCACTCTGCTGTCAGTCACTTCCAAACACTCCAGTTTGAATTTATCTGCATTGCCATCTCCTTTTGTCCACTTTACTTTTGCCTCTGTGATGGTAACATCCTCATTGTCCACTGTGACAGTACCTGGCTTATTCGGCTCTGAAATGTCAATATAAAATCTCAGTAGTTGAAATTAAACAAATACTGTATATTGATGGAAGCTAAAAGGTCTACTACTAGTATGTGACTGGCATTGGTGCAAGATCTAATTTCAGTAAAGTAACACATACATGTAACATGGATATGTATGACATAACATGGATTGGCCATCCAATACATCCTAGGAAAAGAAATATAGATACAAGTACTATATTCACATCAAACACATATAGACAATACACAAAATGTACAAACCATTGTCTGAAGTTTCTATAATGAATGCAAAGATTATTTCCATGAAACAGGCTAAGACTTACATTACATGTTTCCTTAATACATGTAGGCCTTTGTGCTAAAATGTAAGCTGGATTATATAATACAGTATTAAGAAAAAAGCATAAAGGACACATAAAACACATAGACATGGCATTTCAGGACACGATCATCACCAGGTTGCAGTTACAAAAGTGAAACTATTTTTACAGACATCAATACTGAATGCCACTTATTAAGACAGGTCACAAAAACTGTGGCAATAGTTGGACATTGTCACTACTTCTTGGTGATGAAAATTGACAAAATGAAACAAAAAGCAATTATTAGAATAAATTGTCTCAATACATCTAAATATGAGCATATCAAAAGCAATCACTTGTATAGACCACCCTCTCCACAGGGTCACTAAACAAGGTCAAATTAGCTTGAGTAATAAGCACATCAACAGAGAAATTATAAGCAAAGCGACTAGTAAGGTTAGTGAAGACAGCCTGTGTGGTATTATTGAGGAATATTTGAGTGACATCCTGCAGTTGTTCTTCTGAACTATAGGTGACTCTGAATTTATGATTACTGTCATATGTGGGTGTCCCCCACTGGATTGTTAGTGAGGATGGGGTGGTTTTAGTAACAGTTAAAGCAGAAACTGAATTTGACCCTAAAATTATATTACTAGTTTTTAGTTTAGTTTAAAATAGTTTATTTTTGTGTCACTGATATTACAATTTATTCCATAATACTACTGTTTTCCCAGGGAAATATGAAGGAATAAAAATCGTATTGAATCGTATTACATGAAAAAATCGTATTGTCCCCGGGAAAAAAATCGTATTGGAGCGTATTACATGAAAAAATCGTATTGTCCCCGGGACAAAAATCGTATTGGAACGAATTACCCTGTTTTTGGTTTCTCGGTTATTTTTAACCTTGGCTAATTGATAAAAGCATTATCCAAATGTAACATTTTAAGGAGGAATGTATTATCTATTATGGAATAAATAGGTTATTTCTGGTCGGGATTGAATATGGGTTTTATTCTTTGGAAAATATGATATTGACCTTGGGAAATATGATATTGACACTCAGTCGCTGCGCTCCCTCGATCAATATCATATTACCCTTCGGTCAATATCATATTGTCCCTCGGAATAAAACCCATATTCAATCCCTCCCAGTAAATAACCTATATTTATTATTCCATAATACTACTGTTTTCCCTGGGAAATAAAATCATATTATCCCTCTTAAAATCATATATACTCGAAAAATCATATTGTCCCTGTAAAAAATCATATATACTCGAAAAATCATATTGTCCCTGTAAAAAAATCATATTGTCCCTATATATATTTTCAAAAAAATTTTTTTTTCCAATTTTTTCCCAATTTTCGAAAAAAACATTTCAATTTTTCAATTTTCTTAAATATTTCTTTTTCCTTGAATTCTCAAAAATTAAATTATGGAATAAAAAGGTTATTTCATGCTTGCTTTTCAATATGAATTTTATTCCACGGGAAATATGACATTGACCTCGGTAAATATTATATTGACAATCACTCGCTACGCTCGTTCGGTCAATATCATATTTCCCTCGGTCAATATCATATTACCCTGGAATAAAATTCATATTGAAAATCAAGCATGAAATAACCTATATTTATTATGCAATATGCATCTCACATTTAGTGCAATATTTGTATTCATTGTAATATTTGTCTTCAACCATATGCATTGTGTATTTCACATTTAGTGCAATATTCAAATTTATTGTAATAGCAACATGCTTCTCACATTTAGTGCAATATATGTATTTATTGTAATACTGTATTCGACCATATGCATTATGCAATTCACATTTAGTGCAATATTTGTATTATTGTAATATTTGACCATATGGAACATGCTACTCATATTAAGTGCAATGTATGTATTCATTATGCAATATCCATCTCACATTAGGTGCAATATGTGTATTTAATGTAATGATTGACAATATGATTCCATGAACTGCTTATTTATGCCAAACTGATTAATTAGAGTTGTGAATTGATATCATTGGTTATTTATGTATAAATTTTTACCAGAGACATTATATGTCTCTGTCTTTATGAATGTTGACCCAAGCTGCCCATTGGAGGTAGTAATGGGTGACACTCAGATATAATGTATACTGTGTCTCATAAATTCAATCCCGACCAGGAATAACCTATTTATTCCATAATACATTCCTCTAAAATGTCACATTTTGAAAATGCTTTTATCAATTAGCTAAGGTTAAAAACAACAGGAAAACCAAAAATAGGTTAATATATTCCAATTTTCCCGGGGACAATACGATTTTTTCATGTAATACGCTCCAATACGATTTTCTTCCCGGGGACAATACGATTTTTTCATGTAATACGATTCAATACGATTTTTATTCCTTCATATTTCCCTGAGAAAACAGTAGTATTATGGAATAAATAGAGATTATCCTATATGAGGTTCAGGATATTGGGATTATCCCGAGGCCAATATGATATATATGCCAGAGGGCCGCAATATATTAAAATATATTATATTGGCCAAGGGATAATCCCAATATCCTGAACCGACTATAGGATAATATGTTTATCCCATACCAATCTTGGTCATCTGGTTAACATTGTTCAATCATGGAAATATTTTAGAATACTCATGTCTAGTTTTGTTTTCTTGGCCGTGGGCGGATTTTCCTGTTCTCTCAAATATTCCCATATTTATTTTCTCTAATTTTTGATTGATTAAGTGGATGCTCCTTCCCTTTTTTAAACCATCAAACAGATCCCGATAGTGTTTTCTCCATTGTTGTTTACAGTCAATACGCGAACGTTACAAATTATGAACAAATATGCGAGCTGCGATTATGACGTTGCGGGCAGATATACTATATCTGCCCGCTCGGAGCGGGACGTAAAGCTATATCTGCCCGCTGATGAAAATATAAGTTTTTACAAACCGGCTTTATGTACCTGTAAAACGTCCAAGTATGGGATAAATACATATATTGCACTAAATATGAGTTGCAAGTTGTCAAATATTGCAATAAATAAACACATTGCACTAAATGTGATTTGCATGAGTGAATGAATAAAACAAGAATCCCATAGTTAATATACACCTCTGTAGTAGTGTGGTAGTCTAGCATCTTCTCCAAGGTCAATAGCTCAAAGCACTTAAGACAGGCAGCATAAAACCAAAGAGCTTCTGACTAGATACATTTTTAAATAAATATTCTATAAAGAAAACTTAGGTGACATGCATACTCATTTAGTGATTATAGCCTATCAATATTAAGAGATCTCTTATTGCACATATTATAAACTAAAGCTCCAAATGGTCTTTGGAGTGAAGTACCTTTCATAATGGAGACAAAGAGAAGTGTAGAATTGGCTGATGTTACATCTAAATAAGGCAATTTCTGTTTAGCACTTTCATAAAAATCACATCTTAGATCATCATAATGGCTACATTCTTACAAGAAATGCTTTTCATCTTCTACACAATCCATGTCACATAATAAGCATTTCCTTTCATGTAATGGTATACCTGTGTAGCGCCCTGTTTCAATTGCTAAGGGCAAAGTACAAGTTCTGAATCTCGCAAGTGACCTACGGTGATGCTTTGGTAGGGCCAAATACTTTTTCTTGCAAACAACATATTTGTACAGTCTATATTGCCTCAATTTATTGCATTAATTTCATTATTTCTATCATCCCATATGTTATGGATAAATTTATCAGAATTTCGAAGAGAGTTATTACACTGTTTTAAATGTCCTTGGTATGACCAGTGATATTTATATTACATGTATTTAACATTGAATTAACTTTAAAGTCCCAACTGCTTTTCCGTTTAATGGACCATTCATGTATTTTAAAATTGAGCCTATTCTGATTCAAGGACTTCGGTTTAATGAACAATCTAGCACATTCAGTATTTTGTTTTAAATGTGGAGTGTCCCATCCGAGATCTCCTCTAACAGCCTCATTACTGGTGCATTTGTTTACACCTAGAAAGAACTTCACAGCTTTATTTTGAACATTGTTCAGGCATTGATGTTGGTTGAGGCCAAACATAGATGAACCATAGGCTGGACTAAAGCGTCATAGAGCTTGTTGTAAACTGGGAACTCCATACCCCTAGTTTGCTTGTATTTGCTGATAATCACACTTAGGGCACTATTTGCTGATTTTGCAATTTCGCTGGCAGAATGTGTTGAGTCCACATGCTCTTGGAGCCAGATCCCCAGATATTTATAAGTGTCTGTATAATCCAGATCAAAGTCCCCACATTTAAAAGCAAAATCTGACCTAGGATGTTATTTTGGGCGATAATGCACTATTTTAGATTTTCGAGGGTTAATTAGAAGTCTCCATTTGCGGCACCATTCATGTAGAGTGTTTAACATCTGTTGTAAGTTATCAGCTGAGCTTGCAATAAGCGCTATGTCATCAGCATAAAGAAGGATGCCTATGTTCTCGTCCTCCATTTGTATTCCACATTGTAGACGGTTAATGTCGGACACTAGATCATTCACATACACTGAAAATAATGCCGGGGATAGCAGACAGCCTTCCCATTTGAATATAATTTTTCATATGTGTCAGCCCAGTGGTTCAGAACTACCTGTTTATCATACACCAATTCAGATTGATTTTTCATCGTCCATGGAACATCTTTGGTACGCTCGTTGGGTATTCCTATTTTCCCTATGTATTTCCAAAAGTCCTGTGAACTGGATGATTTGTACAGATCAAATAGATGGTCTTGTTCTTGCTTCTGATATCGGCGCTTAGCTTTCCTTAGACTCCTATCAAAACAACGCCTTTAAATACAATAAGTTGCTTTGAGACATTGTCTTTTTGCTGTATCTTTGCATTGTATCCATGTCTGTTCAGCTTTTTGAACCTTATCCCAAAATGATTGAAGCTCAGCACTCCAATAAGGTTTTCTACATGATTTAGAACGTTTGTGGGTTGGATTGGTTTGCTGGGTTATCGGTTCACATAAACAGTCCATTTCTGTTGACACATTACTAAAACTATAGTTTCTAAAGCATAAAGATCACGCCTGGTGATCGAAGATATGGGACGGAGGGGAAGCAATTGGTAGAAAATTTAACAAATCTGTAAGATTTATTTTTTCAAAAGAAAGTTTAGTATTGAATTGGCTAATGGAGAGGCGCACTGTATGGTAAAATATTTTAAAAGGTCTTCTAGGATATTTTCTGAACTGATACGCTTCTAAGATATGAGGTCTATTAAACAAGAACACATGTGTACAACACATGTCCCCACCATATGGGTGATCCAGTATACTGCAAATTTTTCATCCTGAAAGCCAAACACTTATCAGTTGAAAAGACAAGATTTTAAGACAAAAATACATGTGGCCCCCATAACATTTTCTCGGACTGCCCAAAAAGTAGTTTGAGATTTTCATACAAAGAATCATTCCTGAAAATTTGAAATCGATCTGGCAACTGGTTCTCCAGGAAACGTGAAGACAAGAATTTACAGAGAAGATTAAAGGATGGAAAATCCAAAATGACCACCTTAAAATTTAACCAGAATGCGAAAAAACTAATCAGTTCAAGATTTTACAGACAAAATTTTAGAATGGAAAAATCCAAAATGGCAAACAATAAAAAAGTAGTTATGAGCTTTTGCTTATTTCTCTTCCCAAAATTATCGGATACAATTACTGTTAACAGTAATGTAGGCTTTTAAAACACACCTGAAATTATTCATTTAGCTACTGAATAGTTAAACTATGAAAACTCAAAAACACCATTCTAATATGATACAAAGTATTATCACTTGTAACCTTTTCGTAAGACATTCAAAATTGGTGCCATGATGTCCAAAACCTATTAAGATGTAGGATGACGTGAGTTGAACAAGATTTTAAAATTCTAAAAGTAGCTTTGAAGCTGTTTTCTTCAAGTTTGCAGACAAAGATTTTAGCATTTTTATTCAAAATGACAGACAGGAAGTAATAATCGAGTTAAAACTTTTTCTACTGCATCTGTAAGTACTCATAAGGTATCCCTGGTAATTAGAAGGTGATATCTTTAGCGGTTATGTTGATAGATTGAACATTCAGAATTGAGAATTATTTTAAATATTCTGTTCTTTCAGAATATATAAAATAATTTTCTCTACAAGCAATGAGAGCATTTCCATGCTGTTACGATCTAATGTTAACCATTTTAATTTTAAAGGTACATACAACATCATTTAAAACATAATGTTAATTCAAAATAGTATACACAACTGGTAGGTAAACTTGATATCAGAGTGCTGGAATAAATTTCCATTTCTTGACAAAAACTAGCATGAGTAAATGTATAATTGCAAATAGAAATATTTACTTGTATATATCCCTGTTATTTTCTGTTCTTCACTTTCCATAGATCCAATCTTTGCCTTCACAGTGATATCATATGCTGTTCCAGCAGTCAATCCAGTAATAGTCACTCTCCTGTTGTCCATATCAACTGCCCCCACTGTTCCACCTGTACATGTTACCACATAAGACTCAACATGTCCAGTTTGTACTCCCCAGTTTACAACAAGTGAGTTTATAGTTCTTGATTCTTCTGGTACTGTTATATCCCCAGGTTTGGCAGGAGCTGAAAATTATTATAAAAAATCAACACATGCCTCATCAAACAAATATTTCAATTTATGATGTAGTTTAGAAGACTTAAGCTCAAAATAATAGATCAAGTCTATCTGGAAAGGTTTAACATCTAAAGTCTATCTGGAAAGCTTAATAATATCTAAAGCATGAGTCTTATGTTAATAGATTGAACATTCAGAATTGAAAATTATTTTAAATATTCTGTTCTTTCAGAATATACAAAATAATTTCTCTACAAGCAATGAGAGCATTTTGTCATGCTGTTACGATCTAATGTTAACCATTTTAATTTTAAAGGTACATACAACATCATTTAAAACATAATGTTAATTCAAAATAGTATACACAATACTGGTAGTGTACTTGATATCAGAGTGCTGGAATTAATTTCCATTTCATGACAAAAATTATCATGTGTACATGTATAATAGAAATATTTACTTGTATATATCCCTGTTATTTTCTGTTCTTCACTTTCCATAGATCCAATCTTTGCCTTCACAGTGATATCATATGCTGTTCCAGGAGACAAGCCAGTAATAGCCACTCTCCTGTTTTCCTTGTCAACTGTCCCTACTGCACCACCACCTGTACATGTTACCACATAAGACTCAACATGTCCAGTTTGTACTCCCCAGTTTACAACAAGTGAGTTTATAGTTCTTGATTCTTCAGGTACTGTTATATCCCCAGGTTTGGCGGGAGCTGAAAATTATTATAAAAAATCAACACATGCCTCATCAAACAAATATTTCAATTTATGATGTAGTTTAGAAGACTTTAGCTCAAAATAATAGATCAAGTCTATCTGGAAAGGTTTAACATCTAAAGTCTATCTGGAAAGCTTAATAATATCTAAAGCATGAGTCTTATGTTAATAGATTGAACATTCAGAATTGAAAATTATTTTAAATATTCTGTTCTTTCAGAATATATAAAATAATTTCTCTACAAGCAATGAGAGTATTTTGTCATGCTGTTACGATCTAATGTTAACCATTTTAATTTTAAAGGTACATACAACATCATTTAAAACATAATGTTAATTCAAAATAGTATACACAATACTGGTAGTGTACTTCATATCAGAGTGCTGGAATTAATTTCCATTTCATGACAAAAATTATCATGTGTACATGTATAATAGAAATATTTACCTGTATATATCCCTGTTATTTTCTGTTCTTCACTTTCCATAGATCCAATCTTTGCCTTCACAGTGATATCATATGCTGTTCCAGGAGACAAGCCAGTAATAGTCACTCTCCTGTTTTCCTTGTCAACTGTCCCTACTGCACCACCACCTGTACATGTTACCACATAAGACTCAACATGTCCAGTTTGTACTCCCCAGTTTACAACAAGTGAGTTTATAGTTCTTGATTCTTCAGGTACTGTTATATCCCCAGGTTTGGCGGGAGCTAAAAATAATTAAAAAAAAATCAACATGTGTCTCATCAAACAAATATTTCAATTTATGATGTAGTTTAGAAGACTAGCTCAAAATAATAGACCAAGTCTATCTGGAAAGGTTTAACATCTAAAGCATGATACATTGGTAGGTCTTATGTTGATAGATTTAACATTCAGAATTGAGAATTGTTTTAAATATCCTGCTCTTTCAGAATATTTAAAATAATTTTCTCTACAAGCAATGTGAGCATAATGTCATGCTGTTACGATCTAATATTAACCAGTTTAATTTTAAAGATACATACAACATCATTTAAAACATAATGTTAATTCAAAATAGTATACACAACTGGTACGTAAACTTGATATCAGAGTGCTGGAATAAATTTCCATTTCTTGACAAAAACTAGCATGAGTAAATGTATAATTGCAAATAGAAATATTTACTTGTATATATCCCTGTTATTTTCTGTTCTTCACTTTCCATAGATCCAATCTTTGCCTTCACAGTGATATCATATGCTGTTCCAGGAGACAAGCCAGTAATAGTCACTCTCCTGTTTTCCTTGTCAACTGTCCCTACTGCACCACCACCTGTACATGTTACCACATAAGACTCAACATGTCCAATTTGTACTCCCCAGTTTACAACAAGTGAGTTTATAGTTCTTGATTCTTCAGGTACTGTTATATCCCCAGGTTTGGCGGGAACTGAAAATAAAAAAAATCAACATTATCTAATAAAAACTCAAAATATATCACAAACTATAGAATACAATGTACCTGGGTATTTATTCATAATTGGTTGGTATTCAGTGATTACAATTGGTGAAATTGACAGAATGTCTATTGCAATTAAGGTCGCAAACAAGGACTTAAATGAACTTCCCTTTTACATCATCATCATTAATTGATTAATATCAAAATGATGATAAATGTTCCTCTGATCTACAAGAGTCCATCAATAAGTTCTGTAAAAAAGGTATAAATTAAAGGTTTCTCCTTCAGTGGTACAGGCTAATATTTGTGAAGTTTAAAATTAGTTTTCTTTTGACTAACTGTGTACTCCATTGCAAGGTTGTTTAATTCTACAAATGGCTGTTTCATTTAATGCTTTAGGAACTGCATTGAGGTGAACAAACAGTTCGGTGTACGATAAAACCAGAGGTGTACCAGGTCATTCAAAAAGTTCGCAGGAAAATGACCTCATTTCAATGATTTTTGATATTTTCTCATGAAATCTTCACATAATGTGTAAAAAATATGTTCTTATTGATTCCTGAAATATCAGCATCTCTGATTCGAGGCGGGGCACTTTATACACAACACTACCATTACAGAAAACTATCAAATAAAGGATCCCTATGTTTTATTTGTTCTTATTTAAATTATGAATGTACTGAGGGAGAATTGATGTTCATAATTTTCATTGACATTTCTGGGATCCTGCTAGTCCATGCTGTACCAGAAAGCCATGAAATCAACAAAGAGTATTATGCTATGGTAAATTAATAAAACTTAACCATTAAGCCTAACTCTTAATTTTATCTAAATCTAATTCACTCGATTATCGTATGGATATGTATTTCTGCTGACGTTTTAACACCACAACACATATACTGCACATTTTTCATCCTGAACACCTAACACTAATCAGTTGAACAGACTTACAAGATTTTCATACTAAGAATCATCCCTCAAAATTTAAAATTGATCCCTCAAACAGTTAACCTGAAAATGCAGACAAGACTTTACAGACACAATTTTAGTACGGAAAATCCAAAATGGCTGCCTCAACATTTACCCAGAATGCCAAAAAACTAATTACTTCTAGATTTTTATATTATAAATCATTCCTTAAAATTTGAAATCGATCCGTCAAACTGGTATCCTGAAAATGGGTAGACAAGTCTTCACAGACACGATTTTAGGACGGAAAAGCCAGAATGGCCAATTCAAAATTAACGCAGAATGACGAAAAAGTAATAAATTCTAGATTTTCATGCTAAAAATCATCCCTGAAATTTTGAAATCGATTTCTAAAACAGTTAATTTGAAATGCATAGACAAGACTTTGCAGACAAGATTTTAGAATGGAAATCCTAAATTGCCACCTTAAAATTTACCCAGAATGCCCAAAAATGAGTCAGTTATAGATTCTCATACTAAGAACCATTCCTGAAATTGATCCATCCCCAAACAAAAATGAATTCAAGTTTACATCCAATTTACACTCAGTTTACACTTATTTACACCAGACCTTGGTATATACTTCGATGTTAACTTTACCTCAAGTAAATAGGTATTTACTAGCAGAAAGTAAACACTGATTTACTAGGTGTTAACTTGACTTAGAATTTGTTAAAAGTGAAAACTGGGTGTAAATTAGACTCAGAAAATCAAATATTGGTCAAGGTGTAAACTAAGAGTATACTTGACTGAATCCTAATTCCAAAACGAGGCTCATGCAGCCTCTCTTTCCTGTATTGATGTTGAACAAAAATGACTTAAAACAGGAATCCTATCAACAGAGGTTTTAAAGCAAATGGTCTAAAAATGAATTTCGCATGACAAAAATGGTGGCCATTTTGAAAATAGGTGAGCTTTTGAAAATGAAATCAATGTTAACTAAAATGGCTGAAAATAAAAAAATGGATATAATTTTTTGCTGTTTTTTTTGTAACAAAAAAAATACAAAAATACAACTGATACGACGTCAGATACTGTACATCACGGCGTAACAGTGTAATTGTTCATTTTACCGACAAAATGCAAAGATTAACACGATAAATATGCGCAATGTAGTAAGGGGTATATTTAAAAGAACATGCTGAAACATTGGAAAGTTTTGAATGTTTATCCCTTAATTAGAAATATTTGAACTCAAAAAATGAAACGTAATTTTGTGAATTTTTCACATGGCTTCACTTCATATTTCTTTCAATTTATACTTCTTACAGACTGAATTTTAATCGAAATGATATAGTTTTTTGATGAAAATATAGAATATGATATGCCTTTCAGGAATCAAAAAATAATAATTCACCTTTCAAACGATTTAATGTTTAATTGATCAAAATATATATCTTGTTGGTACGAAATTCTGCCTGTCGACACTTTTTTGCATAAATATAAGCGTTAATTTAGCATTGTTATATTATGACATCATTACACATAATCTGTTTGTCTTTTCCAAAATGGTGAATTTAAATATTGTGAAAATTTGAGAAAGATCCGTTGGGAAATGAAAAAGTTATCTTCATTTTTCGTTTAAAATTAAAATCACTTTTCTTCAAAATGTTACAGTCGACACCCGGTTTTAGCATAGAAAGTCGCATAATATGGCTTGCGTGATTCTCATTTAAAAAGTGCCAAAATCAGTTATTTGGAATTCTGATAGGCAAAATATTTCATGGACATACGTGTTCAACTGATGACGAAAAATTGTAGAAAAATATGATTTTGCTGTCGAGATATTGCAGTTTTAAAAGTAAGTATGCATTAAAAATGCAGTAAAATGCCGCGATGTACAGTATCTGACGTCGTATCAACTACACTTTAGAGTGACATGGGTTTTTACAATGCAGCACACCTGAAAAGACCATGTGCAGTATGGCAAGTGATTTTAGACGGTCATATCTTTCACCATGAGTACTTTCTGGGCATAAATACAGTGTTTTTTATTAAAACAGTATGTTTTCTTTCAAGTGAAGTCCCCATGATGATAAAAATATCAATCGAACAATTTGAAATTTTTTTAATATGGACCCCTTCAACATATTTTTCAAAATATTGAACCTATTTACTCAAAAGATGATCTCCCTTTTCTGATTTTTATTGCATGAAAAGATTATTCAACAAGAGGTCTAATACATCTTCAAAAACAGAATGGTATTGAAAGTCTAGTTTTGAAGATATCAATTTCCGATGACCAAATAGGATAATACAGAGTGGTCAAAAAACGGCAACCCTGTTTTTTCCCCATATCTTCGTCATTTTAAGGAATGTCAGCCTGGTATTTGACACACATGAACATCATTCAATTTCGTACTAGACTACTTTATTTCATAAACATCAGATTGATAGTCTCAATATTACAGGACTTATAACAACATGCCCCAGTTGGCCAACATAGTGCTGTTGGCAAACCTGCACACATTTTCCAAAGTTGTCAAAGATCTAACTGGATTTCTCATCAAGTACACAGGCAAATTGCATCGGGCCCTGTACGAGCTCGTACGAGCCTCAAAAATTACTAGTCATTACGGGCAAAAAGGAGCAACATCCTCGTACGGGCTCGTACGAAGCTCCTTTTCGAGGCCCGTGAGAGCTTGTATGATGCCCGGTACGATGCTCGTAATTGTTGTTTCCGAAGCCCGTACAAGCATGTACGAGGCTCGCAATTTCGAGGCCCATACGAGCTCGTACGAGGCCCGTTATCGAACTCCGAACAAAAAAATTAATTGCTGTCATGCTACATGCACGAATTCCATATTTTGTCCAGAGCATGTTTATTCATTTTATAATGATGTTTTTATTCACACATTCGATAACAATAACATTTATATACATCGCATTTCAACTCATCCTAATAAAGCACGCAAATGTTTTTATATGCATTTGCTTCACTTGTAGAGAAATATGGTGTCTCCTATTGGTAACCCTCCTGTTTGTTTTGTTTTCTAGCTATTATACTGTTTATCATGTTGATACAGACATGCGATCTTGAAATTATTGAAGACATATTAATTCATAATTGGATATAATTGAATTGTCATTTCTCATATATGCTGTATTTTATTTCATCGATCAAAAAGAATTCATCAAAATAAACGAGCAATTACGAGCCCCGTACGAGCAAGTACAGTGCTTGAAAATTACGAGCCATTACGGGCCTTGTTACGGGCATTGCACAGGCAAGTACAAGGCTCGAAAATTATGAGCTATTACGGGCCTCGTAACAGGCACCGTACGAGCAAGTACGGAGATCGAAAATTATGATTTATTACGGGGCTCGATACGGGCACCGTACGGTCAAGTACGGGGGTCGAGAATTACGAGCTATTACAGGCCTTGTAATCACAAGCTCTTACGAGGCTCGAAAATTACAAGCAATTACGAGACTCGTAACGAGGCCCGTACGAGGTTGTACAGGGTCTGTTGACACAACGAGCTCCGTCCGGGCGTGTACGGGGTCCGATGTAATTTGCCTGTGTATGGCCTGAATGACACATGTGATCTCACTTTTGAGGTCTAAAGTTGTTCTGCTGTTATTCTCCTATACTCTATATTTGAGATATCCTCACTGGGGTATATCTGGGCTATGGAGCGCCAATTCATTATCTGTCGTCCTGCTGATAATGTGGTCATTGAAGTGGTCCCAAAGCCATTCTAGTGCATCATTGGCTGTATTGGGCATGCCTCTGTTGTGTTAGAAAAACCGTTGCTACTTAATATTTATCCCCTTGAGTTTACCTACCCCCCTTACCAAAACTTCCTGAGAATCAAAATATAGCATTCGATGTTGACAGTTATTGCATTTTTGCTGGCATCTTCAAAGGTACAGGATCCCATCCCTATGTGCCTAGTATACACTAAACTGTGCATCTGTCTGTGTGAATGTGCCTCTCCACTACTTCATCAAATGCTTGGCTCCCCATGAAAACATACTTGTTAGAGATTACCAGATTATCAAGTTGGAAATAGAGTTCATCCGAATACCAGACCAGTTCAGACAGTCCAAAAGTAGCCATTCTGGGGTATGTCGTTTAAAATGCTGTGATATTGTGACTATCAGTCTGATGGTCATTAAATATGGTGGCCTGGTAGGCAATTTAATGATGTACAAATGTGCCAAATATCAGGGAGTAATTCCATCAAACAATAAAGATATGAGGAAAAATTAGCCGTTTCTTTGACCACCCTGTATGATTACCATATATAACCATACCATGTGGGATTAAGAAGTTTGCAATATAGGATTAATCCCAGCCAACTTACTTGTATACTCTTTCTTGCCATATGGCAGGCTCTGAAGTTCATTACTAACAGCTTTGATGGTGATGGTGTATTCTGTTCCAGCTGTCAGGCCTTCAATATCTGCCGTGACACCATCTATATTTTTTACTTGCCCCCCTGAACAATTAACTTTATAGCTTTCAACCGTGCCTTCACTTGGGGCATCCCAAGCAATCTTCATGCTGGTAGTAGTGTCTCTTGCAGTGACTCGCAAATTACGTGGTGATGCAGGGTCTGAAATAATAGTTGCATTCATGCAGTAACTACTTACTTTACTGCTTTACTCTATAAGAATTTAAGTGATGGAACTTTCAATGCATTGACAAATGATGCTTAACTATGTTTGTATGAAACATTGAATTTCTAGAGCTAGGGACTAAAATACTAGGGGTTATTTTAAGTAAATAAATGAATGAACAAATCAGAACTTGAGCCATCAATGCACAAAAATAATTTCACCTTGACATCAATTTTCAACAATTATGTATTTGTGGACAAAATTACAAAACTACAACATACGTGTTTTCCCAGATGTTACTTCTTCAGAACTAAGTCCATTTGAGCCTTTCCTTGCCTGCATAGTTATATTATATTCTACACCTGCTGTGAGTCCAGTTATGTTATAAGTTGTTGTTGAGCCCTCAACCTCAGTATTGTCTTTATCATTAGAGTCTGAAGGATTGATTGCTTCCCATTTGATAATGTATTTATCTCCACCATTTGCTGGATTAGTCCAGGTCAGTGTGATTATGTTGACAGTTGCAGGATCAGATGTTGCACTTACAATAGTTGGTGGATCTGGATCTGAAAAGAAACATTCAGGATTTGCAGAATAACCCATGTATATCCTGGATTTTCATTGGCTAATTAATTACCCAGACAATTCTAAACTCCTGCTAATATACCAATCACATGACTAGTCAATTACATACAAGGGCAAGGTGAGAATCTAGTATATGAAAGTGCCATGAGTATTCAGAGAAAAATAGAATGATATATTTAGTTTAAATTTTTACAGTTATACAGCATCGCTGTTTATATCTCCATGGTTACAGCAACAAATCAATTTTTGTATGCTTGTCAAGTGGGTAATAAATTACATAAATATATAAACATGCTATTTAAAAAACCATAATGCTAAAAAATGAATATGTGTGTGCAGTATATTATTCAATGTGGAATTATATAATATATATATATAGAGGATCTAAAATGTTAGGAAGTTCTGAAACTCGAACATTTCCTTCATTCATTATGCACTATTTTGAGATATAATTAGTTAAGTATGATGTGGGAAGCACCCTATGATAGATATTTATCAGACGGATGCATCAAATTACAAACTGCATCATGTCAACAACAGCTTAGTGTAAGTACTATATTAATTGCCCATTTCATTTCTCTGGAAAGGATGAGTCGGGGAATATACCCTTTTGGTCCCTCGCTTAAATGTATTTGAAATATAGATTTTATTACTGTCTTAAGATGTGTTTGATCATAATATGCATCTTTCAGAGAGTATTGATGCTTAATTAACCCCCTGCTGTGAATCAAATTAGGTAAAAATCATTTTCATGGTGCAATGTTTTTGTTAATGTTTTTTAACATGATGTACAACAATATAGTGATACTATATCAGTATGAGTATCATTTTTACTCAATATAAAGAAAATATTAGTATAAATTGCATATTAGTGTCAAAATGACAAGATCAAACAAGGTTAAGTTTCAAGTATATTATACTGTCAGATAGTTTATGCAGACTCCTTTACCAGACTGCATTGGCAAAAATGGTTCATACAAAGTGACATTTGAGTAGGATTTGTTGTGATATTTATTGAGATACTACTGTTATTGAAAGTTCCCACAAGCATCAGTCATCTCCACTTTCTGACTATGAAGAGGAGGTGGACGTGTCTCTAGCATCATATATATGATTCTTGGGAGGGCTCCTCTTTTACAAACATATCCCATTTATCAGGTGACTGGTGCTACATGGGCATTGCAGCATGTACAGTACTAGTCATTGATGGGCTCCAGATGGCCCTTGGTCACTGCCATGCTCCACTCAGAAATGATATTTCACACTTCCAGAATGCTGTAATAATGTATGCATGCACATGGACAAAACTCTGGGCATATTGGTGGGCCTAAAAGATGGTACTTGCCGTCCTGCTATAAAGGCTCATCAGTGTAATGTACTACTATTAAGCTGATATATAACAGTGTGAGGTTTGGTTAACACTTAACAGTCACCATAACAGTAAACAGTCATACAGTTAACAGTCTTCATAACAGCTAACAGTCTTCATAACAGCTAACAGTCATCATAACAGTAAACAATCATAACAGTTAGCAGTCTTCACAACAGTGAACAGTCATAACAGTCATCATAACAGCTAACAGTCATCATAACAGTAGAAGTGATAACAGTTAACAGTCTTCATAACTGTAAAGAGTCATAGCAGTTAACAGTCTTCATAACAGTAAACAGTCATAACAGTTAACAGTCTTCATAACTGTAAACAATCATAACAGTTAACAGTCTTTATAACAGGAAACAGTCATCATAACAGCTAACAGTCATCATAACAGTAGAAGTGATAACAGTTAACAGTCTTCATAACAGTAAACAGTCATAACATTTAACAGTCTTCATAACAGTAGAAGTGATAACAGTTAACAGTCTTCATAACAGTAAACAGTCATAACAGTTAACAGTCTTTATAACAGGAAACAGTCATCATAACAGCTAACAGTCATCATAACAGTAGAAGTGATAACAGTTAACAGTCTTCATAACAGTAAACAGTCATAACATTTAACAGTCTTCATAACAGTAAACAGTCATAACAGTTAACAGTCTTCATAACAGTCAACAGTCATAACATTTAACAGTCTTCATAACAGTAAACAGTCATAACAGTTAACAGTCTTCATAACAGTAAACAGTCATAACATTTAACAGTCTTCATAACAGTAAACAGTCTAACAGTTAACAGTCATCATAACTGTAAACAATCTTAACAGTTAACAGTCATCATAACTGTAAACAGTCATAACAGTTAACAGTCTTCATAACAGTAAACAGTCATAACATTTAACAGTCTTCATAACAGTAAACAGTCATAACAGTTAACAGTCATCATAACTGTAAGCAATCTTAACAGTTAACAGTCATCATAACTGTAAACAATCATAACAGTTAACAGTCTTTATAACAGGAAACAGTCATAACAGTCATCATAACAGCTAACAGTCATCATAACAGTAGAAGTGATAACAGTTAATAGTCATCATAACAGTAAACGGTCACATGGTATAGCCTGCATAGGCTCTGGTTGCACCTCAAACTGTGTTTCTATAACTGGAGGGTTAGTGAGGGCATTCTCAATTTTCGCCCAACATTTATGAAAAATACAGGAAATACAGGAGTGGTTTCCTTGTTAGTGTTCCATGAGGTTTCCCAAGTATTGATTTACCATTTACTGTCCTATACTGCTCAAGTGCAATCCTTTTTGATCATAGTGCACATGAAGTGTCTTGTCATGATGAGGCAAATCCAAGATGGCCACCATTTGAAATTATATTTGCACTAGAATTTCACTTTAGTTTTGTTTTAAACATAGAGCACAAGTCTTTGGTTTGAATTTTTTGCTGACTCTGTTAGTCCAACTTATTACTGACCTAAATGAATAATAAAATTCAAACTGAATGCTTGTGCTCAACTTTAATTCAGAAGAAATAAATCCCCACTGTACAGCACAACAGAAATAGAAAAATTGGGCATCCTGCTAGTTTTTTAATCATAATCTTTTAAAAACCTATTGACAAAGTCACAATGAATTATCAACAACTTTCATTTAATACTCTTTCGTTCTAAAATCCAAGAGTTGGAGAATTTACTCACTTATTTTCTGAAAAATCACTAAAAATAATTTGGCTTCGTTTTTTTTCAGAAAAATATGTGCATACCCTACATTGTAGGTATGGTCTTTGATGCCATATATTTTCATAATTTGACTGTCCAAATGGCAAAAAAATATGACATTCATAAGAAAGATAACATATCAAGGTACAATAATAAATGAAGTTTTATGGATTTTGATTTTTTAGAATTTTTCCAAAACCCTGTCCAAATCCTGACCCATTCCCCGACTCATCCTTTGATACTTTTCTGACATATTCATCAAAACCTGGTCACTCCATGATATTTCTTGAACTTTGTGAAGTGGGGTAGGAGCTTATTTGGAGGTGGGCACTAAAACAATGATTATGGTGTATGGACTTGAATGTTTGTATCTTTTTATTTTGATAGGGAGTCCAATCCATTTCATATTACTACAAGAACACAAATGTGTACAAAATGTCCCCACCAAGTGGTGATCCCGTGAAATGGTTATCCTGAAAATGAGTAGACAAGACTTTACCAACACAATTTGAGGACGGAAAATCCAAAGTGGCCACCTTAAAATTTACCCAGAATGCCAAAAATTTAGTCAGTTCTAGATTTTCATACTAAGAACCACCCCTGAAAATTTGAAATTGATCCGTCACACAGTTAACCAGAAAACATGTAAACAAGACTTTACAGACAAGATTTCAGGATGGAAAATCCAAAATGGCTGCCTTGACATTTACCAAGAATGTCAAAAAACTAATCTGTTTGTAGATTTTCATACTAAGAATCATCCCTGAAAATATGAAATTGATCTACCAAAGTGTTCACCTGAAAACGGGTAGACAAGACTTTACAGACAAGATTTTAGGACAGAAAATCCAAAATGGCTGCCTTAACATTTACGCAGAATGCAAAAAAAGTAATCAGATGTAGATTTTCATACAAAGAATCATCCCTGAAAATTTGAAATTGATCTATTAAACCGTTCACCTAATAACGCGTAGACAAGACTTTACAGGCAAGATTTTAAGACGGAAAATCCAAAATGGCTGCCTTGACATTCACCCAGAATGCAAAAAAACTAATCAGTTCTAGATTTTCATACTAAGAATCTTTCCTGAAAATTTGAAATTGATCTACCAAACAGTTCACCTGAAAACGAGTAGACAAGACTTTACAGACAAGATTTTAGGACGGAAAATCCAAAATGGCTGCCTTGACATTTACCCAGAATGCCAAAAAACTAATGAGATCTAGATTTTTATACTAAGAATCATCCCTGAAAATTTGAAATTGATCCACCAAACGGTTCACCTGAAAACGCGCAGACAAGACTTCACAGACAAGATTTTAGGACCGAAAAATCCAAAATGGCCGACAATAAAAAAGTCCTTATGAGTTTTTGCTGATTTCTTTTTACAAAATTATCACATATAACTACTGTTAACAATAAAGTAGGCTTTTACAGCAAAGTACATCTGAAATTATTTATAAAGCTACTAAATAGTTAAAGTATGAAAACTCAAAAACACCATTCAATATGATACAAAGTATTATCGCGCGCTAACTTTTCTTAAGACATTCAAAATGGCTGACATGACTGAGCTAGCAGGTCCAAAACCTAATCAGATCTAGAATGAAGTGAGCTGAACAAGATGTTAAAGTTTTAAAAGCAACTGTGAAGCAGTTTTTCTTAAAGTTTGCAGACAAGGATTTTAGCATTTGACTTCAAAATGGCCGACAGGAAGTAGGTTTCGAATTAAATTTTTTTCATCCACATCTATAGGCACTCATAAGTTATTCCTGAAAATTAGAAGGTGATACCTCTAGCGGTTTTGGAGAAAACTGCCGGACGTACGGACGGACGGACAGACAGACAACCAGACAGACAGACAGACGGACGGACGCGCCTAGGACGACAATATGGCCCCACACTATGTGGTGGGGACATAAAAACTATATTACTAAAGCCATTAACCACTAATACCTACTTTGCAAACAAGCTGTTCCATTCTTATAAAAGTTTTCAACGCAGGTACATGCAGGACTAACACCACTACATTCTGCATTGACATCTGAGCATTCTGTTGTATTATTACATCCCTCACCCAAGCCTTTCTCTGTTTGGGGTAAAGCAAAATAAATAAGGGTTATTTGAAACATGCATGACATTTGTAATAACGCAGATGCGAGTAGGTAGTTACCAGTTTCACCACCAGGTGGCTCGTTCGGGTCAGATAGCATGGCGGATATAGTAGAAAGTTCCCTTTAACTTAAATAACATCTGTTTTAGTGGTTCAATTTTCATCTAACCCTTATGTATCTAATAGTTATGCAAATTAAAATATGTCCAGTAAATGAAAATGTTATCTGACCAATACAAGAAAAGATATTTCACTTTTTGTGATTTTGTAACATGGGCTCTATGGAGAATCAACCCGAACTAGAAGTCACACTTTCAAAAATAATTAAATTTTTAAACTTGATAAACAATTTTCGAAACCATATTACTAGATGTACTTTTACATGTAGATTTCAAATATAACATCGCTTTGACTGAATTTTGAATATTAAATGGCGTAAATCAAGATTTTTTCTACTCGCATCTAGTCTATTGGTATGTAGGTATGGGTAGTATTATGGCATATAAGCATGAATGTTAACTTGCCCCTATATTTTGATTAGTTAGTCCAACCCAATTTTGATGTACTAAAACTATATAACTAAAGCCATGCACCACTAATACCTACTTTGCAAACAAGCTGTTCCATTGTTATAAAAGTTCTCAACGCAGGTACATTTATCACCATTACATTCTGCATTAACATCTAAGCATTCTTTTGTATTATTACATCCCTCATCCAAGCCTTTCTCTGTTTGGGGTAAAGCAAAATAAAAAGGGGTTATTTGAAACATGCATGACATTTGTAATTGGTATGTAGGTATGGGTAGTATTATGGTTTATAAGCATGAATGTTATATCTTGCACCTATATTTTGATTAGTTAGTCCAACCCAATTTTAATGTACTAAAACTATATTACCAAAACCATGCACCACTAACACTTACTTTGAAAACAAGCTGTTCCATTGTTATAAAAGTCATTTACACAGGTACATGAAGGACCATCACCACTACATTCTGCATTAACATCTAAGCATTCTGTTGTGTTACTACATCCTTCACCCAAGCCTTTCTCTGTTTGGGGTAAAGCAAAATAAATAGGGTATATTTAAAACAATTGCATGGTATTGATAGGATTATGGTCTGTAAACATGAATGTGTTCATCTTGCAACTATTTTCATCAGTAAGTCCAATCCAATTTTATGTACTAAATCTGTATTACTAAAGCCATGCAATACTTCTATGTCAATGCATTAGGAATGAGCATTTTTGCTATTAGCTGATTTGGAATTTTGTTTTCTAGTTTTATTAATTAAATCAACGTAAGAAAAATGATTGAAACACAAATTCACTTGGGACAGAGGCATTCTGTTTGCAACATAATGCTGTTTTGTGGATAATTTTTTAGTGCAAATTATAGCAAAACTGCTCATTCCTAATGCATTGACAAAGACTTTAATGTCATTTAAGCATTCTGTTGTATTACTACATCCCTCACCCAAGCCTTTCTCTGTATGAGGTAAAGCAAAATACAAAGGGATATTTAAAACAATTGCATGGTATTGATAGGATTATGGTCTGTAAACATGAATGTTTTCGTCTTGCATCTCAGTTAGTGCAACATATTGATGTACTAAAACTATATTACTAAAGCCATGCACCACTAATACCTACTTTGCAAACAAGCTGTTCCATTGTTAAAATAGTTCTCAACGCAGGTACATGTAGGACTATCACCACTACATTCTGCATTAACATCTAAGCATTCTGTTGTATTACTACATCCCTCATCCAAGCCTTTCTCTGTATAGGGTGAAGCAAAATACAAAGGGATATTTAAAACATGCATGGTATGAATAGGATGCATACAAGCTGTTCCATTGTTATAAAAGTCCTTCACACAGGTACATGTAAGACTATCACCACTACATTCTGCATTGTCATTTAAGCATTCTGTTGTATTACTACATCCCTCACCCAAAGCTTTTTCTGTATAAGGTGAAGCAAAATATAAGGGGATATTTAAAACATGCATGGTATAGTTAGGATTATGGTATTTAAACATGAATGTTTTCATCTTGCATCTTTTTTCATCAGTTAGACCCATCTAATTTTGATTTACTGAAACTATATTACCAAAGCCATACACCACTAATACCTACTTTGCAAACAAGCTGTTCCATTCTTATAAAAGTTCTCAACGCAGGTACATTTATCACCACTACATTCTGCATTGTCATTTAAGCATTCTGTTGTATTACTACATCCCTCACCTAAGCCTTTTTCTGTATGAGGCAAAGCAAAATACAAAGGCATATTTAAAACATGCATGGTATGAATAGGATTATGGTCTGTAAACATGAATGTTTTCGTCTTGCATCTCAGTTAGTGCAACATATTGATGTACTAAAACTATATTACTAAAGCCATGCACCACTAATACCTACTTTGCAAACAAGCTGTTCCATTCTTATAAAAGTTCTCAACACAGTTACATAGATCACCACTACATTCTGCATTGTCATTTAAGCATTCTGTTGTATTACTACATCCCTCACCCAAAGCTTTTTCTGTTTAAGGTGAAGCAAAATATAAGGGGATATTTAAAACATGCATGGTATGAATAGGATTATGGTCTGTAAACATGAATGTTTTCGTCTTGCATCTCAGTTAGTGCAACATATTGATGTACTAAAACTATATTACTAAAGCCATGCACCACTAATACCTACTTTGCAAACAAGCTGTTCCATTCTTATAAAAGTTCTCAACACAGTTACATAGATCACCACTACATTCTGCATTGTCATTTAAGCATTCTGTTGTATTACTACATCCCTCACCCAAAGCTTTTTCTGTTTAAGGTGAAGCAAAATACAAAGGCATATTTAAAACATGCATGGTATGAATAGGATTATGGTCTGTAAACATGAATGTTTTCGTCTTGCATCTCAGTTAGTGCAACATATTGATGTACTAAAACTATATTACTAAAGCCATGCACCACTAATACCTACTTTGCAAACAAGCTGTTCCATTCTTATAAAAGTTCTCAACACAGTTACATAGATCACCACTACATTCTGCATTGTCATTTAAGCATTCTGTTGTATTACTACATCCCTCACCCAAAGCTTTTTCTGTTTAAGGTGAAGCAAAATATAAGGGGATATTTAAAACATGCATGGTATGAATAGGATTATGGTCTGTAAACATGAATGTTTTCGTCTTGCATCTCAGTTAGTGCAACATATTGATGTACTAAAACTATATTACTAAAGCCATGCACCACTAATACCTACTTTGCAAACAAGCTGTTCCATTCTTATAAAAGTTCTCAACACAGTTACATAGATCACCACTACATTCTGCATTGTCATTTAAGCATTCTGTTGTATTACTACATCCCTCACCCAAAGCTTTTTCTGTTTAAGGTGAAGCAAAATACAAAGGCATATTTAAAACATGCATGGTATGAATAGGATTATGGTCTGTAAACATGAATGTTTTCGTCTTGCATCTCAGTTAGTGCAACATATTGATGTACTAAAACTATATTACTAAAGCCATGCACCACTAATACCTACTTTGCAAACAAGCTGTTCCATTCTTATAAAAGTTCTCAACACAGGTACATTGATCACCACTACATTCTGCGTTGCCATTTAAGCATTCTGTTGTGTTACCACAGCCAACACCCAAGCCTTTCTCTGTATAGGGTTAAGTAAAATGCAAGGGGGAACTTTAACATGCATAAATATAATATAGAGTAAAGATTTAATATAGAATATACAGGGTGGGCCAAAAAACCACCCCCAAGCCAATATTCCTGATAAATATTTATTTTTTAACAAACACACCAACAATGACATATCACTTTAAAGCTGATTTTATTTGCAACAAAATTATAAATAATAGAAAATTTTTCAACAACCCTGGCTCAAGATATGACCATTTATCTGACATGGGGGCCAAAAAACACCTTCTGAATTTTCATCGATTTGGAAACATTAGCCCTTTTTACCAAATGATACCATTCAGTTAAAACTTGCATCATTGTCCCAAGACTTTCCTAACTGGATATTATACATTGTTTTCATTCAGTTTTTGAACTGCACATGCATGTGTATGCTTATAAAAAAATTCATTTCTTCTTCAGCCATTATATGGCTCAGTAGGTCAACCTTCTGAGTAGATTATTTGCTTAAGACGCGAAAGCCATTGGCATAATTGATGGATCTCTGCATCCAACTCCTAATTATTCGTTCTTTCAGTTTATCTACATCCCTGAGAGGCTAGGGATCTTCATAGACCAACTGTTCTAAATGCCCCCAGGTACTATGGTAACAGGACAACTCATCTCTAAGACAACTCATCCCCAAGACATCTCATCCCAAGATATCTCATCCCAAGACATCTCATCCCAAAACAATTCATCCCGAAGGCAACTCTTCCCAACTTAAAATATAACATAATTTTATACAATTAATTCCAACTTTTGAAAGAATATTTGAAAAATATTTAGAGATTTTAGCAGTAAGCATACTGTTTGCCCATGGAATATCTTTGTTTTTTATTACATACATTTTTCATGCTGCATTGTTAACTGACACATTTTATTAAAACATTTTAATATTTTTGTAGTTTGTAGTTTATTTAGTCTAGTTTTAGTTGATTTTGTTGGCTGATTGAGATAAATAAAAACATATTCAAATTATTGCATACGTTAATTATTAAATCAAAGATCATCAAAAGTATCAGATTAGGATTAACTCAATAAGAATGTATTATCCAAGGTATTATCAGAATAATTCTCCCAGATTAATTCAGTCTTTTTCTGATTTTTCTTAATTCAGTTTAATTGTTTTTTATATATAATATAAGAAAGAAGAAGAAATTAAATTCAGGTTAATGACTCCTGAAAATCATGTCAAATTTAAGCAGATTTTGACTGAAGCTGATTTTAATGAGCTTGTATCAAAAGGAAGATGTAAATGAAGCCTATAACACTTTGATTCCATTATCCAGAAAACATATAATGAATCATTCCCTCTGAGAACTAAAAAGATCAGGTACTCCTACAATAATAACAAACCGTGGTTATCAAAAGCTATTTTGACATCCTGTAACACTAAAAATAGATTATATCTTGATTATATTAAAGTACCAACATTAGAAAATAAAAATGTATATCTGAAATACAAAAGAATTCTCAGAAGAATAATTAAACGTGCAGAAAAATTACACTTTGAGAACAAATTCAAATTGATAAAAAACAATCTTAAAGAGACTTGGTCCTTGATAAATGAAATTATGAACAGAAAAAACAAGCAAAGGAGCCAGCCAAAATATTTCATTCTGAATAATAAAGAAGTCTCGGATAAAGGTGAAATAGCCAATGGCTTTAATAATTTTTTTTCAAACGTTGGTTCAACCCTTGCAAATAAAATTCCAGATGCCAGAAATGACCACATGTACTACATGCATAGGTTAACTAAAGATCTAACAAGGTCAATTTTTCTCTCTGATGTATCTGATGATGAAATGAATACGATCTTATCCTCTTTAAAAGACTGTGCTCCTGGAGCTGATCAGATAAAGCCTAGCGTAATTAAATATGTTAAACAGGTACTTATTATCCCTTTAGTGTATATCTGTAATCTGTCCTTACATAAGGCAGTCTTCCCTGATAATCTCAAAATTGCAAAGGTCAGACCAATCTTCAAAAAAGAAGATGACAGAAAAATGACAAATTATCGACCAATATCTCTTCTTTCAGTATTCTCAAAAATCTTAGAAAGGGTTATGAGCAATAGGCTTGTTGAGTTTCTTGAGAAATTTAATATATTATGCGAACAACAGTTTGGTTTCAGGAAATATAGATCTACATATATGGCTATACTTACTTTTCTTGATACTGTATAACATGAAATATTGCCGTGGATATAAAGTTGCCGATTGCCGAATGTAAAACAGAAACGGCAACATAAAATTCGGAAATATAATTAAGTAATTGAAGATCGATCTTTGTGGGCGATAATATGGTAGTTGTCTAACGTAGTTGTCAACTTACTGTAATAGGGTAATTTTCTAACGAGCATCAACTTACTATACTTTAACAAAAATCATAAATAAAATACGATAAAATCGAAGCTTTATTCCCCAGCATAAAATTACAATAAAAAGTCATGTTAAAAAGTTAAAATGTCAGAATCTAATTGTATCCAAATGCTTTGGAAATCCCAGTATTAAAAGTTTTTAATCCCGATATTAAAAGTCTTTAATCCCAATATTAAGATTTAATCCCGATATTAAAAGTTTTTAATCCCGATATTAAAAGTTAAAATCACTCAAATTGTCACTCATAATGTCAGGATGTCAGGTTTTCTGAGTCAGTAAAATGAAGGTGATTAAAATTCAGTTGTAAATCAAAATTATATTAGAGGTGTCAGCTTAGCAATATTTTATTTGGCTTTACATTTAGGGGTGTCAGGTCAGCAAACTTTTATTCGGCAATAACAATTTTAATCCAATTTGGAAAATAAAGCACCCGGATTTAATACATGTTATACAGTAGGATTCAAAGAGCAATTGAAAATAAAGACTACAGTGCTGCCATCTTTATTGATTTGTCCAAAGCATTTGATACTGTAAATCACTCTATTTTATTAGACAAGCTTTATCATTATGGTATTCGAGGAAATGCTCACAAATGGTTTAAAAGCTATCTTCAGGATAGGAAACAATTTACTGAATATAATGATGTACCGTCAAAGCAAGAAGTAATCACTTGCGGAGTGCCACAAGGATCGATACTTGGGCCGATCTTGTTCATTGTTTACATAAATGATATTATTACATCATCGAATACTTTCAACTTTGTAATGTTTGCAGATGATACTAGCCTTCTATGCTCTGACAGAGAACTCCATCAATTGGTCAATACTATGAATAATGAAGTAACCAACCTTGATGAATGGCTTTGTGCTAACAAACTGTCATTAAACCTGAATAAAACAAAATTTATGATTTTTTCACCTAAAAAAAGATTAGATAGAAACTATGTTAATTATACTCCAAAGCTCTCTATAAGAAAAAGTGACATTGAACAAATTAGCTGTACTCTGAGTGATAATTGATAATATACTTTCGTGGAAACAGCATATAATTGAATTGAAACAGAAACTGGCCAAGGCAATAGGTATAATATCTAAAATAAGAAACAAGCTGAATCTTAATACACTTAAGTCCATATATTTCTCACTCATCTATAGTCATATCAATTATTGCTCAATTGCCTGGGGTAATGCTACTAAATCACTTCTAGAACCTATACTGCTCTTGCAAAAAGAGATTTTTGAGGCTTATCACATACAGCAATCGACTGGCATACTCCGAGCCAATTTTCAAAAAACTAAATTTACTAAAGATCTATGATATTATTAAGCTCAACCAAGCAATATTTGTTCATAATTGCATTAAAAGACCTAGAAATTTTCCAAAACAATTGTTTACCAATCTCTTTAAGGCAAACAGTCAGATGCATGACAGAAATACTAGATTTAAATTTGATTTAGTAGCAAATAAATATAATTCAGAAATAGCTAAGAAATCAATTATGCGCCAAGGCCAGACACTCTGGAATAATCTTCCGGCTGCCCTTAGGAAACTTAATTCTTCATGCAAACTTAGGAATGATTTTAAAAAGTATATAATTGCCAAATATACAGATGAGTGATATTTTGTTATGTATTACTAGAACTACTTTTGATTATCTTTTAGTATTCAAGATTTAATTCTGATATTTTTAATGAATCATTGCATTGACTCTAGATCTACTGTGAACATGTTGCCATGTTGGAAGTCAGTCTTAGCCAGTCTTAGTTTTTGATTGTATCAAGCAACACTTAAATTTATTGCTTTGCCCTCTTTTAAATGTGTACTAGTTATAGTTAGTCTTAGTTAGTGTTCATCATTGGATCAGCTAATTATTATATACCTACTATCTAAACAACATATTCTTTATACTGTATACACCCACAAGGGTGTCATGTAAAACCTTGTAAATAATACTATATATTAGAAAATAAAGCTGAATTGAATTAGAATTGAATTAGAATTAGAATATCCAACTATGAAAATCTCATGATAATGATCCAATTTTTAACTGAATATTAAAATTTGGTAGAAACAGCCTTTTGTTCGCAAAATAGATGAAAATTGAGAAGGTTTTTTACCCCCATGTCACATAATTGATTTTTGAATTATATCTCTAGGGTTGGTGAAAATTTTTCTATTATATATCATTTTGTTGCAAATTAAAAAATTATCTTTAAAGTGGTATATCATTGTTAGTGTGTTTGTTAAAAAATAAATATTTATAAGGAATATTGGCTAGGGGGTGGTTTTTTGGCCCACCCTGTAAATAAAAAGCAACTCAAGTATTGAGATTACATCTCTGCTCTCCTCATCCCCATCTCTCTCAATTTCCCTATCAGCATACATTTCAAAGGAGAGAAGATGGGGATATTAGAGACTTCATAAAATACCAAAAGAGGCTTTACTTATCACAGGTCTGATGGTTGGCACTTTGAGATGAAGAATCTAGACTCTAATGGCAACTAAAGCTGTCAGGGGAAATCTTGCTTGAACACCCTATGCAGACAGAGCCTGTGGGAAATATTGGGTGCGGAGCAAATGAGCGGAGGGTGCGGAGCTAACGGTCATTTTTGAATTTAAATTTGGGATATTTCTGAAACTAAGCCGTTTTGGGACTTCAAATATACCAAGATATGTGTATTTGACACCAAATATCAATACAATTGTGAAAATAGTAGCGCAATTCATTCTATAGCGACGCAGTGTGCCTTAAACCTTTCCCAGACCTATATATTTTGAAATTATCCTTTTAATACTGAGTCCCCAGCATTCATAAAAAATGTTGTTCAAGGTACACTATCTATACAAATTATTTTTGCATCTTGGAAGCCAGGCAGTATCTGTGTGATTTTATAAAAATTCGGAAATGTTTTTCAGATATGAGCCCCCTCTAAATATTGGGTGCGGAGGAGCTCCATAAACGTACCTCCGCACCCAATATTTAGAGGGGGCTCATATCTGAAAAACATTTCCGAATTTTTATAAAATCACAGATACTGCCTGGCTCCCAAGATGCAAAAATAATTTGCATGGGTAGTGTATCTTGAACACCATTTTTTATGAATGCTGGGGACGCAGTATTAAAAGGACAGTCTCAAAATATATCAGTCTGGGAAATGTTTAAGGCATACTGCGTCGCTATAAAATAAATTGCACTACTATTTTCACAATTTCATTGATATTTGGTGTCAAATACACATATCTTGGTATATTTGAAGTCCCAAAACGGCTTCGTTTCAGAAATATCCCAATTTTAAATTCAAAAATGACCGTTAGCTCCGCACCCTCCGCTCATTTGCGCCGCACCCAATATTTCCCACAGGCTCTGTCTGCATAGGGTGTTGAAATCTATAGGCTTCTATAGAATTTCATAATGTCAATGGTTAAACCCACCAAGCAAAGGAATAAATGATCAAGAAATATACCACTTACTTGGTTGGCAGCTTGTTGAATTTTCTTGATAGAAACCATCTTGACATTGACATTTCTTTGGATCACCTACACATTCACTATTCTCTACTGTGCAGTTAGTGTTATTAGTACATTGTGCTCCTAGCTCTGATCCAGATACTTGGGTCTGAAATTGGACAATATGCAAGATAAACAACAGTTAATAAACTATATCACACAATTTAGCATATAGATGAACACTGTATCCCTTATATTGTTGTCATCCTCGGAACAAAAATACATATTATAAACACATATATTTTTAAGTGTGAAATAGTTGTTCCTAAACCAAAAATGGTTTTAAAAGTACTACCATACGCTATGGTTTTTCATTGATCAGATTTTACTGTTTGGATAATTGTTCATATTAGAGATTGAGAACCTTTTCAATCATATGTTGACGGGGCCAGAGTCATATCATAACTGTAATCATGGTAGTTAATAAAAAGCCATGAAAACATGACAAAGTGAGTGACATTCTTATTGTTGTTGTTATATATGTTAATACTCCAGGATTATACATGCCAGAGATCTATTAGGTGAATTTCATTTTGGACATTTTAATTCAGCCTGTTGGATTGTTTATAAAGCAGTTACAGTTATTTTCTGATCTCCAAACAAATCTAGTACAATGGGATCTGAGTGATTCATTATCATTTAAGGTAGTATATATTGCATCTCTGCCATTCATACTTGCTTTGTCTCTAATTTGAACTGCATTGCATAATTATTATTCTTTGGAAAGGGTTTTCATCATTACGTATTATATTTTTTAGACATAAGCTCATTCTGTCAGGCACATTCTATATAATTTCAGTTACCTAGAGTTGAAAACAACATGTAATATTATAATTTCAGATGCAAGCTGGAGGTATTTGGGGAATCTGTAAAATGGAAACATATGATAAAAATACACGATGAAGGGAAAATACATGCATCATGCAAGAATGAGAAAAATTAAGCAAGAAAGCAACAGGTATCTTTAGACTAGTAAAGCAAATCCAAATTAAAATTAAACTTTAAGCAAAAAGCCATGCAAAAGGATATTGTTAGTATGAAAATCAAAAGAATCACTCTACCGTTGTAACCAAAGCAAGCATAGTGGAAGAAATTGAAGAATCAGATGGTGTGGTTTCCGTTGCTGTACTTTCTGTACTTGTGATATTATTGTCTTGAGTCATAATAGGAGAAAGTGAAGAATCAGATGGTGTGGTTTCCGTTGCTGTACTTTCTGTACTTGTGATATTATTGTCTTGAGTCATAATAGGAGAAAGTGAAGAATCAGATGGTGTGGTCTCTATTGATATACTTTCTGCAGTTGTGATATTATTGTCTTGAGTCATAATAGAAGAATGTGAAGAATCAGATGGTGTGGTCTCCGTTGCTGTACTTTCTGTACTTGTTATATTATTGTCTTGAGTCATAATAGAAGAATGTGAAGAATCAGATGGTGTAGTCTCTGTTGCTGTACTTTCTGTACTTGTGATATTATTGTCTTGAGTCATAATAGGAAAATGTGAAGAATCAGATGGTGTGGTCTCTATTGGTATACTTTCTGCAGTTGTGATATTATTGTCTTGAGTCATAATAGAAGAATGTGAAGAATCAGATGGTGTGGTCTCCGTTGCTGTACTTTCTGTACTTGTTATATTATTGTCTTGAGTCATAATAGGAGAAATTGAAGAATCAGATGGTGTAGTCTCCGTTACTGTACTTTCTGTACTTGTGATATTATTGTCTTGAGTCATAATAGGAGAAAGTGAGGAATCAGATGGTGTAGTCTCTGTTGCTGTACTTTCTGTACTTGTGATATTATTGTCTTGAGTCATAATAGGAGAAAGTGAGGAATCAGATGGTGTGGTCTCTATTGGTATACTTTCTGCAGTTGTGATATTATTGTCTTGAGTCATAATAGGAAAATGTGAAGAATCAGATGGTGTGGTCTCTATTGGTATACTTTCTGCAGTTGTGATATTATTGTCTTGAGTCATAATAGGAGAATGTGAAGAATCAGATGTTGTGGTCTCTATTGGTATACTTTCTGCAGTTGTGATATTATTGTCTTGAGTCATAATAGGAGAAAGTGAAGAATCAAATGATGCGGTTTCTATTCTTTCAGTTCTTGTTATATTATTTTCTTGAGTCAGAGAGCTGGGAGATGACATGTCAGATGGTGTGATCTTTGTTGTTGTTATGATTACATCATGAATTTGAGAGGTAAAGTTGGATTGTGAAGTTTCCACTGTTGTAATAGCTACATCTGTTGAACCATTGCCTTGTATCACTGTAGTAACATGAAAGTTAGCTGTAGTTTGTATTTCATCTGATGGTCGTTGAGGGTCACCTGTTACAGGGGCAGGAGTCACTAGAGTCATGTCATCATCCATGTCTGTAGTGATAGCATCATCAGTAAATGTTGTGAGGGTGCCATCAGCATCCTGTCCAGACCTTGCCCTTGGAGCTATTCTTGCAAATGGATCACTCATGTACCAAGGAGATCCTTTACTGCCAACATGAGAGTTTGAGGCTTCCTTTTCAGCATCCTTTGTATCTACCTCAAAATTTTTATCATATGTTGCACTTCTTATGTCAGCATTAGTTGGGCTTTTCCCAATAACAATAGTTGGTTGGTTAGTGGTTGCTTTTATAGCTTTACCAGACTGGTTCAAAGTATCAACTTCATCAATTTTGGATTCTGATGATTTTGAGTAATCACTATTTGGTTGAACACTGTCTTTATGAGCATCACTGTGTGAAGCTACACCCACAACCAAAACACACTAGAAAATTAAACATAACATATTAAACACAAATAAAATTAAAGTTAGAGCAAGACTAGAAACTAAGATACTATAAGATAGTAACAAGTGAATTACTAGAAGAATTAAATATATATATATTTAGATAACAAGAAGCATGCAAAAGCAATAAATCTGAGCTTCAACATTTGAGCCATAATTTTCTATGATGAAACGTAAATGTGCAAGTATAATAGACACTTATTTTGATCATGTTGGATTTTTGTAGATTCTGCTCCTACATATACCTACTCACCCTAGATTTATAGTTCTATTAAATGAATGGGATATATGGTCAGAAATTATCAAGGCAGTAGTTATTTCTTAAGCTTTGAAGTATAGGAATGCAAGCACATTTTGAATATACTCAATGTTCTACAATTTTCTAAAAGTGACAAAAATCAGATATTTGATTACATTCAAAACTTTTGTCTCGAAGCATTAACTCAATATGGGATGGTGAGTTTTACTTTTTGAAGTTTTGCTTCAATAGTGAAAACAGTTAAAAGTGATATTCTCACAACGGAATAGCCTGACTACTGTGTCCACCATTTGTGACAACGGTATCTGACTTTACCATAGCCGGGCTATTCCGGGGTGATTCTTTAATCCATTAAAACTTGTACATGCTATTTTATTTTATTACTTCCTGGTCTAAGCCCTGTTCCAGTAGTGATTTACAGTACCATAGTGAAAACAGTTAGAAGTGATATTCAAATGAAAACTTTAGAGTTCATACTTTATGTCTTTAATCCATTAAAACTTGTACATGCTATTTTATTTTATCACTTCCTGGTCTGAGCAATGTTTCAGTAGTGATTTATGGTACGGCATATTATCTTTTGTTTCCTTATTTATGGATATTATTCATAAAAATGCTAAACCCATTGCATCATAGCTACAGCTATGTCTTAATGTTTTAGGGAAATGTAATTGAAGTTTTTTGCTTTGCCTATAATGCCATAAAGATGATTGGTAAGCTATCTTCTACACAAATTAAGTGAAGAAATACATCTACCATCTTTCAAATAAATGAAGAATCCATCTAAACTAAACAACATATAGGTCATGATGATATACAAATTATCAAAGGCATCAAAAGAGCATACTGTGTAAAGGACACTTGATAATTTTAGAATCAGATTAATTACTTTAGAAAGTGGTAGAACAAGGAAAATATAAGAAACATGGGATTTTTTATCTAATCCTACTTCAGTTTATGTTAAAATGGTGCAACACATATACCAATTGCAAATCTTCATTTCCTGAACACCCTGTTTATACCAATTGTAAACAATATACAATTTCAAAACTGGTGATCACACTTAACATTGATTGTATTAAAGTTATATTCAACAGGTAAGGCCACGATAAGAGGCTTCTCAGAACTCCAATTCTGTTATCAAAGGCCCCAATGTAACTCCAACCATACACATGCATACTCTCCTTGAAATTGACTGTGGATAAAACGTAAGAGCTCTATTGACATACAAAGTCTTACTACTTTTAACATTGTCAATTGATGTGTTATTTTTAAACAATATACATACACAAGTATGTCCATACTAAAGTGTTTTAACTAGAACTTTGAAATAGATTTAAAGTCTGATATAAAACTGACCACTTGATACACAGTGTTCGGCATAAGGGGAAAATATCAGGTGGTCCAACGGACCACTGGTTTGCAAAAAGTTGGTGGTCCATACTAAGTGTAGAGAGTCAAGTGGACACCCTGTTTTCAAAAGTTGGTGGTCCATATTATAACAAGGTGGTTCATATTACCAGAACTATGGATAAAGCAATAGTGGTGTGACCGCCCCCCCACCCTTATTTTAATCATAGTTTATGGGAATTTTTGAAAGTAGCTATATGACGGTCCTGCCTACTCCCCCAACAAATATCCTTCCCTAGTGTCCCACACCCCTAGATATGTGTCTGCTCTCTCATATATCATTAAATAGGTATCTGATTTCACAGATATATTGTATTATTTTCTGAAATTAATTTTGACCTAAGTATTTTGAATTAGTTTCCGGTTGATATATGTGTGTAAACAATGAATGGTAGAAATTGACGAACAAGCAAACTTGAGCATACAAACAGATCGGCGTATAATATTTATATCGCCCTTGATGAATGAGGTAGACTTATTTCTAGTCAAATGTGCAGTATACAGCAATAGATATCGATATGTTTTATCGGAAAGCTGCCATAAATGTTGAAAATTAAATATGAAACTGTTAGTTACGAACCAAACGCTACGTTTGAGATTGTAATGCAACCAAATTACCCAGTATTCTTAGCGTGATCATGCCAAGTTTTTGATTGGATGATAGGGTTTTATGCAGAGATCAGGCCTACATTGACCCTGGGTCCTTTTTGCAGAAGTTTTCATTTTGTCCATGAAACTTTTGTTTGAAAGTTTAAAAGATAGAATATCTACTAATTTCAATGTAATTTTACTTGTTTTGTCTAGTTTTACGGGTGGTCAAGAGTCACTTCTAAATATATAAGGGCATTATTATGTGGGAGTCAAACGGACTCCCATTTATGGCAACATAGGGTGTTCAGAAAGAAATCAGGGTGTCTCGGGCCTACGGATTCCCACTTCTGCTGAACCCTGTTGGTAAAGTTAACTTGCAATATTAGATTCTATCAAGTTACCAAAATGAGAATTTTTTTTGTATTTCAGGTCACTTTTAACTTACATTCATAAAGTTACTTTAGCTTTCTAGTCTAGCATTTATTGAAATAAAATTGAGATCTTTTTTTGAGAAGTATTGAGTGAAATCTCTATATTATACATGTATTTAAACAGCCTAAAAATAAATGCAACAGCATTTTTGGAAAGTACAGTAACACAACTCATTGGCCATTTTATTGAAGGAAAGTAAAATTTTGTTCTGAATAGTGTTAAACAAGGAAGAAGCCTAAGAGATAAAACAGTCAAATAATAGAAAGTAAAGAGGTTATTATCAAATATGAATAGTTGTGAAAAAAGGAAAGATGGTACATTGTCACATGGATGGTTCAAAAATACTTGATTATTATTAATCTTTATAAAACGTTTTCCGAGGTCCAGCTTACTTTAAAAATTGGTTGAGGATACTTTGGCTGTTAATTTCAAAATATAAAATTAAGCTCTAAAATGAATTATTACCACTGTAGTGAGAATATATACTAATCATTTAGGTAGAGGGGTGAATGCACTGAATGGACAGTTGAAATTTGATTTTGCACCCTTCTTTGACAATTATACATGTACCTCTAATTGTGTTCTCTTATACAATTGTCAGTTTAAAATGATATACAAAATAATTGTACTGAGCATAATGTGGGCCAATGTATAACATGGCATCATGTCACAACTTGGTTACACTTACAAAAGTGTAAACATTTGTTACAGATGACAATGTCATGGCCATGGTGTAATATCACAACTTCTTGGTTACAATTACAAAAGTGTAACCATTTGTTACAGATGACAATGTCATGGCCATAGTGTAATATCACAACTTCTTGGTTACAATTACAAAAGTGTAACCATTTACAGATGACAATGTCATAGCCATGGTGTAATATCACAACTTCTTGGTTACAATTACAAAAGTGTAACCATTTGTTACAGATGACAATGTCATGGCCATAGTGTAATATCACAACTTCTTGGTTACAATTACAAAAGTGTAACCATTTGTTACAGATGACAATGTCATGGCCATGGTGTAATATCACAACATCATGGTTACAATTACAAAAGTGTAACCATTTGTTACAGATGACAATGTCATGGCCATGGTGTAATATCACGAATTCTTGGTTACAATTACAAAAGTGTAACCATTTGTTACAGATGACAATGTCATGGCCATAGTGTAATATCACAACTTCTTGGTTACAATTACAAAAGTGTAACCATTTGTTACAGATTACAATGTCATGGCCATGGTGTAATATCACAACTTCTTGGTTACAATTACAAAAGTGTAACCATTTGTTATAGATGACAATGTCAAGCCATAGTGTAATATCACAACTTCTTGGTTACAATTACAAAAGTGTAACCATTTGTTACAGATGACAATGTCATGGCCATTGTGTAATATCACAACTTCTTGGTTACAATTACAAAAGTGTAACCATTTAAAGATGACAATGTCATGGTGTAATATCACAACTTCTTGGTTACAATTACAAAAGTGTAACCATTTACAGATGACAATGTCATGGCCATAGTGTAATATCACAACTTCTTGGTTACAATTACAAAAGTGTAACCATTTGTTACAGATGACAATGTCATGGCCATTGTGTAATATCACAACTTCTTGGTTACAATTACAAAAGTGTAACCATTTACAGATGACAATGTCATGGCCATTGTGTAATATCACCACTTCGTGGTTACAATTACAAAAGTGTAACCATTTACAGATAACAATGTCATGGCCATAGTGTAATATCACAACTTCTTGGTTACAATTACAAAAGTGTAACCATTTGTTACAGATGACAATGTCATGGCCATGGTGTAATATCACAACTTCTTGGTTACAATTACAAAAGTGTAACCATTTGTTATAGATGACAATGTCATGGCCAAAGTGTAATATCACAACTGCTTGGTTACAATTACAAAAGTGTAGCCATTTACAGATGACAATGTCATGGCCATTGTGTAATATCACAACTTCTTGGATACAATTACAAAAGTGTAACCATTTGTTACAGATGACAATGTCATGGCCATGGTGTAATATCACAACTTCTTGGTTACAATTACAAAAGTGTAACCATTTGTTACAGATGACAAAGTCATGGCCATAGTGTAATATCACAACTTCTTGGTTACAATTACAAAAGTGTAACCATTTGTTACAGATGACAATGTCATGGCCATGGTGTAATATCACAACTTCTTGGTTATAATTACAAAAGTGTAACCATTTGTTACAGATGACAATGTCATGGCCATTGTGT